TGACACTGGGACTGGAGGTGTGACTGTGCCGTTCCTTCCCGATTCAAGAGCAGGGGAAGCCGACTTGATCTTGGTAGAAAATTTCTCCTGTCCGATGATTTTCCATACAGGAACCGAGTTTTCCTGTATAGATCTTGCTTCCTCTACCGTCAAAGATTTCAAGTCCTTTATCGAGATGAACTTGACGTCTTGGTATAAACTCTCAACATCTATATCTATACCCCGCGTCTTCAACATGTGTTGTATCGCAACTGCACGCAGCCGGCATTTCATGTTAACTCTTCGGTGTTCAGGGTGTGAAACCCGCAACTCTTCCACGGGTAACCGTACCCTGTCTCTCGCTTTGCTGTTCTTTCGCACGCTTACTTCCATGTTTTGGTACAAATTCCAAACATCTATGTCTATACCCCGCATCTTTAACATCCCTTGCATCCCAAGTGCACGCAGCCAGAGAGTCTCTTTACGTCTTTGGTCTTCAGTGTTCAAACCCGCCAACTCTTCCATGGGCAATTTGTCCTGGCTCAAACCTGTACTCATAGCATCGATCTGTTGCGATTGACCTTTAGCTCTGCGGCCCGCCTCTTTCGCTGGCGACGATATCTGTGGATCCTGGTCGCCTGACTCACACGGAGTATCTACCTTTTCTTCGTCCTCTATGCGAGATACTGATGAAAGCTGTCGTCCAGAGTCTGCTGTGAGGTAGTCATGACCGGATTTATCGTTTAACATGTTGCGCTCCTTTGATAGCCTGCTAGCGGCTGCGATTGCGCACGGATTCGGTTTTGATCCTTTGGTGTTTATGCTTTCAACCGAAGACCAACGCGCTACCATTGCGCCAAGGCTTCTCTTTAGGAAGTGTGTGAGTTTTGATCTTAGTGCTGGGTTGCGGCTCTCTGGCTGTGCTTCTTCGTTCAGGCTCTGACTCTTTTCTCTGTCTATCCTGAGTTGTTTCTGCTCTGTCTCGTATTCTATCCTGGATCGTTTCGATTCCTTCTTGCGTCTCATGAGTACCTCATTTTCCAAATTCCGGAGTTTCGAAAGCTCTTTCTTTTTATACCTGTCCTGAGACGGAACGTCTACTTTCAATTGCTTGTGTGTATCAAGCGCGGCTTTTTTGATGACTTCCTTGACAGTTTCAATGCTTTTCCCAGAATCCACCCACACGGCACCAAGGATAGCTTCAACCGCCTCGGCAACCGCCTCGCCATACGCATCGTCGGCATCGAAATTGGCATTGGGCTTTGGGGTCCACTGATTATACCATACCAAATTTTCGCGTATACCAAGTGCTTTCCCTTTTTCGCGAAGAACCTTTCGACTTTCTAATTTGCTTTGCATCTTACTGTAGTTTGCTGCTTGTTGTCTCAGCTCAGATATGTGAGCTGCACGTCGAACATACCTGCAGGGTTTCCCGTTTGGAACCAAGTATCGCACAAAGCTAACGTGAGAATGCGATCACCTAGCAGTGCCATTCGGTTGTTCCTGTCGACGTGATAAGTCTTACCACCGAAGTATAGTGGTATAGCCGATGATGTGAGCTTCAGTGCTTCGATGCACAGCATTTTGTTCTTGAAATTGTATCCTATACGTTCCTCGACACGCCCCACCTTCGCCGCTACATCAACTAGATCATGATAGACAATTGGTGGGGATGTATGCAATTGCAACCGATTGGCCTCAAGCTCCGGGAAAATCTGATCTTTCCGTTGAAACAGGTGTGGATTACGAGCTTTAAAATTAGAATACGTGCTGTTCTCTTGAATATCATCTCGACTCCAAATGCTTTTGTGGTTCTGGTTGTGTAAGGATCTTTTTACATGCCATGTAAATGGGTTGCTCCTGCCGGAGAGCTTCGCTGGGAGGCGGCAACGAACACGTCTCAGTGGTCCAGGCCACTTCTGCAATCTACATGACGTCCATTGCTTGGGCTTAGGAGGCATCCCGAAAGAGTTGCGCGACCTGCACCTTGGGAAGACTGGCCCATGTTAGTAGTCTGCTCTACCAGAAACGCGGCGTTCTGGTTGGTCGACGGGGTACAAATCGCACGTTACGTACCAGCGCAGCGTCAATTGTGAGGGAGTATTCTATACCCAAATGCTGGGACAGAGCAGTTTTTTTCTACGCCACACTTAAGATGGGTGGGTCGAGCGCTTGGTTTCGATGATGTCGATGACGGAAGAGGTATGAGAGACATGTATGGTCCACCAGTAGTGTGAATCCTTAGTGCATCGACCGCACAGACAATCCTTGCTACCCCTTCAAGACAAACGTTCCCCATGCACGGTTCGGAATTCCATCAACAATACTCAAAATGACGATGTACATTACGGCTCACAATCAAGCTCAACACAAAAAAAGAACCAAGAACACAGGCAGTCACGAAAATAGTATAGTAGTTACCAACGTCAACTTACCTGACGCCTCTTTCGTTACCAGGACTATCTGAACTTGGGCTTCTTATGCATTGTATGATTTGGGCTCGGATGGTAGCCATGTGAAACAACTATTATTGGCCGTTGACTAGCCGCCAGTTCCGCGATCAGGGCGTCGAAGATACTTGATCGAAGATGATTGAAAAGCGATTCTAAGTCATGTTGTGTAATTGGAAGTGGTGGCGTATGCTTGCGCGAGTGAGCTACTGGCAAGTGCGTCGACGAATTGGCATACAATGAACGGCTGCTCGGAGAATGTGCCTATGGCCACATTGTGCCATCCATCACGCATAACACAATTGGTTACTCAAACGTGCTGCGTGTCATATCACACGTCATATACATCAATTCCACAACAACATGACTACATGGCTTTGAGCTCTAATATATAGTAGTGAAGTCGAAGAGGGCTTTTGTATTGTCAATGTCATCACATTTAAGAATGACACGAACCGGAAGAGTGTTCCCGACGTTCGTACTTATGGTCTGGCTCCATATGTAGGTAACACCAACCCCTCTGATACCAAGGCCCAGCGTTACATTCTATCGCCAAGAGGGAAGGACACATACGGTACAAGAAGAAAACACCGAGAGAACATGGCGGATCAAGACTAGGAGTCTTCTAGCCAGCCAAAATAGTTACTTTGACCTTCAGTTGTCCACTCTACAACACCAGCCTTTTTGATGATTTCTTCGCCGGCCGTACGCTCTGCGGATTAGAAAACACGTCCAACGGATCGATTTCCGCCTTGATGCGCTCCAATCTATCGACATTGCCACCCCAATACAGGCGCGCGCTGTTGTCACCTAATTCAGGATCTACATAACCTGCATACGCTCCTTGGTCGTGGTTTGGTAACGCATCGATGATGATATCGTTCACATCGGTAAGAAACTTACGAGTTTTGTTATTTACCTTGCGTAATGTTAATAAGAATGCTTGTTAATTAGAGATATGTGGAGCCCTTACCTTTCCAAACATATTTATAGCATACGATTGATGATAGAAGAGCGCGTCGCGGTGTCCGTACGCTGTAGCATCAGATGCCACGTCATTGATAGCGCCGCCCTCAAGGTCCCAAATGATGAACCACAGCGCGCCACCTTTGTCTGCTCCTTCAATATGCGTGAAGAGCTTGTCGACTGCGATGTCGGGTATCATGTCTTTCTCTGTGTATGCGAGAGATTTGGCGTAGAAGTTGGACTGGATGCCCCCCACAATTTCCAAAGCCACATCTTCGCTCCAGTGACCTACCACACCAAGCCAATCTTTAAGTTCTATTGAGTCAGATCCTGAACTCGAAGGAAGAAGGGAGGTAATGTTTAGGCTGTCGAATTCAGTCTGGCTACCGAAGAAAGTGCCCGTGATGATAGCGCCAAATTGTTCCGTCAAGATGTATTGACTCGCAAACTTCCTAGAGAGCTCGGGTTCGGAGACGAGCTTTTGCCACTTCTTGAACGCCTCAGCCTTTGTTGCAGAAGAGCCATCGTGGAAATTGTACGAGTAAAGCACAGCTTCACCAGGCTCAGCCTGAGTGCGGACCTTGAACTCGGTGACTATCCCAAACCCGGCTGCGGCTCCCTTCATCGCGAAGAAGATATCTGGATTCTGTTCTCTCGAAGCACGCACTACTGTCGAGTTGGCCAGAACCACCTCTACCTCTTCTACATGATCGAGTGAGGACCCCCACATCCGAGATGTTGGTCCTAGGCCACCAATCGTTGCATGACCTCCAATACCTACTTGTGGACAAGTGCCATGGGCAATAGCACGCTTGCCGTTGTCGTGTAGTCGCTTCGTGACATCGCCTAAAAGCGTTCCACTACCGATAGTAGCCTGCCAGGTTGACTCATCCATGGAGAATTGCTGGAAAGACTTCATGTCGACTACAATGGTGCTGTCCTGACCACCTATACCGTAGTTGGCGTAGGAGTGTCCGCCACTGCGCGGCTGAACTTTGAGGCTGTTATGCACGGCACATTTGACGACTGCGGCGATCTCGTCGGTAGTCTTGGGGTACGTAATAGCCGCTGGCGTCAGCGGTATATCGAGGTTATACGGCTTGACGTGTGAGAGTTGGAAAAATGGCGTGTTCTTGGAAGCAACATTCTCTTTTCCAATCGCGTTCTCGAGACACTTCTGCACCGGAGAACTGGAGGAATTGCCCATGGTACAGGAGGGGAATGTCTAATCAGAATGTCAGCTGCTTGCTGATCCTGCGCTGGGACTGAATGTACTGAAGGGGTTCCCCGTTGTCAATTTGAATGCTTGTGAACATACGTGAAGGTGCTCGAGCGTGGCTTTGAGTTGCTTTCTAGCTAAGTCACTGACGTTACCTGACTTGTAAGTGTATTTTGTATTAGGTGGAATAGCGGTGATCCAAGGGATATAAAAGTCCGTCTAGACATTAAGAACGATGCTACGAATAGGCAATGTATTCACCGTCCAGATGCCTAGCAAACACTCGCCCAATCACCCTACCCACGAATAGAGTTAGGTTGTCAACCCTATGTTCTGACCGTACGACCGAGAGCGCTGTTTGCGCTTCGAGTGTCACCCGCATGGTTGCGACAAGTCTACAAATACCGGATAGACGGTCCTGGGGAAGGCGGCTGCGAAGCGTGAATGGCCAGCATTTACGTGGGTATCTAACGACAATTGGCAAGGCGAAACGGTGCCATGCCTGCCATGCATGTTTCAGTCTCGGCCTGCCGCGTAGGGAGTACTTTACAGCCAACCCGATGGTCAGTGGCGTACCTTTCTGTGACAACTGAGAAGATGTGTGCTGAGTCTTAGAGACGACGTAAACCCGGAAGTGGCGAAGGTGTAGATCGCGAGGCAGGGATCGCTCCAGGCCACCCCCACCTTTGTTGTCTACACAAGATAACCAACTGTTGATCTACGCTCTCACCAGGCAGCCATAGTGGAGACTGAAAGTATAATTTTATGTCGGTTCCACCACCGTTCTTTCGGCACTCAATACCATATGCTTCGTGTTCGATGATGTGGTATCACCTCTGCCTCTTCTTTCTCCTTCTCTTTCGCAAGGTCATACAGGAAGAAGTCGATGAGAATAGCGTTGACCTTGGCGTTTGGTTGAAGCTTCAGAATCTCCCTACGGAGGAGCTCTGCAGCCCAGATGCTACAACCCCGTATCTGCATCTCCCAAGAGTGGCCAGATTCGATGATCCCCTGACGGCGTATCTTATTCTCGAGAGGCGGGCAGTACCAGATTATGCCTAATGAATGTAGCATCTGAGGAATGCGGTAATCTGTAGAAGCGCCAGTCAGTCTGAACTACGAATATAGATGATGCTCAACCATACCTGCGAAGATGGTAATCTTGTCAATGTCATCGAACTCGCCATAGCTCTCACCGTCGAACGCAGCCCATAGGTCTGCAACGAAGATCTGGGCTCGCTTCAAAAAGCGCACCTTCTTATTCTCAAATCTACCTTCATCCCTGAAGCAATTGAATTTTTCAGCGAGTAGGTTCACGAGACCGGCTGCAGAGTTGTTCGCGTCTTCAATGAGTGTGATCACACTGCCATCGAATTCCTGCGAAGTCAGTCATAAGTAAAACTGCTTGTGTGTGTGTGATCGTGATCTACAACAAACGCACCTCCTCTAGAATTTGTCCAGCTTCTCTAAGGCATCGCACCCTCTGCTCGAACATGGGGATCTCCTCGTCGGTACCAGAAGTGAAGATGGTTCGCAGGACTTCGTCTGAACATTGTTCCTGGTCAACCCAGAAAGCTGGACTAGTGATTGGGATGTCTTGTTCCAAGGCTCGTTGTAATATTGCAACCAGACTCCAATATCCCGTCCATCTCTTTCCCTTGTACACTACCGCGAAGCGCTCCTCCTCGTTCTTCTCGCTCCAGAAGCTAAAGTTTAGGAGGTCCATGGTGAAGATGAAGTTTACAGTGCTCTCATCTTTTGCTTTGGGGTGTAGCTCATGCTCCGACCAGGTCTTGGTTGTGTAGTTCCGCTTCTCCATCTCGTCAAAAACAAGCTGTGCGGCGACTTTGGTAGATCGCATATCGAGAGCAACGTCCATGCTATTATCGCAGATGAACTGGGCATTTTCCAGGACTTTTGTTTCTGGTGGACCTTCGTCTTTGGCACCACCGCCCCAATGCTTCCGCATGAGGTCTAGCAGCTCCAGGTCGACTTCGTCGTCGGACATGATGATGGTCGGCCGTGTACGCTAGCTCCAATTCCAGTAGTCGCGATGAAGGGCACTTCTGCGGCCGCTCGTATGCAGTCTTTAGCAAGCTCCACCAGACGCAAAGCAAGTTTTTGGTGGCAGTGGGCAGCGACCAGCGTGTGTCCCGGCGCGTTTAAGGTCGACGATCCACTCATAGGGCGCTCGTTTAGGTGCCAAGCTTCGGAGGCTGAAGGCAAGCGGCGCAGGCCCAGTGGAGCGGCGCTACCCAGCTGCACTGACGTCTCTCACCTGTCGCCTTTACCTCGAGACGGCAGCTGTCCAACTTTCGCATGTCGTAGCCTCGCCCACAACACGACTTCGTTTTCGCCCATCTCCACCCCCGAACCCGCAATGGCACGCGACAGGTTTGCTCGGCAGAGCCTCGGTGGCACGCTCCATCAGCGCATCAGAGAGGTAGCTCGCACCACGCGCAAACATGCCATGTGCCAGTCGCTAATCACATGCAGGCACGCGTCTTGATGGTAGGAGCTGGCGGCATCGGCTGCGAACTGCTCAAGAACCTCGTTCTCACCGGCTTTGGCGAAATCCACATTGTAGACCTCGACACCATCGACCTCAGCAACCTCAACCGCCAATTCCTGTTCCGCAACGAGCATATCAAGAAGTCCAAAGCATTGGTACGGCAATGGCCCTGCTCGCAACGCCGTCTCCCGCCTTGCGCTAACTACCTGACAGGTTGCGAAAGAGTCGGCCGGCAAGTTCAACCCCAACGTCAGCATCGTAGCGTACCACGACAACATCAAGGATGGCCAGTTCAGTGTCGCCTGGTTCCAGAGCTTCGGCCTCGTCTTCAATGCGCTGGACAATTTGGACGCGCGGCGACATGTCAACAAGATGTGTCTCGCGGCCAATGTCCCGCTGATTGAGAGTGGCACCACTGGCTTCAACGGCCAAGTTCAGGTTATCAAGCGGGTGCGCAACACCACTCAGCTACTTTGTCAAGCTCCTATGCTGACTTCACTACAGGGCGAAACCGAATGCTACGATTGCACACCCAAAGACGCCCCCAAGTCGTTCCCCGTATGCACCATCCGAAGCACGCCCTCGCAACCCATCCACTGCATAGTATGGGGCAAGTCATATCTCTTCGCCGAGATCTTTGGCACCTCAGAAGACGAAGCGCCCGAGCTAGACCATAGCGAAGATGCCGACAATGCCAGCGAAGTCGCGAATCTACGAAAGGAAGCACAAGCGCTGAAGCGAATTCGCGATTCCATGGGCTCCCAGGACTTCCCGCGACTGGTTTTCGACAAGGTTTTCAACGAGGATATCGAGCGGTTACGGAGCATGGAAGACATGTGGAAGACTAGGAAAGCGCCCGAGGCATTGGACTACGACACGCTTATGCAGGAATCGCTAGGTGTGGGTACAGGAATCGCACAGCAAGACCAAGTCACATGGAATGTAGCGGAGAATTTCGCCGTCTTCGTGGACAGCATCAAGCGACTCAGTACTCGGCTGGAAGAGACGCGCGCAAACGCTGATATTGGGAACTCGGTGCCTATTCTCAGCTTCGACAAGGACGACGTGGACACGCTGGACTTTGTCGTCGCAAGTGCAAACCTGCGCTCACACATCTTTGGCATAGAAATGCGGTCCAAGTTTGACATCAAGCGTAGGGGAACCACATACACTGTCGGAACGGCTGCTAACAAGATACAGAAATGGCTGGCAACATTATTCCTGCGATTGCGACTACAAACGCCATGACTGCCAGTCTCTGCGTTCTACAAGCTTTCAAAGTCATGCGCGAACAGCTCGACAAAGCCAAGATGGTCTTCCTTACCCGTAGCACTGAGCGCGTCATCTCAAGCGAGTCACTGCGACCACCAAATCCCCGCTGTGCAACTTGCGGCGTATGCTATGCCACACTGCATGTCGATTTACCGCGTGCGAAACTGAGCGATCTGGTCAATATCATTCTGAAGGAACAGCTGGGCTATGGAGAAGAATTCAGTGTCAAGCGAGATTCGGATATACTCTACGATATCGACGAGGACATGCATCTCGACAAGACATTCGAGGAACTCGGCCTTAACGGCGACACCTTCCTCACAATCTCCGATGACTCGGAAGAAGATGGGAAGGTTGATTTAGTATTTTCTGTGATACACCAAGATTTCACCGAGAACGCAAACCCACTCAGGTTACCGGATGAAGTCAAGATTGCGACAAAGCCCAAGATGCCTGTACCAGAGACCATTGACCATGCGACTGTCAACGGCACCGTTCTGAACGGTGACGTCACGGATATCAGCAACGGAAACACGAATGGTGCTGCGAAGCGCACAGCCAGCGAAGCAGGTCTCCAGGATGAGCTCGTCCGGAAGAAGGGTAAGGTCATCGAGGAGTCACAAAAGAAAGACGATGGCCACATCACTATCGAAGACGACAAGAATGACGGAGCGATTGTCATTGATGATGACTGAACAACTTGGCGACAAGCTTGATTGCTGGCTGCAAGTCAGCGAACCATCATCTTGCGTCTCGTCATTGGCTCTGTTGGCGACACTAAAGTATACGATATACTTCACTCTTTTTTTCTCGACGTTGGATCATAAGCGTTGGAGCCTGATTGCTTATGTCCATTGCACCCATCTCACCACATCCTTGCACCTGGAACAACGGCTCGGTATTCGATGCGCTTGCAGCATATAGATTTCCTTTTCTGTACCATACATCAGCCAGCCATTTGAAGTCGTCGCCATGGACGTCTTCTGGATTCATTGGCTTACCCTAGTCTAAGGAGCATTTGGTGGAAGGAATCACGTCTGGAGAAAGCCACCAGGCCGTCTTGCAAGGCCGGAATGGCAACTGATTGGGAAGATCTCAAACATTGTAGTAGTAAATGACTTAGACGGCAGATAAGCCACCATCTAGATTCAATACACAATTGTGTGCATATTTGTTTTCAGCGAGAAACAGTGCTGCGTGAGCAATTTCATCCGGTTTGCCAAAACGATTTAACGGTATACGTTGTTGAAGCTCAGAGGCATTCAAGTCTGTTGATCGTCAAAAAAAAAATCATCATTTTGCATCACCATATGATTCGACGCACCTTTTGTCATATCCGTTTCCACGTATCCAGGCACAATGGCATTGACGCGGACTTTGTGACTAGCATACTCAGTAGCCAGAGCGCGAGTGAAACCCAATACTCCCGCTTTCGATGCTGCGTATGCAACAGCCCCGTAACCACCTTGCAGGCCCAGCAGCGAGCTGACATTGATAATGACTGGGACATCAGCATCTTCCTTAGTCCTGCCTCCCAGGTAGCCGTTTCTGTGCAAAATCAATATGGTCAGCACATATACACGTAAATAAGGGAGCCAGCATGCGCATTTACACGGCTATTGAGTGGGTTGCAGTACCGTAAAAGGAATTTCGTCCCCTGCATCACAGAAGTTAGATTAGTTTTGATGATACTATCAATTTGGCCTTCATCCAATGCAGAGAATAGCTTTGCCTGCGTTACACCGGCACAATTCACTACTACGTCGATGTGTGAGGGGTGAGTAGGATACTTGCGCGTGTCTGGTCGGGGAAGACAAGCAGCAAATTGACAAGAGGGACTCAGCGACCAAAAGTTCGAGCCGTTAGATATGTCTCCAGCTATATGTCCATGTTGGTACGGCGAGCTCGATGTTCCGGATAGTTTGGACGGCTCACTATCGTCAGGTGAGGCTTGGAGTCCGGAAGACGACAAAGGCGATAAGCTTGCTAGAACCTTTTTTAGATTTTCTTCTGAGCGAGAGATTAGGGTGCAGCGGTATGCGTTCTTGGAGAATAATTGCGCGATTGCGAGACCGATGCCTCGGCTACCGCCCGTGATGAGGACGTGTTTTGGGCGACTTGCCATGGTAGGTTTGGTACTTTTCGGTCCTGGACTGCAGTCGACACGTTGGTCAAGGGAGAGAGGTACCCGAGACACAGTTTTCGTTTCAGGAACAATCGCAATAGTTGTATTCTAATGGGCTTCCAACGAACAAGCTAGAAGGGAGATACAAAAGTAGATGATGTAAGCCATATTCTGCCCGCGCGAGAAAACGTGACAGCGCGCGCCTCCACAACTTCCCCGCGAACCCACCATTTCTCTCGCGCAACGTCACACACCACATCTCCCACTCGACATATCATACTCCAACTATCTCCGGCACTGAACAGAGTCCCGACATACATTACAGACAATAATGGCTGACGGAAAATCAACGAAGTACGTCACTCTGGTCTCTAACGACGGCTTCGAGTTCAAGATCCTCCGTTCAGCAGCATGCATAGCAGGGACGATTAAGAAGGCACTGGATCCATTGTGTAAACATCTCTACCTCACATGTACACCATATCATAAGCTAACGATCTACCTCAGCCGGCTTCAAGGAAAACGAGGAGAACACCGTCCACCTAGCTACGATTAAGTACGTTTCCCCGGGCGCGTTCCTTGACCGATTGCCATAGCCCCAACAAACGAGATATGCATGGAAATCCTAATTAATACAACGTAGTGGCGTAGTCTTGGAAAAAGTTTGCGAATACCTCTACTACAACCAAAAGAACGCTGAAAGTAAAGATGTCTCGGACATGGATATTCCGCCTGAACTCTGCTTGGAGCTGTTGATTGCGGCAGATTACTTGGATGGTACGTACATAGGAGCCACGTCGGGAAGGGGCAGTTGCTGACTATCTCTAGTGTGAGGTGACGATTGCAAGACCCGCGATAGTCCGGTGTATTCTCCCCAGCGCCTTTTTACACAAGGATACGAAGGCATGTGGGCATAGTGTTTCAGGCATGCAAGCACGCTTGCATAATTGTGTTCCACGAAGCCACCGATACGAGATGGAAGCTTGATGTGGAAGAAACAAGAGACATGGTACAGGGAGCGCTCATGTTTAAGGAGAAGGAAGAGAGAAGACGCCCTACGCACAGCGTACTTTGGGAGCCATACAGTCTATGCGTAGAGGAGTGTGGAAACAGACTCTGAAGTATCGGCGGAAATGAAAAGAGAATGCTTCTTGGTGGGCCTGCGCTCCGTTCTACGGGTACGGCTATCATCTCTCGCTACACAATGGTCTTCGTGCACCTCTGCCTCTTTTGCCTCTGCAAAGTCCGAGTCAAAAACCCCCCCATTCAATTCATTGTTCAGTGTGCTGATCTGCCGATACATGCGACGAAGGTCTGGATATCACTGACATAACGAATGTGCTATCGATTGGTATTAAACGTACTAAGCGGGTGATGAAACGGTGAACAAGGTGAGTGCTCTAGCTGATAGCGAACAAGAAAAAGAAAAAGAAAAAGAAGCGCCTCAGCGCCCTATGAATAAGACCCCATGTTGAATGTTCAGCTGTGTTAGCTTTCTCCACTCTTTAAAAGCCCTCGCAGTGCAGTGCATGTCTATCGACAGTCCTTCTCTACTCTTCCTGCGCCCAAATCTTCTCTCTCTGTATCATGCGTTCATTTTCCGTCTCCTTGCCACCGTCAAGTGTCTTCTTCCATGCAAAGTACTCGCCTAATCGGATTTCAGCATAGCTCGCATAATCGAACTCGATCAGAGAGATCTGAGCCTGAATCAACGCCCAAATACCCCAGTAGAAGCCAGGAACGCCGCGGAAGCGATCGACCTGGTCGAAAAGCTCCTGCAGCTCTTCCTCCTTGTACGACTTGTTTTGATGGGCGTTGAAGCTGCGGAGATACTCGCGGAGAAAAGCGCGGCGAATGGTGCGTGTGGGCATGGCGCTGTAATCGCAGTCGAAACCGCCCCATTCGGCAAAGTGGTTTGCAATGTCAAATGAAGCAGGAGCAGGCGTAGCATACTCGTAGTCGATAAAGGACACTGTAGCAGCTGCTGTCTCGGGCTCGTCTGAAGCGCTCGAGGCACTAGAGCGGCGCGAAGCAGCGGCAGACGAAGGCGAGGGCTCGATGATCACGTTGCCTGAGAGTAGGTCGCAATGGGCGAAGACAAACGGATTGGAGCCGCCAACACCAGGCGTGTCACCTAGCAACTCAACTAAGCTTTCGAGTTCTTGCATCAGCTGGTCTCTCCTTTCCGACTGCGCGGTGGTGCTTGTCGGCAGCGCAAGGATCCATTTCTGCATAGTAGTCCACACATTCGGGATGGGCTTGCCTGGCGTGAGTGTGGCCATGGCCGCCAGAGACGCACGCTTGTTGTTGTGTGAAGTGAGTTGTGCGGGTGCAGGACATGTGCTGCTAATACTCGATATAGGTAATGTGGCATGCCATTCCCCCAGCCTTTGAGCTACCCCTCGCCATACTTCTGGCCGACGCAGATCTTCGGGCGTACACACACTGCCTTGAATGTACTTGTATAGGAGACCATTTTCAAACCGGGCGTAGAGAGACGGTGCAAGGTTGTGGCGTGCGAGGAGCGAGTGGGAGCGAGTTTCCTCTGCGAACTTGTTTAGTTTCGGTAATGGGTGTTGCGGATGGACACCTACTCTCGCGGTCTATCAGGACGTCTGTTCCCTTTCCATATGCGCGCAGCAGAATCGCATCGTCATCAACCTCGACTTTGGAGAGACCGGGCAGCTTGTTCACCGCTTTCAGAAGCTATCCGTCGTCTTAGCTGTTGCGTACAGAAAGGGGGGGGGGGGGCCGTCGCCAGCAGAGCACTGCTAGCATATGCATACCGTGTTCGTAATGCCGTCGGTGAACCTCACAAACTCAATTGTATCCTGAGATTCCCGCCATTCTGGCCGTAGCGCGAGTATGAGGTTGAGCGCAGAGTTGCGCGAGTCGGAGTTGTCGTAGTACTGCGGTATGTTCCGGAGAGAGTCGTACGGTGATTGTGCTTTACTCATAATGATGTCTCGACACTATTCCATGGTTAGTCCCTTGGTGTGTTGTGGTGCTGGCTGGGCGGCAGGAGAGTTAAGAAGACATGGAGAGATCCTTCCGTCGCATGTGAAAGGGCGAGTCCCAAACAGACAGCAGTCGCAATGGACTGGCTGCATGACGTACCAATTGAGGATAGCTATGCTTCCGCTCGAGAGAAAAAAAAAGCAAAAAGAAGAGGATTCGGCTTGTCGGGCGGTCAAGGTGTCTTGTATGAACGAAGGGTGCAGGCAGAGCATGTGCCGATTCGATCGACACCCACGGGGGTCGCGTGGGCCCTTTTCTCAAGCGCTCTCTTCCCCTGTCCTAGCCCCGCAAAGCGCCACAGACCCTTTCCCTGTGCAACTGCCTCAGCCACATGACGTCCCTCGTCTTCGTGCGCGGCCATCAATGCATTCTGAACCTGCATTCCCAACCCAACCTGATCCAGCTCGTCTACGCTACACTCGATAGCCTGTCCTGCCCACGACTGCCGTCAGCTAAGGCGGATACCCGGCTTGGTACGTGCAACTTGTGGCTGTCTATGCATAGCGACGTCTGCTGCGGGGCTTACAATGTCACTATGCCACCTGTGGGTGCGTTTTATACCGCCGATTGGGTGTCGGCAAACCACCTGCTTGATGGAGGGATAGCACATGCTGATGTACATGTTGGTGGTCCATGACGTTGAGGTGAAACGCGGCAGTCGCTGCAAACTGTCATCTTGTTTATTGCTAAATCTCTTTGCTGAAGGTCGAGGCCAAAAGAACCTCACTGAAAACGCCGCGCTTGCTGCGCATAGGGTATATCCGTAGTCTAAACACCAAAGTTGAACTTCAACGTAGATAACACTCATTCCGCCCATACCGTTGCGCCCAACATATACAAGCCCTCATTGTACTTTCCTGCCAGTGCCCTTGCGGGCTCTCCACTTGTATGATCCAAGGCCAATATCCATAGCGCTGCTCTGCAGATTTGTCAACCCATCGAATGATTCCTTGCCCAGAGTGATGACCTTGACAGTATTGCCGAACCCTACCACGACGCTGCGCTTGCCTAGTCTGGTCATCGGACCAGGAGCTGCCACGAAAAGCTCGTCTTCGTACGAGCCCTCCGTTGTGCCATCGAGGTTATCAGGAACAAGCGGCCTACAGCGAAACTCCCCTGTACTGGATAGTGTCCACGCCTCCCACGTATCAACGTCGCCAGGAGCGTGACTTCTCTGATTACCCTTGGCGAACGACGTCTCAAGAGATTTGGATGGGTTCAGATTGCCTTGAATCTGAGCTCGCTGCTTGAGCGCCGATGCAAGCGCGGATGGATCAACACCTTGATTACCATCGTCAGCGCCTGAAGCCGTTGATGATGGTGTGGGTGATTGCGCATATCTCCTGACCCCTACAACACTGAGTGCATCCGTCGACTCCCACACTCCGGCAGGCTCAACGTAATGCACTGCCTCCTTTGCTTGATCGAGCCCCCGACACCGGTGCTTCTCCCTGTCCAATGGCTTTCCGAGACATATCTGTGACGACGTATTGTCGTCGAGGGAGAAATTTTGCATGACCATGTGGCCGGTGTCTAATTCTGTATATGCCACAGCAAGGGAGTTCACTGTTGGGGCTCCACATTGACACGTTCGTCGCATAGGATACAGGACCCTGAATGAATGCGGCTTGATGTGGCCGATCTGGAAGGCGTGCACGAGAGCTCGACTAGTAAAGTCAAAGATTTCAGCCTCCTCGTCACGCAGTGCGAAAATAAGACCTAGGCTGGGAACTGCCTCTATGCATCGAATCTTCGCAGGGTTGCTGCCTGGAGGTGGCCCCGGGTCAAGACCAGCGACTACTTCAGACATTATGTTGTTGTCCTCTGTCAGCGGCAAGATGTGTACTTCCCCGGGTTTTGTCACAAAAACAATGCTTGTGTCGCCATGAACTGAGGTGTATGTTGCGGTACAGGCGATGGGACTGGATGATACGCGTCTAGTGTAGTGGATGCCTGTACGTGCTTCGAGCTTCGTTAGATGCCCGTCCCGGCTGACGATGATGAGGTAGAGCTTTTCAACATCCAGGCGTGTTTTGAGGTAGACAAAGGTAAATAAAATGGGCGCCTGTCCGCGGATGTCGATTTTTGGAAACATGAGGAAACGTGATGCAGGGATATCCCATAAGCCGATTTGACCGCTCTCTGCACAGAGCGCAAGTATGTTGCCACCGTCATCCATGGCGGTAGCGTAAATGGGCCAAAGCTTTGGTTTCATTGATGCTGTCTGCAGCGTAGTGTGCAGATATCCTCCACGACCGTGTAGCCATAGCGCAGTACTCCTGTCAAGAGATATACTAGCAAGATGGCCTTTTGAACAGGAAATCAAGTGCACAACGTCTAGGTTCTGCGGCGTTGGTAACGTCTTGATCGACAGTGTGACTTCTTCGTCCTCTTCGCTCTCTTCAGCAGTCTTCGGAAGTCCACTCCAAAGAAGGTAGTTCATGAACAGTGTTACAGCCGCAATAAGGGTAACAACGATCAAGGCTACTGGGAACGCATGTCCACGCGCAAAGCATCGGAGCCCATCCATGAAAGACAACGGTGGCTGGGGTCGGTCGCGTCCATACGCCCCCTTGGCAACAACCAGGATGGGGTCATGTATACGAGCTACAAAACTCGGAGCATCGGGCTTGATAAAGCCAAAGAGTTCCCGGGCAGTGTTGTGGTCTTGGATTCTTAGCCAATCAGCGGGGGTCCTAGCCTGATTGATTGGTGGTGGGCTCCATGTATCAGTGGCGCGTCTGCGTTTTCTGGACGTGAGGTTCCGACGAAGTGTGTCGAGAGACAGCTGCTTGCCATCGCTGTCGAAAAAGTGCCAGTTGATAGCGAGAATAATGGAACAAATGGCTACAGTCCCGGCAAATCTCGTGCTGAGTGGCAGAGTACCCTCAAACAGTGCCCCGAGCCAGGATTGTCGTTCTGCCCGGTTCTTCTTATTACTTTGGTTGAGATCCTCGCGCTCCAGCGAGTCCGAAAGCTCCATTCTTTGCACGTCCACACTCAAGACTGCGACAAAGAAGGTCAAATGGAAAACAAGGTCGAATACAAGTGTAACGGCAGCGAAGACGCAAAAGTCAGCTACCCAAGGTGAAACGAGCCGAGAACAAATGTATAATAGGGCGAGATTTTGAAAGGCGATGGCAAGGGACAAGTGGCCGACTTCTCCTAGCGCATTTCCGATTCGCTGTTGGGGAGGCATCTCGGGGGGTGTCTCTAGGACGACATTAATCAGACGAAATCTAGTACCGTTAGCCAAATCGAACGTGAAGCCGCAACCGTACGTACATATTTCCTAAACCGAAACAAAAAACAACTCCAGGAAACCATGGCCGGGGTATCCGTGCTAAATCGATTCCAAGGTAGGTACAGAGAGTAAAACTTGCAATCACGCATATAGTCATCTAGTCAGTGGTTAGCAATCGCATCCGCGCCTTACGAGACTGAACTCACCTTGACACATATCGTTACAAGCAGGCCAAACCAACTTTTGACTGCTCGCAGCTGCATCATCCTCCATATGACATAGGCAGCGGTCACCATGTAGGATGCCGCGAGGAACAAGTCGTCATTCAGGGTCATTGGCTTGAAACGGAATTCATAGAGTCGGCTTCGCCCTACCTGGCCATCAGGCGGGAAGATGGTCCAGTCCGGAGATAGTTTTTCCGCTAGAAGGCGCGACCTTGAGTCCCATGTATCTCCCAGGCTCGAATTGGTCTGGTCAAACAGCGTGATGACCAATGCATCTGCGGCGCGAAGCTTGGTGTTGGAGAAGGACTTGCCGGCAAAAACGGTGCTCGGTCGCAGCGTGACGTTGAGTGGCGAGCGTATTCGAGCATGAGCGTTGATGGTTCCGAGGAGGTCGGAGTCCTTCTCCAGCGCGCTCAAAGAGCAGTCCCAGTACAGCAACGGCGAATGCCAACCCCACTTCTCTCCCGGTGGTGCTACAACGCAGCCTGGGCCATGGCGGGCGAGCATGTGCTGGTCGTCGTATGTAGCGCCTTCTCTTGTATCGAAGCCACCGTTGATGAGGACTTCCTGGACATGCATTGCTTCGCGCAACACAGGTAGGGCAATTGCGTTCATATAGTCTCCATGAACCCAGACCTGACGCACTACGACGTCGGCAGATCGCTCGCCCTCGACCTCGGTGGTCGATGTCCAGACATGCTTGGGGAGGTTGCGTAGAGCGGCGGCGGCAGAGCTGTCGGCCTGGAAAACCGCCTGGTAACAGAGGAGGACGGATATGGTAATGGTCAGGACGATGGAGAGCAGCCAATGCCGTGCAGTTGCCGTGCCGTGGGCCTGGAACGCCCGTCGGATGGGGTGCGAGGTGGATAGCCGTGGTGGTTCAGTGGTACTACATATTGCCGTTTAGCATCATCCATGGGCACCCGCATCGGACGCGTGCTCGTCGCAGGGCGGCTACTCACCCACGCAGCGGATAGAGAAGATACCAGATCATTCGGGGTCGCGGTGCCTCTTCTCCAAGGGCATGCCCGGGCTGGAATTGGATGAGGCCTCAGCTGCGGCCGAGGGTTTGCGACGCACTCTTCGTCGAATGCGATGTGTACGAGTGTGGGGCGGCTCGTTCATCTGTCGGAGCAGGCGCGAGGGACGGCCGGAAGGCGCGACTTGGTTTTGGCGCTCTAAAGGCACGACGTCGGCGGGCGATGGCGATGGCGCAGCGTCACTTTGACTTTGCGGCAAGTTCCAAGGGCCGTCTCGGTCTCGATGTGCATGATTGATCATTCGTGGCGTTGGGGCGCCGGCGACGTCGAGTTCGCTGCCAAGAACGGTCCTGTCTCATGGCATCGGCCGCAACTTGGTGTTACACCCTCAGCTTCCCCTCGCCAATGGGCTTGCTTCCCTGCAAGCGACAGGCGCAGACCGTCCACATGCGGGCTTGCAGGCACGGGCAAAGTCATCTCGTCCTACACACAGATCCTGACCAAGTCGCCGACGCCCGCTCTATTCAGCAGCTCGAGGCGGGACACGAACGCGAACGCGGTAGCATGCAGAGTGGGGAATGATTGGCGTGTGGCTTCGTCTATTCAGGAGCTGTCACGGCAAAACTGACAGCATCCTAGTGCCCATCGTGGGTTCGCGGCGGCATCCTACATGCAGGGACCGTCCCACGCTGTGCCAACTGCTTGGGGTTGGGTAATGTCCATAGCCTCAAGTAGCGCTTCTTGCTATCTATCCGTGCACGCTGGGTATCAAGAAAAATCTACAGTACATGTGAAGACGTCTAAGAGCTGCCAGACCAGCCTGTACCACACTGACATATCCCAGACACAATCAGCCTGTGCTACTCCAGTCGTCAAAGTTCAACGTTGCTGCCCAATTTCCCCAATCTCGGTCTCATTACCATCGGAGCCGCTTTCCAACTTCTTGCTGACCCAGGGGTCTCCTCATCGCGGCTTAGTCGAACAGCTGTCACCATCGGACTCCATCAACATCACGTATACTCGGAATCACGTGCCTTCCATGGTCTCATCATCATCAGCGTCATCGTCCCCCTCCTCGGCGTCATCTTCCCATTCTTCATCTTCCTCGCCGGTGGAAGGGCCAAGTACGTCGTTGAGCTCCTTCAATAACTCATCGGCGTGTTCCTTCAATCGCTCATCCTCGTATTCCAGCATAGCGAAGAGTTTGAGGCAATTCTCCAGCCAATCGCGACTGGCACGTAGTAGAGATGTTGCAACCTTGTCTTCTCCCTTGGTCTTTTGTTTCCCAGCCAGCAAGTGAAGACACCATCCGCCCAGATACCATGCCTCAACGCTGCCATCGTTCTCGCCCACTAACCGCTCCAACACTTCAATAGCTTCGTCTTCCATTTCAGCTTCCATGAGCAGGCGGGAAAGACTGATTCTGGTCGAGTAGTCTGGAACCTTGGGGTCATCTGGATCGAGGTCTTTCCAAAGGTCCATACTCCTTGTCAGCGCAGATTTCGCTTCGTCCGGCTTCAGTTGCGAAATGCGTATCGATGCGAGCGTCTGTAGTGGTTCTGGGTTTTCGGGTGCGAAAAGCAGCGCTTCGGTGACTGCGGCGTTGCATCGCGCTTCGGCGTCCTCTTCCCAAGAGAGATCTGTCATATAGACTTCAGCAATACCACAGAGCGAATTTGCGATCTTTTGCCTCTTCTCCTCTAACAGCTCTTCGACTTCATTGTTCTTCGCCCGCTTCCCTTCCAGTTCACTGATCTCTTTCTTCAGCACTTCAATGCCCTTTTCGAACCACCGCACACTCTCGGCGCCTCCCTCTTCATTCAATTGTGCCAGCCATAGGAACTTCTCGGCTCCGTCGTTTGCGCCTTCTGGGTCGATTACGATGGCCGCTTGAAAAGCTTCTCGCGCAGAATCTGGGTCGCCCAATTCCACATTGATCTCGCCGAGGAGGTTCAGTGCAGGCAGCGCTGCAGCAGAAGGCTTCGATGTGCCGGGCTGGAGTAGGTTCAAGGCTCTTCGCGCGGCGACGAGCGCTTCTTCGGGTTGTGACGTTTGTAGGAGTGTAGCCGCTTGAATCAAAAGTTCCTCTGGCGATGCTTTCGACTTTTTCGACTCGCCGCTCTTTGCGCTCTTCTTCGTCTTGCGATCGGTAGGTTTTGTTTTCGCCATAATGTGAGATTATGCGTGTTGTGGTTGCAGACGTCAGAAGCCTGGTTACCAAAAATTATTTCTCGAGATCGGCAGTCGGACGGAGCTAACGTGGGGAAAGCGCGCCCCGCCAAAGCAGCCTCAGTGTCACTACAGATGCCATCACTCCCACAGTTTCCATACTTGGCTTTACACAATGGGCATCGAAGACCAGAAAGAAGAGCGAGAGGTGCTCGAGTCAATTTTCCCCGACGAGATTACAGGTAGTGCTACTCTGCGCAACATCTTCGGACCGTCTAGTGACAATCCGCAGATGTTTCCGAGACCGAGTTCCGAATCGCAATAACGCTCGACGATGGCCGCCACGAAGACGATGAGAGCGAAGAAGAGCAACGTATGCGACTGCACCGTCTCTCCAGGCAAACACAAGCTCACGACTACCAGCCGTCATCATCCTGAATGTTTCCTACCCGCCCAACTACCCCGACGAAGCGCCCAGGCTTGATGTAACACAACCGCCCAACGCGCCGAGACACGCCTACCTCGATATACAAGAGGACAAGCAGCGGCTGCTAGACTCGCTCACCGAGACGATTGAAGAGAATCTCGGCATGGCCATGGTCTTCACCCTCGTCACCGTCCTCAAAGACAGCGCTGAGCTCCTCATAACCGAGCGCCAGAATGCAAAACAAGCCCTCGCCGACATAGCCGCTGCCAAAGCTGAGGAAGAAGAGAACAAGAAGTTCCAAGGTGAAGCCGTCAATCGAGAAACATTCCTCGCATGGAGAGACAAGTTCAGGAAAGAGATGGAGGACGAGAAGAAGCGCAAGGAAGAGGAGAAGGAGCTGGAGGACAAGAAGAAGAGGATTGTCAAGGAAGAAAAAAAGTTGACGGGCAAGGAGCTGTGGCAGCAGGGCTTGGTCGGAAAGGTGGATGACGACGATGATGACGACGTAGACGAGGTGGATGTAGGGAAGTTGAAGATCGAAGCGACCTCATGATGATACAAGACGTCGACATGTCAGGTCACATATATACCCATCTTGCTTAACTTCCTGAATGCAGTACGCTGCAAGTATCACGGATATAAGATAAAAGTCATACACATGTTACACCACGCAGATGCAACATAACGCTGTCCATTGTACTCATGATTCTGGCTTTATGACTCGTATGGGATGCCTCCTCCTTCCTCTTACAATTGTCTGTCCCTCCTTCAGCGCAAGTTCGGTCTCCATGTCTACAATCCTTTGCATCTTCCTCGTAATTTGTCTGTCCTTCTTCAAATCCTTTTCATATGCTTCCCGGTTCTCCGACTGCGAAAGCCGAACCGCATCTGTCCATCTCACAGTATCTTCGCGCTTCTTCAATTGCTCGTTCATGAGCACATCCCACTTATCCTCCTGCTGACATATGGGCAGCCACCAATTGTCCAGAAGAACCATGGTGTCGAAGAGCTCCGTTTTTCGCTCTAGTCTCTGGTGGAGGACTTGACTCAAGGCTGGAGGCTGGGGCTTTGTGAGCCGGAGGAAGGGTATGCCGTTTGCAGAAGCGAGTATGGGAACGTGGCGGGGTCCAGAAGTTTGCGCATACGGACGAACATTGAGGACAGCTTTCTCGGGTGGTAGGCGCGCGAGCCGTTCTTTGAGGGGATCTGGCGGCGTCTCTCGCCGTGGCTTTATTGGTAGAATGCGCGTCAGAGCGCAGGGTAGTTGGGAAACCAGCCGCGTCAGAATGCTTGTGCTGGTTGCGTCTCCAGTAGCGGAGGCATCGAGATGGTCAAGCGTCTGCATATTGTCAGTTAATTGTGTAAACAATTAACATGACGAACACCATACCTGGTAGCCAGCTTTGAAGCTTAGGCCCAACTGATACGGACTCTGTATCTTTCTGTTCCGTCGGAACTTGTTGCGAATAGCGTTGCGCAAAGATACGCGGTCGTCATCCGGGAGTGGAGCGGAGGAACATCGCGACAGCAAAGCTCGATATAGAGCAATCGCTAATGGCTCTGTTAGGATGAAAGCAGGTCTTGGTAGTTTGAGAATCTAACCTGCTACACGATGCTGTGTCGACTTTTTAGGCTGCAGGAATCGGGGCATGCATGAGATGGCTTGGTGGTGTTGCGAAGCTTGAGCTGCAACGCGAAATATTTGGACTGCGATGTCATCGTCACGTGCGCACCATGTCTTAGAGTCAAGTACAGGATTGTGCCCGCTGAGTGTCTAGATGTACCTCAGCCTGACAGATTACTTGGGTTTCTGCAAGGATTGCGCTTGACTTATTCACAGGGCATAAGGGAAAAGCAAGATGGAGGATGAAATATGCCGCTTATTATCCTGGTATCTTGCCAGACTGAATGGCTAGGCTAGCAGACCATAACTCCGTTCCATGCACTGTGACTGCCTGTGTGCCATACTGTCATATATCGTGTTGATTTCACCCTGCCCAAGACTGCCTTCTTGGTACAGGCCGTGTGCTCGATGTTCTTAGAATGTGGCTCCCTCGGGCGGCTGGGGAAGCTTCTTGTTCTGCGGCAGCGCCATGTACCTGGAACCCAGTCAGTCTTGCGCAATAGGAATCTGGAGATGTTCTAACCTTCGAAGCTCTATCAGTATCGTCTCCATGGTGAAGTCCCGCTTCCACTGAGCCAGACATGGCAGCTTTGACGCATCGACCTGGCCTTGTTAGCATGCACACAGCATCCACGCCTTTGGTCATCGCACCTTTCCGTTCTGAGGGTTGACGCAGGGCAGGTTGATCTTGGACGTGAACTTGATCTCGGGAGGCGTGTCGGGGTAGTCTGGGCCGCAGTGAATCGATACGCTGTAGATACGGTTCTCGTGGACGCTCTGGAATATGGTCAGTATACGGTGTCTTGATTGTAGACAGAAGTGCATACGTGTGGTGGACCAAGTATAGTACCGTTCCAGTCGGACATCAGGAGGTCATCGCCGTTGTCAAGACCATATGAACAGGCCTCTGTGAACTCTCAGCAACCTGCTACCCATAGCTATACCACAAGTCTACCATACCGGCACCGAGACCTTTCTCGCCCTTCTCTAACTCTTCCAGCAAACGGAAGTTACGCGGGACTTTGGCGCCCATAGTAGCTACAGTATGTGTGAAGGCTGAATGGAAGAGTCGCGCGTGAGGAAGTGGGCTGGACCCCGCTATGCGATACTGGGAACTGTCGGCGGCTGAGCTGGGGTTTGGGCAAGACCGAGGACCAATCTGGAAAGCGCACAAGTTGATGTCTGTGTCCGATGCACGTTAGGCGCAATTGTAACTTGCTGCGTGTCAAAGCGTTCGATGTTTGTCCAAAGATGCCAGTCGGCCTCACTAGCGTCGATGGTTATGACGAGGTGCCAGGGTCTCACCTGGCACGCGTGCATCGCTTGGCCTGTCGCCTCTAGACGCGACAACTATACGTTGCCTCTAGCAATTCGACCAAACAACAACACAGTACCGCATTCTCGAGTCGCTCCTTTGCTTGCATTGACCGTCCAGATGCTCCGGCTCATACCAAAAGAATGACAGCTCAAATCTTGGCGGCTGAATTAGGCAACCTTATACAGGATGCAAAGCGCAAGAACACAGAACTACGAAATGCTGCAGAAGCAGCTTTGAAAGACTTGAAGTCTCTTTCTAATACTTCTGAGGCTCAACTTTCGGCTGGTGAGCTAGCCCAATGTCCGTCGCTTCACATATATTGACCGCAGTAAAGATCTCTCCCGACGGCCTCATTTCATCTCGCCTTTTCTAATTGCCTGTGGAACTCAGAACGCCAAATTCGCATCTACAGGAATCTCATGTCTCCAGAGATTATGTGTTTCGCGGTCGTTGCCACGAGAACGGCTGACAGAAGTACTAGAAGCATTTCGGGGATCCGTGGCATCAAGTAAAGAAGGTCAATCACCGAGCGCTTTCAATATAGCTAACACTACCAGGTCATGATGTTCAGTTGAAGATACTGCAGGCGTTGCCTTCACTGGTGCAGAACTACCCCGCGGAAATACGGAGCGAGTCACTATCCGCTGTCCTGCAAATCTGTTCAAGTCTTCAGAATGCGAAGAATTTCGCCGTCAGCAACACGGCTGCAGCTACGTTGCAACAACTAGTCATTGTTGTATTCGACAGGGTTGCATCAGAAGATGGTATTTTGTCGAACTAAGAGTACATACGTGTTGTAGACTGACCAAGCGCAAAGAGAAGTCCCTAGAGATCCCTACAGTGACCGAGGTGAAAGGCGACGATGGCCAAGTATCCGTCAGGCCGGCAGCGAACGATGCCTACAAGGTCTGTAAACCTCTTCCATGCTAGAGGCTTTACTGATCGAGCTTAGATGTTTACCGATCTTATTGCACTCGTCGTAGGAGAGAAACCCATCTTCATGCGATTCGCTTCTCTGCCGCCAGCCTCAACACTGGAACTAATCGAGGCCATCTTATCAAATCACAATAAGATCATGACGACCCATCTTGAGCAGATCTACATCATGCGATCCCAGCTGATGCCGCTGATAATTCGCTCGCTATCTGACCGTCTGTCCTTCGCAGTAACTGTTCGTATCATCCGGATACTACATCTCATCATCCGATATCACCTTGACACGCTTCCCTCCGAATGCGAGATTGCGCTTGGTCTTCTGAACCACATGCTCGATCCCGAGGCTTCTCAGGCATGGAAAAGAGCTCTTTGCCTCGAAGTGTTCCGCAGCATCTACGCTGATTCTAGACTTCTTCTAGCAATTTATGCGCTCTTCGATGCGGAAAACGGAAAAAAGAACATATTCGGAGACAATCTAGCTGCTTTCGTTCGTCTTGCGACCGAGAAACCAGCAATCATTGGCTTAGGCCAACACTCGACAGCTGCCGCTGGCTTTGAGGACAGTAGTGCCGCGGTGTCAGACCAAGCTGTTGCAGAAGCGGGTGCATTGGCCGGCGTCATAGGGGGCTCCGTGAGCGATAGTAGCAACAATGTTCGTCCTTCAGGTATCAGCATGCAGTGGAGTTCTCTCAAGACTCCTTGTATCGAACATCTCGACAAAACCGAGCCGCCTGCATTACCTGAAACGTACATATATAGTCTGGTGCTAACTTGCATCACTAATATTTCCGAGAGCTTAGCGAAGTTTGTTCTTCCTCTGACCGTACATCATGAAAATCGGAATCGGAAGAAAATCAAGGCCGAGGAGACGAACGAAAACGACACAGACGCATCTCCAGATCGAAACGTTCGAAGGCTCTCGAGAACTCACTCTTTCCGCAAAAAGACTATACCAGTCAACCCTCTGGACTTGACCGATCACGCAGCGTACCCCTACGTGCAAATCTCAACGAAATTGGTCACGGAATGCTGGCCTGCAGTCCTTGCAACCTGTTCAACATTTCTCAATGCGACGCTTGACGCAGACTATTATCGGGCTCTAGTCCGAGCCATACAGAAATTCACCCAGGTCGCTGGACTTCTTAGACTCTCAACACCGCGAGATGCGTTTCTCACAACCATGGGCAAGGCAGCAGTCCCGTCAAACTTGCTGTTAGCTAACGCTGCGTCACCTGTGGGTGAAAAGCCTGGTATCTTCTCTAATGCAAGAGGGATGCTCAGCGTAGACAGCTTCGTGAGTCAAGCTTCCTCAATGTCCACTGATAAAAACCGGCGCCCTTCACACGATGTGTCAGCACCTACACTGGGACCTCGCAATCTATTGTGTCTACGGGCTCTGCTCAATTTGGCAATCGCGTTGGGCCCGACGCTGCAATCAGCCTGGTCCATCGTCTTTGAGACGCTTCAAGTAGCCGATCTAGTGCTATCCTTGTCCAGCCAGACTAGCAGTCGTGCATCTGTATCTGGAAATCGTATGGATATGGAAACCAACACGGAGAAGATGGAGGCAGAAACCTCAGCTGTGCAGAGCGCCGCTCGCAGACTTTTCGAGAGTACTGTGGACTTTCCTAACGATTCCTTCTCTGAGGTGTTGCAAGCTCTTTGCTCACTTCTCAATGGTGTATCGCCTTCAGAGAGCGGGCAAAGAACGCCAACCACTTCTGGCCGCCCCCAGGTTTTGCATCAGCGGCGGCTTGGTAGCGTATCTGGAATACCTCTTAACACGGATGCAAACTCCCGCGATTCGGCGTTCGCATTGAACAAAATCGGAGAGTTGGCTTCGCTAAACGAAAGCAGATTGTCGCAATATGATCCCGCAGAAAGTGGATGGGATATCCTGATTCGAGAAGTTGTGCGTTACTCTACCGACGGTCGAAAAGCCACATCTACGAGGCTGCTGGCAGCCGATATTCTAGCTAGGACGGTCAGGGAGATTGCTGAGCTTTCCATGTCCGATGAGCAGCGCGAAGAAATCCAAGCTCGCATACTTGCTGCATTGCAAAAACAGATTACTGACCTCCATCACTATGATGGTATCAGCAAAGACACGATCACTGATACGGATATACGTGTTCACCAGATAGCTCTTGACGCACTCAAAAACGTGATTGAGCAATGTGGAGAGTCGCTAGTTGCTGGCTGGACCTCTGTCATCGAAAGCTTGATGAGCGTCTTTACTCATCAAGCAGCACCAGAACAGGGTGCTACAAAAGACGTCGATACCTCAGACCTCAGCAAAAGCACTAATACCACTGTAGACGTTATCTCAAGGTCTCTTGCTCGATCCGCATTTGCAACAGCCAACCTCGTTTGTTCGGATTTCATGACCGCTGTTCCGGATGCTTGCCTCTCGACGCTCCTAGAACTCTTGCGCAGGTTCTGCTCCCAGCGAGAGGATCTGAACATGTCACTCACTGTGAGTCTCTGCTCCGAGCCCATGGTACACGCCTAACCTGCTACAGGCGATTACCTTCTTTTGGAACGTGTCCGATTACTTGCAGTCACGGACCGACCTCTCTTTATTGACGAAAGTTGTTTCTCAAGCCAGTGACAAGGAGCAAGTTAAACGAGATGTACACACGTGCCCACAGGAAGGAAATACTGCAGCTTTATGGCTTCAAGTTTTGCTAAATCTCTCATCCATCACAACAGATGAACGTATGGAGGTGCGACATTCTTCAATACAAACGATACAAAGGATCTTTGAAAACTGTTCGGACCAACTTTCTTCGGAAGTGTGGTTACTATGCCTTCGCACTATATTGTTCGGTATGGTAGAGGCCAATTTGGACATCCAAAACGACAATAGACAGCAACGACCACGTAAAGACGATCTGAAAGAATGGGATGAGACTACGAAAGCCGTTCTCCAAACCGTTACCGTCCTCAACACGCTTTACATGGAAAAGCTGGACAGGTCCCAGCTCGGTGACGCATGGTCAGAGCTACTCGAACTCCTGAAACGCTACTTCGATTACCGCTCGCATGCCTTAGGAGCTTCGGTATTCCGTACAATGACAGGTATCCTATCTCAGGCCGAAAACGCCAATGTGTTGGGCACGGATCCTCTTCTCAAAACTGCGGCAGTGTGGAGAGGCTACTTTCCCACTCCAGATGCTTGGCAAGACACACACGAAGAGGATAACCAAGACGCTTTTGTAGCATATGCAGAGGCTTTTAAAGCGATCTATCGGCTCGCAGATGGACTCCTTATCAAAGATTTGCCTTCTATGCTCACGAGTCTCGAAGCCTGCGTTGTTAACTCAGACGAAGTCGCTTACTCGTCAGATCTGGATACTATGACGACGCTTCAAAGTCAGATCATGGAATGCTTGGCGACAGTCAAGACAGAAGGTACTGGCATTCCGTCGTATCTAATACGTTTGTTGGGCCGGTTTGTTGCGCTACCGTATACCTCTTTGGCTGAGTCTCCGGAGAAGCGCGGACCGACCTTTGTAGCACTTTCAAAAGCATCAATGACGCTGCTGCAAGACATTGCCATCAGACATGTTGGGGTGAAAGAGATGTATACAAGCAACGCACTGTCATTTGCTCTTACCAGCTTAGCACGGCCGATAGAGGAAAAGTATGTGTGGCAGCGAGAAGGCAGAGCACCGACTCTGTGGCAAAAGGCCACTACGACATCCACAACAATACTTGAGTCAGTGTTGCCACATATTGAATCCAGTAAAGACATTTGGACCACACTCGTCGACATCGCGTACTGCATTACGCGAGCGCAATCATTGCCTAGTGCTCAGACTTCACTTGGGAAAGATGAGCAGTTCGACATACAATCTTTCACTCACTTTCGCAACCTCATCACGCTACCGCTCGGCTCCGCTTCGCTGCCAGATAGTCTTCGACGTACATACGCTCGCAATCTCTTCTCCACATCTTTGACCCATAGCCCTCTACCTGGAGAACTGCCTGAGACCGCCACTTCGCCACTCGAAGAGCTCTACAAGATACGCCTTGGACAGACTGCGGAGCTGGATTATACATGGCGACCAGACATGAGCTATGCCTGTCTCTCCGAGCTCTTTCGCCTTGTCTCCCTGCACGATAGCAGTCCGGAATACATCAAGCTAGCTCAAGCAGCGGCTCCATATCTCATTCTAAGGTGCGCACTTCCGCTCAAGACGTATATCGCAGACCAGCCACTTCGCGGCCGCATGCCTGCACCAGAATCGCAAAGGCGTGAGCTGATTTTTGTACTGGAACAACTGGAGAAATTGAAGAGCGAGCCACAGGCGATACCTGATGCCCCGGGAGTCAAATCCAAGCACCGAAAGCATCTGCACAGGCTGTACCCATTGCTTCTCAGAGCGACGAGGGTAGCTAGGCAGGATGGTGAGGTATTTGAGCACTTGGCAAAGCTGACTGATTTGATCGGTGATGAATTTGGGTTAGATGATGACTGAAAGTCCTTTTGTACTACTAAATGGACATGTCCAAGTTTGTGGACTATACTCGCGAAGGTGATGCCATAACTTTGCCCACGTGATGCCTCAATCACTACCGAGGCTGATGAGTTGAAGGCGGTTCGTGTCTCTTTGACTGTACCTTCATAGCTTGCTACCTCAGCACGTTCGATGCTTTCTGCATTACTGTAATAACAAAACGAATGAAAGTAAGGGCTCCAAAGCACAAGTCAGGAGAAGACGAGCGCCCTCGTACTTCGTACTCAAGCTAAGCGGATCTTTCGGGCATCCCCGCAAAGCACAGACACCGGAGACATCAGACAGCTCCACACATCGACTTCTGTCGCGGAACACTCGCGCGCAGGCGGAATTAACCATGAGCGCGACATCGCCAGCGGACAGGAATACTGCGAGCGATACGATGAGTCCAGCGAACGACTCCAGCAGTAACTCGAAGCGGAAAAACGAGAATGGCGCGCCCACACAGCGCGCGAAGCGTGAGTGGACTTGATACACGACATGGCATGCGACCGGAGACTGATTTGGTATGCTTGGTTTAGGCAACAGATACATAAGCATCGCGTGCAACGAATGCAAAAGACGAAAGATCAAGTGCAATGGCGAGACACCATGCCAACGTTGCGGGAACCTCAACCTGGAGTGCGCCTACGCGCCCAACTGCTGCAACTCGTTCAAAGACAGCGACGAGTTCAAGCAAATGTCAACACACATAACTTCCCTCCAGCAGCAGGTTGATGACCTGTTCCAGAACCTCAACGCGCTCCGGGCTCAGGTCGACGTGCAGAGCAATGGCTCAATCGGCACCCCATTCAACCCTGACTACCAGCAGACGCCCATGTTACCTCCCCAATCCGCCCGTTCGCGATCCAAATCCTTCAGCAAACACCCTCGTTTCCACGGCCCGACGTCGAATGCATTCAATGTTGGGGTGGCTAGGTCAAGCTTGAAGACCATGGGCATAAACGCGGGCGAGGAAGGTGAAGACGATGGCATCTTGACCCGCGACGCAACTCCAAGAGCGTCCCCTCCAATACTCCACCCCATGGTGCCAAAACGTCCCTTGCATACGGATAAGGACCCGATATGGTCCATCTCCAAGCACGAGGCTATGCGCTTGGTACATGTTTGGCACGAAGAGATGGGCACCATGTACCCTATCCTGGAAGTGGACAAATTGTTACGCTATGCCGAGATGTTGTTCACGTTTGTAGAAGCTGCGGCTAGATCGGGTCTGATACAAGGCTCGTATCCTGGGTCAGATGCAATGGTCGATGAACAGATTAGCGTATTGAAGCTCGTTCTCGCAATAACACTGGTCCTCGAAGGCGGAGGAAAGGACCCTTTGGGCGAGAGACTCTTCGAGAACGTACACAAGATTGTGGACAAGGCCTTGACCGATCCTGTCAGCCTCCATGGAATCAGCCTCTTGGTGCTGACAGTGAGTAGTGGATTCTCTTGTGACTGAACTTCGCTCACAAACGTAGGCCATGTATCACTTCACCCGTGATGATGAAGCTATGGCCTGGCGCGTCATTGGCCTAGCTGCGCGACACTGTCTAGAGTTGGGCTTACATCGTCGCGATACGTACTTGGCTCTCTTCCCCGATCCCGAAGAGCAAGCAGCAGCAATTAGGACTTTCTGGACAATCTACGTGCTCGATCGTCGTTGGAGCTTCGGCACGGGGATGCCTTTTGCTCTGCAAGACGCGGATATTGATACTAATGTGCCGAAACCAGACATATCTACACACGAGTCTACGCCGTATCTCAACGCCATGATATCATACTCGGTCATCGGCTCGAAGGTATGGAAGTCTGTCGCCGATGTAGGACACCAAGACAAGATTAACAAGGATGACATATCTTTCCTTGACTTTCAGGTTTTGAACTGGCACCGTACTATACCGGATTCATTAAAGTTCGTTCATCCGGACAGCGGTAGACAGGTCGAACCTCCTGCACGAGTCGTCCACCGTTTACAGGTCGTGCTCTACCTTCGAGCCAACCAGATGCGAATACTCATCTACCGCCCAGTACTACATACCGCAACTACCATCATGGAGAATCTTGAATTTGCACACGTTGTAGTCAAGGTCGCCAAGGATACGATTCGCATACTGACATATATCAACCAAACATCGGACATCTACAGAAGCCAACAGACTATGTTCAATTACTTCCTTATTTCGGCTCTGGCAGTATTGTTCCTAGCTGTTGCCCATGCGCCAGCTGAATTCAGTCAGCAGTCTCGAGACGAGTTCTACATGGCTCTTGAGCTCGTCCGTGGCCTATCGTCAAACTCATACGTATCGAAACGTCTCTGGAGAACTATCAAGACGATCAAGGAAGTCGGGCCCCGTCTGGGACTCGTCATACGCAACGACGACACCCATGACGCACATTCATCGGCTGCTGTTGCAATGGCAGGTCTTGCAGGTCACTCGATGGACGATCTAGCCCTCTTCTCAAACGGCCGTAACGGGTCTAATCTTGATACACCGCATGGAATGGCTAGTGATTTGACGACCTTGTTCGAGGCTGCCGGAGGTATCTTCAACCTCAACGGCTTTGGAGGGACAGCGAATGAACTTCCTAGCTCAAATGGAGAGTTTGTGAATGGGTTCTCGCATGAGAATGACGAGCTGGCAAGGATTTTGAGAGACTTGTTTTGATGTGTAGCTGTTGAGCCAAGATCTTTCTTCTGATATATGTTAGACATTTATATTGTTATTGTAATACTTGATCTCATTCCGAATCCACGTGGTATTGGTAACAGAAACTATCGTGCTTCACCTCTATACCTAGCAAGTTCGCAGGGCCTGGCCTGATCACGTGCCAATCGCTAAGCTCGGCCAGGGCAACCTGCGATCTTCATCTGCCAAAACACAACTTGCAACATAGCTCTGCGACGCTTCAAGCCTAGCCGTACTGATAGCCAGGTAGAACCGGCGCAAGACACTCCACCGCCCTCTCACCAGACTCTGCGCTCGCTCGACCCCTCCCCCACCGGCCTCACCTGGATCACGACTTTCGCCGAGCCCTTCCCTGCCCGCTACCCCAACGCCAACACACATGCGATAACAAGGCTGCAAGTGCAGCTTCACAAAAGAAATATACCCTAACCCACAGCCATCTTGTACGATCTGGCGCCTTTGGCTTCCGTCACGCCTACACACATTTACCCCCACATTCGCATTTTCGAACCCCTCGTCTCTGGCATCACGCACGCATTGCGGCTGCGCGTCATAACCTGAGCCGCGTCTAGAAAGCGGTCTCGACGTCTCTACACCCAAGACAGCATGTCGTCATCTTCGCAGGTCACCGAGTCGTGGATCGCGTCCTTTTGCGGTCTTTTGGGCCACGAATACTTCGCTGAGGTGTCGGAAGACTTCATCGAAGATGATTTCAACCTGACGGGCCTGCAATCGCAGGTACCCATGTACAAGGAAGCTTTGGAGATGATACTCGACGTGGAGCCCGAGGACGACGAGGACGACGAGGAGGAAGAGGAGGAGGAAGAGGAGGAAGATGAGATACTGGGCGACGAGAGGGCACCGGGCTACCGAAGGGCAGGCGACCGCAGACATCTCCGCATAGCATCCGACCTCAGCGTGATAGAGAGCTCTGCTGAACTCCTCTACGGACTCATACATCAACGCTACATCACCTCTAGACCAGGTATACAGCAGATGGCTGAAAAGTACGAGCTTCAGCATTTTGGCACCTGCCCGCGCGTGAACTGCAACTCCTGCAAAGTTCTCCCCGTTGGCCTCAACGATAGCCCTGGCCACGAGACCGTCAAGCTGTTCTGCCCTTCCTGTCTAGACGTATATACCCCGCCTAACTCGCGCTTCCAAACCGTCGACGGTGCTTTCTTCGGCACAACCTTTCCTTCGCTCTTCTTCATGACCTTTACGGACCTCGACATCGGTGGTGGGCTGCGCAACAACACGTCAAACACTATCGATGCACTACAGCAATTACAATCGCAAAGCGCAGACGGCAAGTCGCGGAATACTACACCCTCAAATGTCACTTCCATAAACGGCGTCGCACCGCACAACCTTGCGCCTGGTCTCGGCACAGGCAGCATCTACGAACCACGCATCTACGGCTTCCGAGTCAGCGAGCGCGCACGATCAGGACCTCGGATGAAGTGGTTACGGATGCGGCCCACGGACGTTACTGAGCTTGACGAGACGAGAAGATATTGGGAAGAACATGATGAGGATGCAGACCGGCCAGACGACGACGACCTCAACATGGTCGATGTAGCGGAAGGCGGAAAGGGTGCGCCAGTGGACCGAAGAAAGAAAGCTATCCGGGCACGCAGACGGCCGACGAACGGATCCAACGCTGGTGGAGGCAGCCCAATGGACACCAACGGTGTTGGAGCAGCTGCGGGCTAGAGGTCTCCACAAACACCTGAGAATGTCGATCCCGATGCTACCGAATATGGGACAGATTTATCAACCAGCCAAATAGCACTGTACCTGAAAGGCAGGGCGAAAAAGGCGCAACGCCAAAGGGAGGCCATGTTCGAATGAGTTGGCTTAGTCAAGGACATTCTTGTCACTTTTCTTTCTTCACACCGTCACACTTTCACACAAGGGAGCGGAGCATAGTGAGTTGGGACTATTAGGTCGAGATTTTTTTTTTTACTTATTGTTCAAAGAAAGACGTATAAGAGGTGGAAAGTCTTAGCTGATTCTTGATGGAGTTTCCTCCGAGCATGACTCAATGAGAATCCAAGAATTTTACCTGTTCGTTTCTACTTTCAAAGCCATGGCGTTTGGAGTATCGCATTGACGTGACGCTTACAAGAACATTCCTAATGATGGAGTGTTCCACAGAAATTGCTATGCACTATGAGCATCCCTGAGACGTACGTTGGATGTTTGCTGGGTTCGATCGACGCCAGACACAGTCACAGGATGGATCTTCATAGTCAAAGGCGATAGAGTGATATGGACCACGCATGATTATAACATAATGAGGATTATTTCTACATATTCATAGAGCCGTGGTAAAGAGGTCAACAGATAATAAGTTTGCTCTACTCTTTCCAGGTCTGATCCCATCATTTACATCGTCGATAACCACTTACATACACACGTACAGAGCGTCAAGCTTCCTAGACTTTATTGAAACAAATTGGTATAAAGCGATATATGGTGCGAGAAAAAATAACTGAAATACAAGCTACGAGCTTATTACGCACGATGTGCCCATTCAGCGAGCTGGTTGGCCGAATCAACAGAGTCTTGGTTCTTCTCGTGGTGGCTCGTCATGGCCATGCCAGCACCGTGACCTTCGAGCGAATGCGTTGACATGCCCTCGTCGATTATGTCGTCATCAGGGATCTTGACCTCACGGGTGAGCTCGACGTAGTCGTACGCGAACTCGCCAATCTCGACGTCATCAATACCAGCAGCTTCTTCCTCTTCCGTCGCACGGAGCCTGAAGGCGGGGATGAATTTGCCAATAAAGTCAAGAGCTCCGAGGATAAGACAGGTCCCGAGGAAGGAGTATGCGCCGCCGGTGAAAGAATCGGCAAGTTGATAGCCAAGTTGCACCCAATGGTGGTTGAGCCAACCACCATCGATAACAGTGTAACCATCGAGATGCGCAATGTAGTCACTGCATAATGGTTAGTAACGCGAATTTTCAAAAATGAAAATTATCGTGTATGGCTTACGTAGCGAAAAACGCAGTGAGGATGTTTCCGATGAAGCCACCAACGCCATGGACAGCAAAGATATCGAGGGCATCATCGCAGCGGAGGAAATACTTGAGCTTCGTCGCGTAGTTGCAAGCAACACCACCACACACACCGAAAACAACAGCAGCCCAGGCAGGGACATATCCAGAACCAGGGGTGATGCAGACAAGACCAGCGATAACACCGGAGCAGAAGCCAACGGTGGACCACTTGCGTTCCAAACGGTAGTCAACTAGGCACCAGGTAATACCACCAACACAGGCAGCAAGATTGGTGCATACAGCAGCCATGATAGCGCGTAGGTTAGCAGACAGAGCCGAACCAGCGTTGAAGCCGAACCACCCCACCCAGAGGAATACAGTGCCGATAACAATGTGCGTGACGTTGTGGGGACGGTAGTTGAGTTCCTGGGTACCGTGACCACTTCGCTTTCCAAGCATGTAAGAGTAGGCGAGGGCAGCACATCCGGATGCAATGTGAACCGGAGTTCCGCCAGCAAAGTCCAAGCCACCCATTTGGAAGACCCATCCAGATGAGTTCCAGGTCCAGCATGCAATGGGGTCGTAGATGATAGTCGTCCAGACAAACATGTAGATGATGCAAGGTAGCATGCGTCCTCGCTCGGCAACAGCTCCAACGGCAAGTGCAACGCTGTTTACAATTAGCATCGGTTTTGAGGACCAAAGTGTGATAAACATACGTGATAGCAGCAAACATGCCCTGGTAGACACAGAACATGAGATCAGGAATACGCGGGCTTCCCACCGAAGGAGCACCCAGCACATTCATCAGGCCAAAGTTATCCAGCGCACCAATATACTTTCCAGCCTTGTGCGAAAAGGCTAGAGAGTAACCCCAGAAGAACCATTGGAAAGAGACGACTGCAGTCGCCATGACAGACAGCCATAGTAGCGATAGCGCCGACTTTCTGCGTGCCAGCCCGGAATAGAAGAAGCTGCAATTCCGTTAGACCTGTGTACATGGTTGCAAGGTTGCAAAGTTTCAAAGTGGAGTTGGGTTACTGACCCTACACCCGGTATCATAAGAAGCACGAGGGCGGTTGATGTGATCATCCAAGCGATATCGCCGGGCTAGAGAAACATGGCATTAGCCCCGCGTTACCACTAAAACCTTACGGTTCCGTCTCTGGTAGCCAAACTCACATTGTAAAACACATTGAGATTGTATAACCTCGAATCGCCTCCCGTGGGATCTGTGGTATTACCAAACGTCTCCAGAGGGAGTGTGGGGTCCAAGCCCGAAGATACGGGATCCATCCTGTCGTTTCCCGGGTCGTCGCTCTTTCGATTAAATGTTTGTTGGACTCGAATGTGTCATGTATCGGCAATGCGCGGTTACTGGCTACAAATCCGAAAAGATGCGAGGTAATTATGTAGACTTTAGAGAGTCGTAGAGAGAGAAGGGATTGCGTGCAGGCGGATGGGAAAGTGAAGATTGGTCGATCGCTACACGTTCAGGGATCTCCAAGTCTGCAGTTGACCCTTGGCGTCCGCCCCAATACTGAACAAGCAAAAAAATAAAAAAGGTCGCCGCTGGGAACGCTCAAATAAGGAGCATGTGCAAACGCGTTGCTAAGTATAAGGATAGGCGAGTCGCTTGATTGACAAGCTCACGAACCAACACCTAAACCGAGGGGTCTGTGGTAGCTATATGGAGGCTGAGCGTAGGAAAGAGCATCAAAGCTTCATCGCTTCCGCTACAGGATAGGCGATGCCGCTTTGATAATCTCCCAGCAAACAGGCATGAACATCCCCCTCTCCCGAATGCACGAACGCCACGGCAGTGGGGTGTTTGATAGCTGGTGACGGGATGAGAGGCAATGGCCCCAGGCCATGTCAGCCAATGTCCGACTACGAGTCCGTCGCTAAGCAAAATGCCAAACTGCAGGGTACCGCCCACACTTGGGGCGCGGCGCTGAGCCTGTTGCGGCTGTCGAACCACACGTGTGGGATGACAGTACGATGGGTTGCCGCGAGGCCTGGCTGCGATCACTTTTTTGGTTCCACCATGTAGTGGAGCAGTCTTGATCGTCTTTGGCTGTTCTGTGACTCTGTATCTCTTTTTGATCGACGTGATCACTCGTTCGCTTCGCCTTGTGATGGCAACTAACCTCCATGGGAGCCCTGAAGTCGCATCAGGCAATGCGTCGATCGAGCCCCCTCAGCACAGCTCAATCGCTATCAGCGAAATGATTCGAAAACATTGTTCACAGCTTGGGAGAAGAGTAGGAGCAAGGGTAGTGATAACGTGAGAGCGGCTGATAGGCTACGCCGGATACTTGGAGTTTGAGAACAAGTCCAGGCCATCCCTGGCTTAACATCTTCGGGTGCCGGGCGAGCCCGTATTTGGCAAGGTGCGTGCTTAGCGTAGATATGGCCATTAGAGACACCATGCAGCCTGTCGTTCCCAAGTACTGTATGGGGAATCTTGGGGTCTTGAGCTCGTGTCTTGTGGTGTGATCACTCTGTTAGAGTTTGCAAGTGCTATACTTGAAAGTCGATCAAACTTGGCCCCCCCGGATGCCGTCGGAAATGGCCTCAAAATCCCTTATCTCTGTCGCCGTTTTCCTATCCCACGCCGAGCCGTGACGGCCACTCTGCCCACATCCCGCGACTCCTCCGCAGCCGCCTCCAACAACCTTCAGATGCACCATGCAGGTCCAACGGGGATCCTCACCCCTGGCGTCATCTCACCATGTTTCTGTTCGCGTCTAGAATAGCATCACACCATAGCGCTGGATACACTGTTCGCCTCGTCTACCGCAATCGTCTGTCTTGCATTGATCTATGTTGCTTTTGTCTGCGCCAGTTGCCGCTATCCCTGAGACTCACCGATCGATGCCGCAGCTAGGTACATGTGAGAACGATGCTCAGCCTGAAGATTTGGACCCTGCCACTGCCCTATCTATGTATTTGACATGAGTATTTCTACATGACAGTTGGCATAGACGCGATCTGGCTAGAAGTACCGACATTACGGCTATTGGTACGTGAGTGACAAGGAGAGTAGGCTGAGACTGTTGAGATATGGATACAAGGCTGTCAAATGGGGCTTCACGAGTTGTGATTCGAGGAACTTCTGTAAGCACTGTCTCGGAGATGTTTCCATCCCTTGGTCTTGTATTGTTCTCCTGTCTGATTCCACCGACTCTCTCCGTTGCCAAAAGTTCTATCCATATTGTCGGCTCGGCCGACGCTCTGGAAGCTCAGTAATCACTAGAACGCTCCTGTTGCACGCATTGTTGTTGACACGTCCGTGTCGACGGCAGCAGAAGCGATGCGGCCCGTAGCAGTCGGACACAGCGCCGAGAGATCGTTCCTGTATGTGACCACAAGTGCGCGTACTACTGTATGGCTACTTGCGTAGACTTGGAGAAGAAATTATGCTGCCAGGGTTTCCGATTCGAAGGGGAAGGCGGTCGTACAGCCGTTTTAGTGGCTTATTACGCCTTGCCGTCGTAGTCTCCACATTCTCCATAACGTGGACAAATTTGCGTCGTTCGGTTGAACTAGCCTGCGCCACGAGCCGAGGGACTGTAGTAGATATGCACACATGTCCGAGAAAGGTGAACCGCGGTATATCATGAGATCTGGTGGAGGAGCTTCCAGATCCGCGGGTGATATCTCAAGCATGAAGAGGTGTGCCAGATCCTACCGGAGTATTTGCCCCTGGTGTTGCAGGGTCAGTACCGGCTTTCTTCTTCTTCTTCTTTTTCCGTGGGATCAGCGCCGGCGGGTTCATGACAGCACTGCGTAGAGATAGGTAGGAGCCGCAAGTCATGCAGAGGTTATCAGGAAGATCTGGGTTACAGAAGACTGTTTGCAATTAGCATTCGGTTGAGTGGGGGGGAATAGGTGTGGTTCAGCTTACTGCTCAAGCACACACTGCAGACAAAGCCGATGTCGACAACCTTCCTGTGGCAGAAACATGCTGCACGGAAATCGACACCGCCAGCGCTAGGGACTATCAAGCTTGTTCGTGCTGTTACATCGGGTAGGAATGCCATCATCAGATACTGTAGCAGACCTTCTGGACGGTCCGGTTTCATGTATACGCCTCCAGTCGCATCGCTCGCTTGCTGCAATAGCACAGTGTCGCCAGCCAGTTTCAGTATATCTATGGGTATCCGCTTTCGTTGTGCGGCAAATATAGAGTTCATGACAGGTATGTACTGATTGGCAAGGTCGCCGGATACAGAGACGATGAGGATGCGAGAGGTGAGGGGAACGCGGTCGACGTGTGTGTTTTCAGAGTCGGCGAGTGCTGCAAGAGCGGTACTGTCGGCAGATGCGGCTGTGGGAGCATGGAGGATGGTTTGCTTGTTGATGTGGGTGAGAGCCATGGAGAGAGCACCGCCTATGAGTGTTGTAGGCGTTGCTTCCAGGTGGCTCTCTTTTGTCTCGTTGAGCAACTTGGCGAAGTTACGTAGGATTGCGCTCTCTACGACAGCGAATGGCCGGTACTTGTTGGCACTCTCTGCCATGTGGTGTTCCTTGTCCTTTGCATGGCCATTCGTCTGAACATGGCCGTTTGTGTCGCCGCGCCGCGACTGTGGCTGCGGGTCGGTGGGTGTGGGATACAGAAAGGTCGTCTTGTGCGAATGGGAAGCTATCACAGCAACTTCGTTTCCGTTTCCCGAGGCGAGGTGGGCGTTGATGAAGACGAGGATGTTGGCTAGGGCGGCAGAGAGTGAGAGGGTAGAGGACAGATGCGCCCACGCGTGTGGATTGGTGTCGAGGACGATGGCAAGCAGTGACGGCGGCGGGGCTGCGAAAGTTAGTTGTCATTGTGCCAGTTGAGCAGTCGTGGTCCCATGCCTTCTTCTGTCTTGACGTGACGGTCGGAACCGTCAATGGTATTCATTGTGCTGACATGTGCTTCTCTCTACAGCACTGAGAAGACGGCTCGCTGTTCAAATGCTGTGCATGCCTCGGAATGTCGAGTGCGTCCTTCTCTCGAGCTTGGACTTGAGGCCTGTTCAGTCAATGAGGTCAACTTCGCGACCGCCTAATACAATGCGCCCGTGCGCCCGCCGCGTTCCCACGTGAGCGCGCTGCACTGGGCATCCAACCTATTCTCGGTCTTTTCGGGCAATGTGTCTGTCTCTGTCTGGAAAGTGATCAACGAGTATATTTTGTGAAGATAGGTCTCTCTGCCGGTCTAATGTCAGCCAGCCGCGCGCGCAGTGACAGACTTGTGGCTTACAAGACCCATATATTTCTCAGCCTGACTGTGTATAAACAACACGACTTCCCACTCATCTCTGGCGCGAGTTGCCATGTTGCGTACCTCAAAATATGCATATAGAAACCAAGCACCTTCACCTTCCTTGACTCGAATACATTACTACTTAGGTGGCCAAGGGTCAATGCAAGTCCATGCTGACAACCTTGGAATTTGCCGACGCAACCTTACAGAAAGAGACGGAACTGGGGTTTACCGCAGGTCGGAACTAAATCGTGGGGACGTCGAATTGCCTGATTCAGGATTTGCTGCGAGCTTGCCGTCGTGCCAGTCATTAGGTGACCTCACCTGAGCTATTATGGCAAACTACCGAGGCTCAGGAGACTGGCTCCGCCCATGCCATGCACCATGAAGGACTGAGCCCACTGTTAGTAGTCGACATGTCACATTACCGAAGGCTTGCTGTTACGCCAGCTCGCAACCTTAAACATATCCGTCTCTCTCCAGCGACTCGGTCACCCCTTAAGGCGCCCGGCTAAAATCTAGTTCCAACGAATCTCTTGTCGACTCTACATCAGCCATTCGTGCATCGTCTCATACTCCAAGGACGGACGCTCCCCTGTCCGATTCACCAGCGCCCCAGTTGCAACATCGCCAACATGATTACAGAAACGATACGACGAGTGAACGGTTATGAGAAGGATGCATACACATACTATCCCGTCATTATTGTCGGGGCTGGCGCATCTGGCATTGCCATGGCCTGTCAACTGAAGCAGCAACTTGGCTTTGATCAGTTTCGCGTATTCGATCGTCAAGCAGGCATTGGAGGAACTTGGTGGATAAATCGCTATCCAGGTGTTGCATGGTATGAAAGTCCCTGAAATATGCCCGTTCAATGCGCATGGTAATACCAAACCTTTGAAATTCAGCCGCCACAACAATCTTCCACAGGCCAGGGCTAATGCTATATAGTGATGTACCCGCCGTCTTCTACTCTTTTAGCTTCGCTCAAAACCCGAACTGGACCTCGTTCCACCCTCCCGGCAAAGAAATCGTACGCTATTACCACGAAGTATGCGAGAACTACCGCATCACAGACAAGTTTGAGCTCAACACAGATATCGAAAGCTGCAGATGGCTAGAAGAGGAACAGTTGTGGGAGGTCACTCTCCGTCGTATGGTAGCAGGCATGGGCGACCTCTCATCCAAGGAGCGCATAAAGATCGCACAAGAGAAGGGCGAGCATGCAGTATACTCGGAGACTGAGATTGTGAAATCAAAGGTTGTGCTCAGCTGCGTCGGGGGTCTAGTCGAGCCAAGAGGCTGGCCTGACGAGATCAAGGGCATTGAAAATTTCAAGGGCAACATGTTCCATTCTGCGAGGTGGGATGAAAGTGTCGATTTCACGGACAAGAACGTTGTCGTTGTTGGCACTGGGTGCAGCAGTGCTCAACTCGTGCCCCGCCTACCCAATGCGCCGTACAACGCCAAATCAGTCACTCAGCTCATGAGATCACCGCCATGGGTTGTTCCAGCTCCGACACCGCCCGGTGGTGATGAATGGTGGGAGAAAAATGGCCCCAAGATTATGAGGAACGTACCAGGACTCAAGGAGCTACTTCGTTTCCTTATTTTTGCTGGTGCCGAAGCCGGTTTCCTTAGAATGTTCCCCAATACTCCATATGCTGAGAAAGGAAGGAAGGCCTACGAAGAGAAGACGCTCCAGAACATGCGAAAACACGTTCCTGAGAAGTACTGGGATATCATGACGCCAGACTACGGGGTCGGTTGCAAACGCCGCATCTTCGACAAGCGGTGGCTGCGCAGTCTGAACGATTCGAAAATCGAGCTCACTACTCAGCCGCTGAGTAGGGTCACTGAACATGGTGTTGTCATCGGTCCCGGTGCGACGTACCCAGCCAATGCAAAGAAGGAGGATTACCCAGAGCGAGAGATACCCGCAGATGTCATTGTCCTGGCAAACGGCTTCGACACGACACGATGGCTCCATCCGCTCAAAGTCATTGGCAAAGATGGAAAAGATCTAGTACAAGTAATGGAAGATCGAGGAGGCGCCCAAGCCTACCAAGGCACGGCTGTCGATGGTTTCCCAAACTTCATGATGATCTTCGGACCCAACACAGCAACTGGGCACTCTAGCGTTGTCATGGCCAGTGAGAGTGAGTCTTATCCCTCCTTACTAGCATACACCATCAAGCTGCTCTGGAGATGAATACTAACATAAATTCCAGATATGGTGAATTATTCCCTAAACTTCATCCGCCTCCTCCTCACAAACGAAGCCCGCACCGTCGACGTCAAGCACTCCGCTGAGGTTGCCTATACGTCTGAAATGCAGCGTGCACTCAAGAATACCGTATGGCAGAGTGGCTGCTCAAGCTGGTACGTTACAGGCAATGGTTGGAATTCCACCGTCTACCCATACACGCAAATCGACTTCTGGCGGAGATGCACCTTCCCAAGGTGGAACGACTGGAATATCGAGTACACAAGCAAGGGCATTGCGAGGATGAGGGCGCGGAGGGTGGTCAGGACGCTCGCGCTCGTGCTTGCAATCGGTGGAGCGTGGAGGTTTAGGCAGAGTGGATTGGGTTTGGATGATGTCAAAGGACTACTGAGAGGTGCGGTGCAGGGGTCTTTGAGGAACGTTATGGATGTTTGGGAGACAATAAGGAAGACTCTTTTGGCTTGAAAGTATAATTGAGGGTAATTATGATTCGGACATGGGATATAGTAACGGTGTATCTAATAGGTATTGTCTCCTTTGGACATGTCAAACCAAGCAACGCTGTGTGTATGTGTCCACTCACTCGACAGCAGGCAAGCTATTTTGGTATGATGACTGGTGTATGCTGCATCGTGTTGACTGCATAACGTCATCTGTTCTATCTCGGAATTTGACATCTGCCGACTCCGCTTCGTACCACTGTATCTCGGGGTCCAGCTCCACGGGAGCGCAAATAGTTCTCTTCCGACGGGCGATTTTAGTGTGCCACATCCGATCACTAACTAACGGTGGACTGGACCGGGCTAGATTGTGTCGATTCTAAAGTTGTGGTATGCCCGTTGCATTAGGCACATTGATCAATATGTGAGTGTGAAGAGCTATGCACAGTGCAACCATCGTGATTCAAACCGTCACGCGCATGTTTGTTAATACTGGAGTATGGAGTCGTATACGTGGTTCAATTCATATCGTCGTGCTGAACAGCGTATTATGTAAGCAACGTTCTTCATCGTCGCCAACAAACGTGCTTTTCCTATTACATTCCCATCCCATTTGTCACCATCTGAACAAAAGGCGTACACAGAAGAACATGACAAGGAAATGGATATCTTCGCAAAGAAAAGTGCCGCAGATCCAAAGAAATCCCATAAAAGAACTTTTCCGTTATGCAAGAGAAATCGTGACATCGTGCTCGATGATCGAGCTATTCCTCTTATGCCTCTGCTGTCAGGTCATTACCAGCACCAAGCCAGTCTACGTCTCCAAGGCCCATGTTGCTTTCCAGTGCCGAGTCGTCGAAATTGAACGCCTCGCCAACTGCATCCAGATTGAGCAACTGATCAAAGTCACCGTCGTCGAATTCGTTGTTCAGTGGTAAGCTAGAGAAAAGCATCTCATCATCCTGGTGATGGTTGATGTTGTTGGTAAATGGATTCGCTGCAAGGTCCATCGTGCTCCATTTGTTAAAATTCATAGAGTTAAGGTTGTCGTTTGTGTGGGAGTTCGATGCAGGAGCCGTGACATCAGCCAGGTGTGACTCTTCGGCAATAGTGATACTGGGCATGTGCTCGTGATCAGAATCTGGCGGGGTAGATGCAAGGAAAGTCTCGAGGCGGCGAGCGACTTCCTCATCTGTAACATTGGGCTGATTGTGCTGCTTTTCCAAAGCGAGCATGTTAGTAGTGCCGTGGTCTGGCGGCGGAGTCAATGTTGAGGGCCGTACATTTTGCGTTGCAGTTGTCGTTGTGTTGGCCATATCGAGTCGTCTTCCGGCATCTACCAGATCTTCTACGGTCGTTACGGGCGAAGGCTTGGGCATCGGCACAGCTTGAGCAGCTGCCACAGGAGCAACATGGATACCTGCTTTGCGAATGGCGGCTTCTAAGAAAGCCACGGAGTAATCGGCAGCAGCGTAAAGATCTCGCAGCTTGCCCATGACAGCCATGCACTGGCAGAAGCCACGTAGAGATGACCGACGAGTCTCCTCTTCTGGCGCCTTGATGTCAAGTAGGTGAATAATGATTGCTGGCAGAAGAACTGTGACACCCGTTGTTGGCAGGTACTTAACGAGACCGCCTACATCCAGACGCTGCGCAATCGATGTGATAGCTGAAGCTGCACGACGAACATTTCGGCGAGAAACATCTAGGAGTTCAGATTCGACGTTCTCCTTCGTTGGGGCGCTTGCTGGACCGCCTTGTGAGTTTGGTAAAACCTGGGGCCGATGTAGGGCAGACAGCGTAGTGAAGAAGACCATGTGCAGCAGTGACCTTGCAAGATCAATTGCTGCCTCACCGCTGGGCGTGTCTGTATACTTGGCCTCATCCGGGAGTTCCGACACCCATTTCTGCAGTTCTTCATCGCAAGCCTTGACCTCACTAGTCTCGGGATCCAGTTTCTTCGGAAGCAACATCATGGTTGTGCGGTCATTCTGAAGTCCGTGGTTGTTGTTCAATACGCAGTATTGCTTTGATAGCACATGGGAAATGCACAGACACAGTCGAGCCTTCTCAATGCACATGATAGCTAGCTGCCGCTGCGCATCCACGTCTCGTGCAATGCGGCAGTCAGCTGGTAGGCAAGTGATCGATTCCGGAAGAGGTGCAATCTCGAAATCATCCAACGTCAGCATAGGCACATCGAAGTCCTCGGTCTTTATCCTTGTCGGTCGTCGCATGCCAAGTGCAATGAGTCGGTCACGCATATATGTTGACCACCATATTCGCTTCCAGAGCTTGACGCGTTTGCTATCCAGGTTGGTATTATCTGGGTTGCGGTGCAGCCCGATAGTGTGGGCAACGGACGTTGCGACGCCCATCCAATGCCAGGTGTCTTTCTGGTCATCGGGAGTCTCGTAGTAGTACGTCAGCAACAAGAGTGCTTGAACAAGTGACACACGATCGGACTCGTAATCAAAATCGTAGAGGATCTGGTGGTATAATTAGTTTGATGTTCACATGCTATCGGTCCATTGTACGCCCGTCAATCTTCACATGTTGGCATGTGCACGGAATATCGGTATGTCCGAAACGCTCCGATCGTGTTTGGGATCGGTCGGCCGAACGCGATTTGCCAAGTCTTCCGAGAAGGGGTTACAACTTACTCTAGTCTTTTGGAAAAAGTCCTTGCGCGCGTCTTTTCGAGTAGCGTAGCCAGCGGTACGCAAGTATTCCATGTCAACAAACGCCGATCCGGCAAACATGACGGCCTGGAACAGGATCAAGCTAACTTTCCCTTTGCTGCCATCTCTTTTGTCGATCATTGACAAGAAGTCATGCAGATCCAAAAGGGGCATGTACGGATGAACGAATTCAACGTATGCTCGGAGCATTTCGCCGCGAAGATTCCCCTTTGGTACAGACAGTGCGCCTTTCTTCTCCAGATACGCAATCTCATCAGGTCCGATTTTGGCCGGAAGAGGTTTGATGAATCGAGGCAACTCGCCGGGAGCGGGTTTTTGCGGTAAACTTCCAAAAAAGGGTGCTCGCGGTTCGTTGGAAAACGGCGAAAATGGTAGTGTAGGCAGGCCATTGATCTGCGAAGTGATGGAAAGACGGCGTTGGATATCCGAAATGCTCGCGACAGAATTAATACGATGGCCATGGCTTTGGTCTGTATCGCAATTAGTCCAGGACAGAAACGAAGAGATTCAATAGACATACATATGGAATGTGGTACATGCTCGTCTCGTCTCGATTCCGCCTCATGTGACCCTCGCGACGAAGATCGATTTAGGTTTTGAGCACCGTCGAGCGCATCACGCGACGCGATCTTGCGTGTGGCAGTTGCTGTTACGCTTGTGTTTTCCGTAGTTTGTTCGTCATCTTTGCTCCATTTCCTGCAACTGTTAGTACGAGTCGCCCATTTGGAGTAAGTGCATTGGCTGTCATTGGCTCAAATGCTCTCGGCAACTGCCATAGGTGCAACGCTGTCCAAATGGCTAGGCCAAAAGTACCGAGTCCCCAGCCGATGTTGCATGACGACACTGGATGGAACATGCCATATCGAAAACCGTTGATCAAACAACAGTGCGGTTTACTTGTGGAGACGCCGGATATTGCACGGGAATGTGGAACTAACTTTTTGCGCCTGCTCTCTGACACAATGCAGTCGACTTCGTCGAGTCGGCAATTTGTGCAAGGAGCGCCGTGCTCTGTAACATTGCATCGCACTTTGCGAGCTCGACAGCATTGACAAGCTTTGGAAGCCCTTCTCTTTACTGAACGTCCGGTTGCATGTCCATCGAGGCCGGCCTGGGTGGCTTTTCGTTTCGGTGCTTGGATTTCGTTGTGATGGTCGGACGGGGATGCAGAATAATCAGACATGGTGACAAGGTATTGATGTCTGGTGTCTGAGTTGGAAGCACAATGGGTTGCAAATAGCGTTGAGAACTCCTACCACACGCGAGGGGTCTGGGGGCGCCCGAGGATTATAAAGACCATAATTCGCGAGAGTGGATTGCATGCCAGGGCTAGTCGTGTGCTAGGACACGCAGACAAGCCGCGCTTCACCTGGTGCGTTTTAACGCTCATGACGCCGCCCCGTCCCCACTGGGGATCGTTAGTTAGTACCCCAGTCCCCCAGATGCGGCTGGTCGGCGCTTTATCCTTGGCACCTAAGACGCCGATACCCCTCGGATGTCATCGGGACAAAGGCCGCTCCTGGATACAAACGCGTTTGGCAACGTCAGCTGCCTGTCCATTCCTTGTGCACGGGCAAGATGCCGCGGTTCTTGGATTCGCTCAAAGCCGACTCTGCCCTACAGCTTGTGACCGCCAAGAACACGCTCGCGCTGACTGCCACAGACGTTTGGCACGCGAGTACCCAAATCACTGACAGGAACTCGAGTCATGAAAGTTGTGGGGTCTCCGGCACATTCGATTCACGTAGAGTCCCACAAAGACGAGCCTGGCGTAGGATCATCGCTGTAGAGTGCGGAAATGAATATCCCAGCGACGGCGCGATTGGAGTGTGTGAGCGGAAGGCCATGACCAAGCCAGACAGCTCTGGATTCTATAGCCGAAGTGCTAGCCGTCTCGGGTGCACGTGAGGACACATAGGCGTCCAAATATGTTTGCGGCTTTTTGCCAATCGTACGGACAGGTCCATTGCCCCGACGCAGACCCCAATAAAATCTGCATCGTCAACCTTAGTGGGCACGGTGCTTGCCGTCTGTTGCGACCTGATGAGAGCTGGCTGACCGCTCTCCAGCGACAGTTGCTCTACGCGGTGTGCAGACGGAAGGTTGCCCTGGATGACGTGAACGAGAATCGTAAGAGGCTGAGCGAGTTCATGCAGTCGGCGCTCGGAGCAAAGGCTCTTTTCCAACTGTGTGGTCGCGGTAACGTCAAAATGGACGAGTTAGCGAACGCCTGGAGGTTGATCTCTGGCGTGCAGCCAAAATTGCGGGGAACACACGCTTTCCCCTCTCGGTGAAGTCTCGGACAACGCCATGCCGTTGCATGTGGCAGTGAGAACGCAACCACCAATCTGCAGTGGTGCAGACGTTCCATCCTTCCAGATTGCCCCTAGACGCTCGGCAACCTCATGCACCTCCCGCACATTTTTTCTCTGCATCAGCGATCGTGATCGAGCATCCGCGGCCGCAGTCCGTCCTTACCCGTCGGTACCTGAGAGGCCTTCCGGATTACTCAAACATCTGGGGCGTTGCACCGGTCGTTTCTTCTGTAACAATGACATATGGCAGGGCCATGTCAAGCCTTGGATTTGCATGTCTAACGCAACCATTTTAGCGGTTCCACGCGACACGATCTGCAGGGAAAATGGCCGTCGCGCGACGCGGTCTGGTCCTTGACCGTCCTCCGATGATTGAGGCTCAAGGTCACCTGCATGTACCCCGGAGTACTGACCGTGTCATCGTTGCAGAGTCAGAGATCATGATTACCATCTTGCGACTCGTAGTACGCTGTATGGGTATGTAGCCTGTGTGTGGGGCTTACGGCCGACATCAACCTTGTCCAACCACCCGCAAGGACAAGGCATCTAGGCACCTGGGGGATTTCGTCTTCACGCTCCGACTCCGACTTGGTGTATTCATCATTTCGAGGGCTGCCTTAGGATGAAACTCGTACGAGCTTTCGGGCGTTGGGACGGAAACGGACACGGAATATTTTTCCGCTCGAACATCTGGAAAAGCGCATTTTCATGCAATCAGAGAGGCTATGCAACGTTGTGCTACTAACCCTGCGGGACACTCACCACAGGATAAGCTTTGCGCTCCACCTTGTAAATCTGGAGTGAAGATCCTTGGGTCGGCGCATCATCGGTGCTACGACTAGTCAAGTGGCTGCATGTATCGAATCGAAGTTTGTATGTCTGTACGCGACCGTTAGACAGGAAAATAAAATAAAATGTGAAAGGTACAACGTCAGAATTATCTCACTTGAACTGTGAGGTTGTATGGTATCTACACACCCGTATTTGTCCAATCATACCATGTCCATGTCGAATGAGATATCCACGATTTACCATGGTTTGCACACTATCGCTCTCAACGACTGACGCAATAGCTCTCCCATAGCCCTACACACTCCCAGTAAGTGTGCAAACACAGAGCAATGGTCACCTTAACGCAAATCTTGAGAGACGATCGCTCCCAGCATCCACCATGTTTCATGCATCACCATCAGCTCAAAGCTGTTTGGTAACATCGATTGAAGCATGACTGCAGACACTTCCACTTTTTTTCGCTTGTCCAGCGCTGTAGCATTGTGATCATCAGGAGGAGGCAATTTGAAGTATCAATCGGAAAATATCCAAGTTTTGATTTAATCAGTGTCTTAGTTCGTATCCACTATTGAAGCTCAGTAACCAGAGTCATGTGTTAGGCACCTGAAGCTGGAGCATCGTGATCTACATGATATTGAGTCAAATTACGAAAGCCACGAAAAGAATACTCGGAGCAAGCCGAATAAAAACCGAATGAGGAACACAGGACAAAGACTATTTCCAAGCCGTAAATTGCGGTGAGGAGCCTCCCGTATGAAGATGCGTTGTTGCGAACACAGGACCTGCCGACGTAAATATGGGCTATGTTCAGAGCAAGATATCACAATGCTTTTGTAAGGAAGCTGACAGTAGCCAATGTCCAAGTCGGTATTTGCAAAGATTGTAACCTTCAGGTACACCTCTAGAATGCTCTGTCTCTATAGCTTCGAAGAACCCTTGGGTCTCTCCATCGCCTTGGTCTTGTTCTTGAAATTCTTCACAAGCTGCCTCACGCCCAAGTCCAGCATTACGTCTTCTGAACCACCGGGTATCCGTACGCCTGGTACCTCGCGGTAGATCCCTGTGAGCATGTTAGTTACTGCCGATAATGCCCGAGTGGTCGGTATACTTACTCTCAACCAACTCTCCCTGCCCACTCTTTGTGTATCCATTGCCGCCAAACAGCAGTTGCGCCGTTTGTGCGCATTCGTTCAGTACAATACCACTTTGTGCTTTGACCATAGCGGTCAATCCACCTAGTTCGATATCCGCTGTTGCTTTTGGTATGTGTACCATCTGGTATACGAACTGCTCGACCCAAGCCCACTGAGACTCCAAAAGAGCGCCGGCTTTCGCCAGGCGGTGACGTACGACGGGTTGATCGACGAGCGGTTTTCCGAAGGCTTCGCGCTTGAGGACGTACTCCATAGCGGCGGACAGGGCGACACGCGCTTGACGGGTTGCACCAATGGCAATTGTGAGCCGTTCGTGGTTGAAGTTTGTCATGCTGTGAAATTGGATGTCAGCCAGTAATACTTCTTGACTCCTAGAACAATCTTACATGTACTTCATGCCCATTCCCTCCTCTCCAATAAGATTCTCGACTGGTACTTTGACATCGTCCAACTCGATGAAAGTTGTGCCTGCGCTCACTTGACCTCCAACCTTCAGGCGACGCATGTTGACTCCTGGGTATCCTTTCAAAGGCACAACCAACATAGACAGACCTGTTGGTCCAGGACCACCGGTTCTTACAGCCATAGAAGAATAGTCTGACCAGATTCCATTGGTGATCCACTTCTTGGTTCCATTGACGATATAGTGTTTTCCATCAGGTGTCTTCGTAGCGGTCGTTGTGATGTTCGCGACGTCTGATCCGGCTTCGGGCTCGGTGATGGCAATGCAGGTTCGCTTCTTGCCGGTAAGGAGTTCTGGGAGGAAGCGCTCTTGTAGCTGCTTGTTGCCATATTTGATGATGGGCGGAACGCCGAAGGACATGCCTGTTGTGAGAGATCCAGAGGGTCCTGCAAGTCCAGTTCGTGCCATCTAATACATCGTTAGTTACGCCTGAACCAAGTATTGGCGAAGCCGAGCCTCCATACCTCATCAGCATAGATCATAGTATGGATGTAATCCCATTCCTCAACCTTCACCACACCAAGGATGTCGTGGATGCCCAGCTTCTTCAACCATTCTACTGGGAGAGGTGCTGGCAGCGTAGGTAGTAGCATGCCTGCTTTCGCGAAGGTCTCGAAGACATGCTCAGGGACAGTTTCATTTGTGTCCCATTCTAGTGACTTCTCAAGCATGTGCTTGTCCACAAACTCGCGACACGCTTTCTGCCATCTCAGATGTGTCTCTTTGTAGTATGGGGATGGTAAGCCGACAATGTAGGGCGGTTCGGAAAACGGGACGAAAGCGGTGGAAGACATGTTGGGACGGGTGAATCGACCAAACTGGGGGGTAAAGTGGTAAGTTCGAGCGACTGAGCTCTGCTGCGGATAGGCTACATGATGCAGGTGGTGTTGTGCCCAGTATATAGATGGCGCCGATTACGCCTGAGGAGGAGAAGTGGAGTCCGGGGTAGCTTCATGTGAGCCGAGGTTGGCCAGGATTACACGCTTTTGGCATGTCATGTACCGACAGCTGATTGTGGCGCAAAGCCGTATTACTTGTGCTGGTAATTGTAAGCATTTACAATCAGAGACAAAAGCGTACTCTAGATTTATCGGTTGTGTTCTGCGTCAGCATGTTAAAAAGGTAGAACATTGTGAGCACATTCAAGGTACCTGAACACCTAGGTACGGTTTACGTACACCGCGAAAAGGTGTGCTCTCTCAAACGAGTATCACAGCTCCTTCAATTCTTGCTAGAGAACATCCTATCCGTTTTCGAATCCGATAATAGCTCGTATGATCCATTCATTGAACCTCGATATGAAATATTCGAATGCCATGTCACCTGCATCACTCATGTTTTCAAATCAAATCAAGTTCACATTGCTTGCGCCATCACCGACATGAAGCCCATTGCAATTTTAAATATAATAGAAAATGTTGGTATTCAGGTACTTTTTCGGTAGGCACTGTCTACGAGGGGACTATGATACATATCGTCGAGCTAACGTCGCAGTGGCAACGCAACCGAAAATTCACATATTGCAGAGAAAGAAAGTACCGCAACTTACTTGCAAGTAGTTACAGTACTAGACTGCTTCGAGTCGATGGATGAGCATCTCCTGTTTCCTGCGAGAGCGGTGTACGAGGGAAGACTCCTAATCTTCCTCGATTTCACCCTCCTCACTTCCACTACGGATAGCACGTTCTTCTTCTTCCTTCTTGAGGGCGGCGGAATCGGGGATGGGAGTCTTCGACTTACGATCGGCGGCGCGTGGAGAATAGCGGGCACGCTGTGACAAAGTCAGTCTCGTACTATGGATGTGCGTGGGGCATAGTTTTGCGTACCTTGGTCTCACGATCACGCTTAGAAGAGCTCTCGTCGCTTTCCCGACGGCGTCGAGTCGACGAGGTGCGACCGCCGCTATCGCCATAATCAAGCAGACTAACGGTGGCCTCACGAGGGTCGGCCCTGCTAACGTAGGATCGCTCGCGCTCGACTTCACGCTCGCGACGCTCAAGCCCGTAATGATCACCACCGGGGCTGCGACGAGAGCGCTCATAGCGATCGTCATCTCGGCGCTCACGGCGTCGGGGAGGAGATAAGCCTGTGCTGTCGTTGTTCCTGTAGCGCGCCTCCCTGTCCTGCACCGCACGACGGCGCTCTGCAGCGTACGGATCATGTTCAGGTGAGCGAGTTCGCGTACGATGACGACGATGAGAATCAGAATGCCCATTGCGATACTCACGATCTCGGTCGCGCCTGTCCCTATCACGGTCGCGATCATCGCGCCTACTTCGATCCCTGCGATCGCTCTCCTTCTCCTTCAAGCGGGACATGAACTTATCGAAAGCCGACTCGCGGAGGGTATCTGATTTCAGTGCGCGATACTCGTCTGTCTTTTCAACGCGGGGACGTACCACTTCCCAAGTGTCTGATAGAGACACTGGTGGATCAAGGTGCTTGATCACAGACCGAAGTTTGTCCACAGCTGAGCGCTCGATATATTCCTCGTCTCGACGCTCTTCCTCCTCGCGCTTCTTGACCTTAGCAAGGACGTAGTTGTAGATGCTATGCATGGACTGTTCGTCAATATCAGCGGTGCGAGGATCTTTTCGCATAATGTTAAGGAACTCTTCCACAGGGGTCGCTGTGGTAACCTCGAAGCGTTGTTGCTCCAGCACGTCAAGCGCTCTTCGGCGCAGGGTGCGGAACTTGCCCTCTTCTTCCTCCAGAGCATCGCGGAATAGATCAAGTGGCGACGACCCACTCTGTCCAAGCATAGCCGTGTAGCGCGGGTCGTCCTGGATAGTATCGTGAATGTCCTTCCATTTGGTACCGGCACGGAGCAAACCACTTTTCCTAAGATCGTCTAGGAGCTCGAGGAACGCATCGCGGTTCTTGCGCTCGACACGGTGCTTCTTGCGTCGCTCGGCTTGAACCTTGTCGTTGTGTTCGCGCTGGAGCTGCCTGATGTGCTTCTCGAATTGGTTCAGAACGTCCATTCGAGTCAGAGTCTCGAACTTGTCGCTGTTGAACTCGTGGTTCTGTTCCAGTTTCTCCTCAGCTGCCTGCCAGCGCGTAAACGGCTCCAAATCCAAGCCCTGCAGCAGACCCATGATTTGGTCGAGAGCGGATCGCCTGCTCTCTGCCTCTTCCTCCTCATGCGCCTTCTTCAAAGAGATGATGTATTCCTCAAACAGAGCCCTGCGCTCGGCATCGTCTTTGGCAGAGCGGAAGATGGTTTCCTCCTCGATGATGGGCAGAGCAGTCTTCCAGCGCGTGTAGTACTTGATCTCGGGGTGCGAGCGCAACATGGCGGTAAAGTCGGACCGTAGCTTGGCCTGGCGGTCCTGCTCCTTGTGCTTCTCCTGGGCGCGCAAGTCTTCGCAGTACTTCTTGAAGGCCTCCTCACGCTTCTCCGGCTCAGGGATGGCGCGCCAGTTGGGGTCGTGGATACCGGCGCGCACAGCCTGCAGCCAAGTCCAGTCAGGCTGCACTTTCATCTGCTTGAGCACCTTCATGAAGGCAGCCTCGGCGTCTTGTGGGGTTGAGAATTGGAGGTGCTCGGTTCCCGTTGTGAAGCTGATGTTGGGCCGGTCGCCGCCAAAGCCAGACTCGCGATCATCGCGGCGGTCGCGGTCGCGGTCACGGTCGCGGTCATCACGGCGATCGTGTCGGTCGGGGCGGTACTCGTCGCGTTCGCGCCTGTTGTCGTAGGCAGGCGCACCCGAGGCTGGGCCCGCTGGCCATCCGGCAGGACCTGAAGGGGGAGGGCGCTGATTCTGCTGGTTCTGGTTGTATTCGTCGATCTTCTTCTGGACAGGCTCGGGAATCTCCCACGTCGTCTCTGTCGTGCCAGTCTTGACGTAGTATCGTCTGCCGTTCGACATGTGTGCCGCCCAGCCGGTGCCAGGGAGGGCGCGCTCTACATCGTCCTTGAGCTCGTCGGGCTTCTCCCATGTCGTCTGCTGGGTGAGCCTGTTGTAGTAGTACTCTCTGCCATCTGCTGCTTTCGCACTCGACCAGACGGGAGCTGGGGGCGCGAATGGGGGGCCGTTCATTGCGACGGTTGTTGGAGATGGCGCGTGGTTGATCGGTAGACTGGTGAAGCTCGCATGCGAACAAGTTGTGCAACTTCTTAGCGCACGGACAAATGGACTAGCGCGAAACCCGGTCCCCTAGCTCAGGCACCGCATTCACGTGCACCTTCGCCCTCACGTCTACCTCGACAATCTTGCAGGCAATCATGGCAGAGGCTGAGGAAGCGTCGCCCCGTAGGAGCCTCGAGTTTGCCGAGAGCTCAGTACTGGAAGCCATTGTGCCTGCAAGTTCCGACGTTGATATCAAGAACGAGATCGACTCTTGGGATGGTGCACCAGATGACAACGGCTCTATATTGCCCTTCTTAGCACAACGACATGTGCTGCTCCTCGGTACGTCTTAGCCAAATCAACAAGACCAGCATGTCTCTTACTCATGCACAGGCTTTTAGATGAACTCCTAGCTGTATATGTTGTTTTCCAAACGCCACTATTAGAAGAAGCGACCTTGAAGTCGTATCTTGCGAGACTGGTCATCAGCGTGGAAGCCTTTGCCTTCAGCACGGTTCCTCCGTCTGACCAAGATGCGAAAGCTACGCCTCCCAAGGAAGTCATCTTCTCTGGTACCATCAACCATAAAGATGAGCCTACGGTCATCAATCATGGAGAGGGAGACAGTGCTCATACTTATGTTGTCTGGAAGGTGGACGTTTTCATTGGTGAGCAAGTCAACCTGTCTTCCCTGCACCGTGTCTGACATGGAGCAGCTCGACCTCAGGGCAGATATCATAAGCCCGCAGTGTATTTCCAGCCCACAGCCTCCTTCAAGCCTACAGAAAAACCTCAAAAGGACGCATCGGAGGATGAATATCTCCCAAGCCGTACACCTACGCCTCTGAACCTGCTTCAGGCCTTTGAGAGCGATCCTGCTCTTGTTGGTGTTCATCCAAGACTCTCAGCAATGCGTATCAGCAAGGTCACGCCGAGTGCTCCTGCTGCAAAAGAAATGGCTCGACCGATCCGAAACGGTCAAAGACCCTTGTTTCGTGTACTTCCACCATTGATTTGGAGGATGAGGTATTCGAGGATCCAGGCATCATTAAGTGACTTGTCGTTGATGGCCTCTTTGGACCTGGAGGTCGCTCAATTCGCAACTTACGATGTCAGAATCAAGAAAGTCAACTTGGCTCTGCATGGAGGCAAGGTCAAAGAGCTGAACGACGAGCTGGATACTACGACGAGTCACAAGCCTGGTGATCAACTGACCTTCTTGTACAAGATCTGGCCTGACTTGGGCACTGACGGGACACCAGCACTTGGGAGCAAGGGTCATTACTTGACATTGAATGTTGAGGCCAATGTTACAATGTCTGATCAATGTCATCCGGATATTGCTATCGAATGGAAGACGCCCATTGACTTTGCGTCCGAACAGACGCTCAGCTTGACCAAGGCCATTCACCGGCAGAGTACCTCTACAATACAGAGTACAAACGCAGTCAACCCTGACGCATTTGCCACCCAAGACGCTCAAGACCAGCCCGAACAGGATGCTTCGAAAAACGACGTTAATGTTACTCTGACAGTGTCTGGGCCGTCCAGTGTCCAGGTTGGTGAGATCTTCACATGGGATGTGTTCATTGTCAACCGATCCGACAAAACACGAAGACTAGCTGTTCTTGTTATTGCGAAAAGGTCTCATGATATGGGGAGGCACAAATCACATCCATCCACATCCTCTGTAGGTGGACCTCGAGCAGAGCGAAAAGAGCTTCTCGGTACAGCAGTAGTCGACGAGAACGTTGTGTACGCAAAGCAAAAGAGCGGAAGGACAGAGACAGCCGAGTTGATTTGCTTGACAACAGACATTCGTCTGGGGTGAGTTTTGATAAGCAAGACTATCCTGAATCAGATATGCTAACGTGCGTAGACAACTGTCGCCTGGTTCTTGCTATACAGCTGATCTCAAATTTCTTGCACTCTCTGCAGGTGTCTTGTCTGTCGAGTCTATACGAGTCGTCGATCTGGTTACCAATGAAGCCGTTGATATTCGTGAGTTACCGAGTGTTGTCGCTGTGGCTCCGTAGCATCGGGTTAGGTCGTAGCTGAGACTATCATTCGGTCGTTGAGGCGTGCAATAAATACAACATGCTACTATCGATCTTTGTGTTGCGCAATGCTCATAGCTACCTGGACTATGCTGTGGCGCCAAGAACCAGTATGGAACCCAGCTGGCGCTATGCATACCAAAGTACAAGTGCTACCATCGAGCATGACCAGCAAGAAAGTGCAAGATGGCTCGGGCTCACATCTACATTTCGAGCATAGTTCATGGTACGCGCCCGTAGCCGCGCGGAACTAGGCTGATGCCAGTTGATGTCTGAAACCCGTCATTGGTGCCGGCCCGTGAAACTCTCGCCACTGTTCCCAGCACCTCCGCATTTGAACCCTAGGCGACGATTGCGCCTGCTCCTGCGACACTTTCCTACAAACTGTCCTTCCGATCACGATAGCATTCTCGCCTGCTCCCAGCCCTTATCGCGCATTAGAGCCTCAAGAGATAGGACCACTTATAGCCGCACACGGACCTCGCGGCTACGTTTCATCAACGTCATCGCGATCTTCGAGCAACGCTACACCTAGAGCTTTTCACAGGACCCATACTAAACATGAACAGCACCAGACACAGACTGCTTTACCAGCTGAACAGTCGCTGGATTTACGGGAAGATTGTGAGCTACTTGTCTTGATACTATCTGATGGCCGACTAATTTATTACCAGCCACTGCTGCACTCAATAGTATTTCTTCTACAGATGGCTGCAGTCAGTTTGCTCACGCGCAAGTACAACCAGTACTATGCGGCGCGCCCAGTTTTGACCACGATGATCACCAACGCCGTACGTGCTACCCCCTTTACATGAACACAATACCATGGCTATCGCGAGCCGTTGTCGCGCCATCACCGCATCGGATGCTGCGACATCGGCGTCGGACCCGACGTATCTTCAGACGTGACGAGACAGGAAGGCTAACGCCATTTGCAGGTGTTGGGTGGTATCGCGGACACAGTAGCTCAGACACTGACTGCAGTGCGAGAGCGCGCAGTGCGCAAGAAGGGTGGACCGGGCAAAGATGACTTTTTGGCTATTGAGATTCACGAGCTTGACAGACGGAACCCGTTCAACGACAACGATCTTATCCCCGATTCGAAGCTGCTACCACCGCCTTTCGACTTCGAGCGAACCACCAGATTCATGTCCTACGGTTTCCTCATGTCGCCGATCCAGCACAGGTGGTTTGGCTTCTTGTCCAGGACTTTCCCCGTGTCAAAGGGTGCGGCTTGGTTGCCTGCATTGAAGCGCGTAGCTTTCGATCAATTTTTGTTTGCTCCAGCTGGTCTGGCTGCCTTCTTCACCTTCATGACAGTTGCCGAGGGTGGTGGCAAGCGTGCGGTGCAGCGCAAGTTCCAAGATGTCTATGTGCCTGCGCTTCAAGCCAACTACATGGTCTGGCCGGCTGTACAGCTGATCAATTTCCGTATCATGCCTATTCAGTTCCAGATTGTAAGTATTCCACCCTACGTCATAACGATAGCGACTAACTTACGCCAGCCGTTCGTGTCTACCGTCGGTATCGCTTGGACAGCTTACCTTTCCCTGACCAATTCGGCTGATGACGCCGCTTAAGGCTATCCGATTATGCGAACAAACTCCCATGTATAAATATCATACGCACACACACAGGGCTAGGTTAGGTCATGATTGCATCGGGTGATTCCCCTTGAGTTTCTCGCGCGTTAGCATGTTTGGTTGGGCATTTGCACGGCGTCAGGGTAGTTGACTTTTGCTACGGGTCAATGTCATTTATGTACAGCCTCGAATTTGATCAGAACGAAGAGCTATCTTTATACGTAAACGTCTATTACCGTGCACATGTTCACGAAAGGCATCTCACCGAGTCTCTTCATGAGAGGAGACATGATCTAAGAGGCGCAGAGACATGGGAAGATCCGTGTAGCTACATACCCTAACGCGACTGAGGACTCTCGGCCGCGGGAGGATATGGACCTTGGCCGCCCACTTTGTGAAGCGCCAGGACGCGCGGGCAGCAAAAAGTGTTTTATATCAGCTAATTTTGTTAGTCCGGTCACGTCAGCTTGCTTTTTTGTGGTTCGATAAGGAGTGGGAGCAAGAAGCTTTGCATGCAGCTGGGAGGAACCTATGGACTGCCCCGCTACACCCCACCAAGCCTGCCCATGACGATCTGAAGCTCGACAACAAACATTGAAACCACCCACGCTTCATCTTCTCTCCTTCAACATCTTGACGTAAGTTCACCTTTACCTGAGATATATAACTGGCTTTCGTATACCTTGATAGACCAGTCTACGTTCATAGCTTCTTTGAACTCACACCATCACAGTACTACCATACACCCATCATGTCTCTTTCCAACAAGCTGTCAATCGCCGACGTCGACCTCAATGGCAAGCGCGTCCTTATCCGAGTATGTATATATTCAATGCTTTATATCATACGCGAGTTGCAAATCTAATTGCTTGATCAGGTCGACTTCAACGTACCTCTAGACGGCGACAAGAACATCACCAACAACCAGCGCATCGTCGGCGCTCTTCCCACAATCAAATACGCAATTGACAATGGCGCAAAGGCTGTCATCCTCATGTCGCATCTTGGTCGCCCAGACGGAAAGCCAAACGCCAAGTACAGTCTCAAGCCGGTTGTTCCCGAGCTTGAGAAGCTGCTCGGCAAGAGCGTAACTTTCACAGACGACTGCGTCGGCAAGTCGGTCGAGGACACTGTCAACAGCGCCAAGGACGGTCAGGTCATCCTTCTGGAGAACCTGCGCTTCCACGCCGAGGAGGAGGGCAGCTACAAGGACGACGAGGGCAAGAAGCAGAAGGTTGACAAGAGCAAGGTCGAAGAGTTCAGGAAGGGCCTGACTGCTCTTGGTGACATCTACATCAGTGAGTGAATCCATAATATGGTCAGTAGATGTACAGAACTGACGAAACATAGACGATGCTTTCGGTACCGCCCACCGCGCACACAGCTCCATGGTCGGTGTCGACCTCCCACAAAAGGCGTCTGGCTTCCTTGTCAAGAAGGAGCTCGACTACTTTGCGCAAGCGCTCGAGGAGCCCAAGCGACCCTTCCTCGCCATTCTCGGTGGTGCCAAGGTCTCCGACAAGATTCAGCTGATTGACAACCTGCTCGGAAAGGTCAACAGTCTCATCATCTGCGGAGGCATGTCATTCACCTTCAAGAAGACACTCGAGGGCGTCAACATTGGTGACAGCTTGTTCGACGAGGCTGGCAGCAAGACCGTCAAGGACCTTGTTGAGAAGGCGAAGAAGAACAACGTCAAGATTGTCTTGCCTGTTGACTACATCACCGCCGACAAGTTCGACAAGGACGCTAACACTGGCTACGCTGAGGACAAGGACGGTATCCCAGACGGCTGGATGGGTCTCGACTGCGGAGACAAGTCAATCAAGCTGTACAAGGAGGCCATTGATGAGGCAAAGACCATCCTCTGGAACGGACCCGCCGGTGTGTTCGAGTTTGACAAGTTTGCCAAGGGTACCAAGGCGACACTCGATGCTGCGGTTGATGCTGCACAGAGCGGCAAGATTGTCATCATCGGTGGTGGTGACACAGCCACTGTTGCTGCCAAGTACGGTGTAGAAGACAAACTGTCTCACGTCTCGACCGGCGGTGGTGCGTCGCTCGAACTGCTCGAGGGCAAGGATCTGCCCGGTGTTTCTGCCCTGTCAAGTAAGTAAACCAGTCACTCGAAAGAAGTGAATGGTGGCTCAAGATCAGGGAAGGTATATCTTCGAAGTTATGATTGTGTGTAGCTATAGCTCTTTTTGGTTCAATATAGAAATACCGCATCTCCACCTTGTGCCCCACGGGCGTGATGTTTAGAGAGCTCTCATGGAGCCGCCTGCCCAGTCATGCAAGTATCATGAGCGAACCAGAAGCTCATTTGTTGATAAGGTCGTCGTGTCTACTCGTGTCGAATCGCTCATTTGCCCAGCTTCTTAAGCTCTTCCCTATGAATTGTTAGTCCTAGCTTTGTATCATGCAAGGGATTCCTCTTACCTCAGCTGAACCGCAAAGTCGTCGTTTGTGTCATCGTCATCCCAGCTCTCTTCCCAAAGATGTGTGTTGCCGTTGGGGATCTGTGTCTCCTCCTCAGTCCAGTCTGTAAGCTTATCAGCATGATGCCCATCCTCTTTAACCACACGCACAACATACCCTCTACAGGAAAGTCCTCAAACTCGTCGTCTTCCTCCAGTTGTGTTGCGGGCTTCTTCTCGGGCGCCAGCGGTTGCTCGCCGTTCTTGGAGTCGTTGACTACGGCCTTCTTCATGTCGTTGCTGCCTTGTGCTGAGCCAGACATTGTGGCGGTCTATAAGATGCGATCGGAAGACGTGTTGTGGATTTGTTCAGATGAGCTGGTGGAGGATGACGCGATGTTGTGCTTTGGTGAGCTGTGGGATGCGGCTCCAACAGCGGAGGAGGCGGCGATTGTCCGCAAGGCTTAGCGCGACATCACGTGGCACTCATGGAAACTGGATTCGCGGGGTACCGACTCTCACATGTCGCTGCTTGGCTCCGAGAAAGTTCCATCTGGTGGATTTGGATGTTTCGTTGTCACCGTCGTATACCGTATTCACTCGTTTCAACGCGCGGCGGAGTGGACTGTAGGATAAGCTCCGGACGATGAACATGACGTACTCGTACTTTAGCTCCGAGTGGCCGGACGAAGCTGTAAGCACATCCCGTCTGGTTGGCTTTAGTAGGTTTCTAGACACGCGCTCAGCGTCTTAGCTGGGGTATCCGCTCTGCGTAGTCTTTTTGAATATACTGCTTCTTCTCCTTTCATCCTTCTTTTCACCCTCTTTTTTTCCTCATCTGGTTTCTCTGGTGAATTCTGCCCCACCTCCAGCTCCCAGCCGTGCGGGAATTATCTATACAACATGTTCAAAGTCGGCGGTTGGCTCAAGGGCCATGCCCCTGGGCATACAAAGAGCTTGGATTCTCTGAGTGAACTTGCACAGAGTGAGTCTCGCGACATACACAGGGCAGGCAAATACTAACGCAACACAGTCGAGGATGCCATGAGCGGTACGACTTCCGACACAGCCCAATACGGTGACGCGAATGGGACTAACCACACGCGAGCATAGCTGTCACCTATATCATGGCCGATGATATCGAGAGCGCCGAAGCACACCTCAACAAAGGCAGTTCGCCATTCCACCAGGTACATACCTATTATTCAGCCCACGGGCATATACTTCGGTTCTAGTCTCATACCATGTAGCTTGGGTCGGGAGTGTGTGTTTTCATACGGGCAACGTTGGGCTTTGAGCCAGAAATTGTACGCGAAGGTCTGATCACGTACTCAACATAGTATCACAGACCTCGACTGACTGATGCCGTCTACAGCTGCCAACGCCTTATCTTTGGCAGAGAACTCGGCTTACGAACGTCAACGCCAAGTTAGCAAAGATCCGAATGCATACAAATCACCCATATATCCCCCAGGCACCGAATACGCGGTATGTCAGGCAGAGGCACAGCTCATGAGTGCCGTTGTCGGTGTGCTCAATGAAAGCTTGACGGAAGCTATCAAGAGTTTCTACAAGTTGAGGAAAGCGTACCTTGCACTGGAGGCTGTTATGGAGAATGAGAAGAAATTCTTGAGCCAGAGAAGTACAAGTAGTGTCAATTCTGTAGGGTCGCGCGGCTCTTCCAAGGGCTCGGTTCGGTCAAACTTGGCAGGCAGCGGTCTCAAAACCTCTCAGCCTGCTACTTCGGCCGGGCCGTCTGCTGCAGCGTCAACTTCTAGTCTGAAGCAAAGTACCACGGTGACTGGACCAGCAGCGAAGAAGGCTACAGATGATGACGATGACGATTTCGATTTCGTGGACGCTGCAGAGGACAAGACAGGTGTTTCAACGCCTGCAGAGTACCAGGGGAACCTCAATGTAGCTGCCGATAAAGGTGCTTCAGTCGAGCTCAACAACGCTGAGAAGACGGTTGACGTCGGAGCAAGCTCGGCGCCAGGGCTTCCCGTCACGAACGAGAACCCATCAGATTCCCTACCAGACGCCATCGAATACTTTGAGCAACTCACCTTGAACGATCAAGGTGATGCAGATGCAGACATCGCGTCGTTCAGTAAACACCCCGTGGATGTCTTCATCCTCTCTGGATCGAACTTTTGCTTCGGTATGCTATTACTCATTCTCTCATTCATCCCGCCATCCTTTGCTGGGTTGTTGAAGATCGTTGGCTTCAAGGGCGATCGCGAAAGGGGCATGCGCATGCTATGGCAAGCAACTAAGTTCCACAACATCCACGGTGCTATGGCTGGTGTTGTGCTGATGGGATACATAAATGGGTTCACAAACTTCTGCGACATACTTCCTACCAAGGGTGAGGGTGCATATCCCAAGGAACAGTGCCTAGCTTTGCTCCGCTACATGCGCGCAAGATACCCTACAAGTCACCTTTGGCTACTGGAGGAGTCTCGAATGCTCGCTTCAGAGAAAGAGTTGGAGAAGGCTGTTAAGTTCATGGACGACATGGGCGAGTCGAAGCTAAAGCAGCTCGAAGCGCTTAGATGGTTCGAACAAAGTTTGAACAACATGTACATGCACGACTACAAAGCGACTGCATTCGCTTTCGAAAAATGCATTGGGCTCAACAACTGGAGTCACGCATTGTACTACCACATCATCGCCGCCTCATATGTCGAGCTCTACAGAAAACACAAGACAACCAATCCAACTGAGGCAAAGGAGTACGGTGCAAAAGCAGAAGAATACATGAAGAAGGTCATGCCAAATGTGGGAAAGAAGAAGTTCATGGCACGTCAGCTACCTTTCGACATCTTCGTTGCCCGTAAGATCCAGAAATGGGAGGCACGTGCGAAGGAGTGGAACTGCGACCTGGTAGACGCCGTAGGTGTATCACCACTCGAAGAGATGATCTACTTCTGGAACGGATACAAACGCATGCGAAACGATCATCTCGAAGTCTCCCTCGCCAACCTGGCGTGGAGCGAGTCAGCCGCCAATCCACACTGGGACAAGGAGGGTGTAGACGAAAAGTCTATCCTCAACGTCCTTCGCGCTGCTACTCTTAGAAACATGGATCAGACAATCGAAGCCAAGAATATCTTGGAGAAAGAGGTTTTACCAGTTGATAAAGCCCTTCTCACAGGCAATTTCAAGGACAACTGGACAGCGCCTTGTGCACGCTATGAGATGGCTGCAAACATCTGGCGCGAGGCTGACGCTGATGGGCATCCGGAGAAGAACCCTCAGATGTTGGTTCAGTGTAAGGATTGGCTCGATGAGGTTACAAAGATGGGTGGGTTCGACTTGGATGCAAGGTACGTGATGATTTTCTTCTCTTTGCAGTTCAAGGCTAACATGTGTTTTCAGAATTGGTATGAAGATCACCACTGGAAAAGAGACCTTGCGTAAGTTTGGTGTGCAGTGTTAGAGGTAGAGGTGAATAACTTGTGAATAAACGGATGGATACATAGACGGTAGGGACATCAATATACGACCCGTTACTGGTTAGTCAGAACAAATGCGACCACGTTCAGATCAAATCAAGATTCCCGGTACCTACGTTGCGAGTCACTGGTGCTGTGTGAAAATGGTCTTGGGGAGACCAGATATAACTACCATGGAAATATCACCCACTTCCCCTCTTTGACCCAAAGTAGGCCCTAGAAAAAAACAGCTCCACACAAAAGTCGTACGGCCACCTTGGCCGCTATAACCAACATCTTCCCCTCAAACCTTCTCCTCTAGGTATCTTCCATAGCACTTCAGGTTCCATCATCCCCGCCGTATAGGAATTAGTACGGTACCCCAGCAACACTTACCAAAACTTGCTTCAGTAACCCGGACCCCTTGCATACCCGTCGCGGCCCGCGATCTTGGCCACAATCAACGACTTTCTTCTTCTCCTTCCTAATAAGGTGATACAGAGGGGAGAGTTTGCCCGGTTCAGTAGGTGGCCGCGTGTCTGGGCCCAGTCTGGTTCCGCGGAGGCAGGCGAAACTCTAAGGTGCGGCTAAGTGCGATAAGGAGCCTGGTTTCTACAGTGGGGTGATGGAAGTTTCCGTTTACAGGATATTGTTCATGCTGTGGTCCGGAGTTTGCGGCACATAGAGAACGGAGTTTGGTGGTTAGGGGTATGCGAGTCTAGACTCTTGCGTCGAGATGGACTGGAAAGTTTCCTGAATAGGGAAATGGTAGGAGGGTGTAGATTACAGAGAAGGGCCGACAGTATAGACATCGAGATCTTGGTATGGAAGTGTGGAGTGAGGTACTGGAAGACAAGAGTGTGGTTTCCAACAGAAAGAGGGAAAAGGGTCAACGCGAGTATGGTGAACCCATATTCTCATCTTACCTTTCTCTACCAAAAGAAAGCAGCAAATAGAAAACAATGATATCTCACCTCTCCCTCCTACATCTCCTGCTCTTCACAAAGTCTCTTCATGCAGAGTTTGTGACTACAATCCACTCCCTTGCCTATTTGCCCCCTCATATCCATTCTCCCATCCAACCATCACCACCCCAAGTCACCGAAGGATTCACGCAATGCGCCCGAGAAGCACCGCATTTGACCGACTAGAATCAACACTTTTCACCGTTTCCTTCCCATTGCAGCACGAACGGGGGCGTGAAAATGCGTGATTGTGGCGAGGCCAAGGCGTGAAACAAGGGTAAGATTGAATGAAGGGTGGTGTTCGGGTAGATGACCCGACGCAGGGTGGGTGTCTCTGCCGATACCTTGCCGATGCCGATCCGGGCAAACGCCACATAGTATTCCAGGGTTTTAAGTGGGAATAAAACGGAAATGACGAATGTTTTGGGAGATGGATCAGAATAATAAGTCCGAAGAAGAGCGACTGGAATCTATGGTTTTCGACTTTTGTTTCCTGTTGGAGTAATGAATGGGGCCAGCTCGGGGCTGTTATGACGTTTTGCGATGGTGATAGGAATGTGATGGATGGGTGATGCTTGTACCTGATGCGGAATGTTTGGGGGCCTGGATAAGGGTATTGCCGTGATAAACGCCCCTATTGAATAGCCATTGAACTATACGCGCGTGAATCCATGTTTTGCGACACACTTTCCAGTAGATTTGTGTCGATATCAAATCACATAGTATTGCCCATGATGCCAAAATCGCCGATCTCGCCGGCTGCAATCTACGCATAAAGGCAACATTGCCTAACACAGACGGATTGGGGAATCGCACCTAAGTACCAAGGTACAAGTATTTGGCCGAACCGGTGGAAGGAAAAGACACGTAAGGCGACAAAATCTGCTTTTCTTCTACAATCGATGGCGAATTGGAAGTTAGTGGTTTAGCCAGGTGACAACATTTTGTAATCAAGGTTTCAAATATTGTGATTGGATGTGTAAGAGAAGGAGGGGAAAGAAGACAAGATTGAAGAGATGTATTGTTCGGCTCCATGAGACAACCTACATTCGTGGATCATGCATGAGAAGCTGTTTGGGTACTAGTACCTTCCTTGTCTACCTTGAGATACCATCACCATCAAAGTGTACCATGCCATGAAAAATCATGCTAGCTGCTAGCATGCCAGCTCGCGAGCGCATACGTCCAGCGTGTCTGCTGAGGCGCCTTCAAGGCGACTCGGATCCGAAGTGTCGGAGTCGACTCGGAGTATTTCATCTCGTGTACGACGATCTTACGTGCGATGCTGCAATGTCAACGCTGATCCAACGGCTCGACCATATGTGCGGTTCTTGATGCCTGTTCAATCTACTCTCGGCCTGACACTCCTCCCGCTATCAGCAGCACCCATGCCCCCAACAACGTCCTGCACCAGCTCCCTCAATTGCTGCTGTACCTCTTCGGAATCGTAGTCAGGCCTTGCCGCAAGCTCTTCAATACGTCGCCGTATCTCGGGATCCGGTGCATCGACAGCGTCTTCTTCCATAGTACCTACGTTGACCTTGACACCGTCGGGCAGCGGAGGCGGTGGATGTACGCCCTCGGTCTCTATGACGCCTGCAGCAGCGGGCTCATGACCGGTGCGCAAACTCGTCAGATATTGGTATACTTCATGTGTGGCGTCTTCCTCTTCCAAGAACTTGTCCTCGGCTGTCTGGCCCTCTTGGTTCTTTATGCTGGTGTCTGCGCCGAGTTCCTCAACCAGACATTTTGCTACCTCTGCCTTTTCACATGCGAAGAGGGGCGTCTCGCCGTCTTCATCGAGAATGTTGACGTCGGCGTTGTATTTCTGGACCAGGTCGCGCAGGACGGCGAGTTGGTTGTACGAGGCTGCGGCGTGGACTAGCGAGTAGCCATGGGCATCGCGCGCAGAGGCAAGATGAGGATGCTGCTCGAGCGAAGAGAGAATGGACTGCGGGCGCGTGTCAATGAGGTTCAGGAGGAGATCGATGGTTGGTGCTGGAAGCGCCATGGTGGGCTGCGGCGTGAGGCTGATCGGGAGTGCGCGGGCGTCTGCTGGCGATATTCTGGGCGTGATTATCGATCTGGTGTGCTGCGCATCTGTGTACGCGCAACTCTTTCTCGATCTTCGCTGCAAATCTAAAAATGACGTGGGCGGAGAAGGCGGAGACTTTCCCACTTTCCCAGTGGCGCCGGGACTGCGAGCGCCCCGGCCCCGGATCTTCTTGACACACATCATCGTGCATTTGTATACACACCCATCTCTACCCTTCCCCCCTTAGCGACGCCGCCTGTCTTCCTTGGTCATGGCTGCTCTACATGGCTGCGCATATAGTAGGCCTGATGTGCTGTACGCCCCGGCATCCCGAAGTCAGGCCGATGCAATAAGGAAGTATGTTCGGGCGCTCTGGGCGCCAGCTGAGACGATCAAGACCAACGCCCAGCGTCCATCACACACAGCCTCAAACCGTCAGCTCGGGCCTTGGCTACGCTCGCGTGCCCCTTCACCCTTTTGCTGTCCACTCGTTCCTGCCTCGTAGCCTCTCCATCATCTAGCCCGCCTTCTTTCTTCTTCTGTTCCACTAGTCAGGAATATTGCCATCATACACGTCAACACCGACCGCAGCATAGCCCATCTTTATAATACTGTTACACTGCGTCACACGACACCAAACTTTCGCGTTTCTCTTGGCTGTCTCTAGCTGCCTTTAATGCGCTTGTCCCATTGAGCATTCTGGGACGTTTGGCGCCCTGCCCTCGACTTGACTTGCATTCTTCCTCTCACTGTCGTCATCAGACATACACTCTCGCAAACATGAGGTCCGTCAAAGGAGTCGGCGTGCCGTCGGTGAAGCTCGTCGCATCCTACATCTTCGACTGGATTGTCATCATCGCCATCGCAGCCATTGCCGGTGGTTGGGAATATGTCGAACCATTCAAACGACCCTTCTCGCCTGTCAATCTCGACATATCGTACCCGTACCAGACCAGCGAGATGATACCAACATGGCTCCTCGTCGTTGTATCGCTCATCGCGCCTGCCGCCATTGTTTTCATCGTGTGTCTCATCTGGGTCCCCGGACCCACGGCTGAACGTGGGACACCAAAATCGCTTATTTGGAGGAGGAAGCTCTGGGAATGGAACACTGGCTGGATGGGCCTCGCGCTTTCCCTTGCGACGGCATTCCTCATCACGCAGGGCATGAAGAATCTTTTTGGAAAGCCGCGACCTGATCTGCTGTCGCGATGTCAGCCAGATCTCACGCGTATCGGAACGACCACCATCAGCCCTCTGGGAGAGTTTTATCAACCGCAATGGGTGCTCGTCACCGCCGACATCTGTACACAACCAGATTCGGACATACTCAAGGACGGCTTCAAATCCTTCCCCAGTGGACATGCCAGCTGTAAGTCATACCCTCTACACTCTCTAATTACATACTAATACACTTTTCTAGTCTCATGGGCCGGACTCCTCTACCTCACTCTCTTCCTCGCCTCCAAGTTCTCCGTCGCAATCCCCTTCCTTCCTCCACGACCCTACTCCGCAAACCCCGCTCACACCTCAGCCGTCTCCCCATCCAACCTCAAGAGGCTAGCCACACTCCCTATCCACAAGCAAGACTCAACTCTCTCGAACCCTACCTCCTACAACGACGACACTGTAGTACCTATTCGCTACCAAAACGCTGCACCCCCCGTTTACACCCTCGTGCTTGTCTTGGTACCCATCTGCGCCGCCATATACATAACAAGCACGCGCTTCACCGATTTCCGTCACTTCGGTTTTGATCTGCTGTTCGGTACGCTGATTGGCGTAACGTGCGCGTGGTTTTCCTTTCGCTGGTACCATCTCCCCATCACACGGGGCGCGGGATGGGCCTGGGGTCCGAGGAGCTACGACCGTGCGTGGGGCATTGGTGTTGGTAGAGGAAGTTATGTCGGAACTGAGGGATGGAGCAGGAAAGGAGATAGTGAGACAGCGCTTCGGAGGCGAGCGGACGGCCAGTTCAATGCCCATGCCAACGGTGTGGATGAGAGTGAACTGAGTGTGCTGAATCGCAATGGCGCACCGCATGCTGGTAACCCACCCAGCGCAATGCACTCGAGGAGTGGTACTGCGCAGACATATCATGCCACGACGCAGGATGTTTGATCTTTTCTACTTTTGATACTATATAATGTATTAGGAAGCATGGCGTTGGGACGGATACCCATTTTAGATGGGAAAAGAGCGGATATCGATGTTGTATACCAGGTTGGCGACTTTGCACACATTTCAGAACTATACCACTCAGAGAAAATGGGAAATTAATGTTCGATTATACAATGATTATGATCATGGGTAGCTGCCTCATTTATTCTGCTCCGTCTAGCTTGCAAAGAAGAGCCTTGCGGCACAGTAGTTGGCTTGCAACCTGCGTGTATCAATTCGAATATCACACGGAATTGTGTAGTTAGCGATACCTTGTAGCAAAGCTGATCGGAGAAAGTAGTCTAAAGACAGCCTGTTCGAAGGAGATACTGTACCTACCAATAAAAGAAGAAAGTAGAAGTCGCTTGGGGTATTGTCGCTTTGGGCTATTGTCATATCATGTCAAATCGACTGTACTTTTGGATGCTGCTACATAAACCCCTCTGCCAGCTGGCAGTTGAATACCCCTCCTAAACAAACCTACCGCCTCTGCTCCACTGTCGTGTTGAAAAGACGTGCTGCTCCGCCTCGTTCTCCCCCCACAACCCATACGTGTGCGGACATGGAGATTGAATGCGCTATTGTGTGATTGATCACAAGAGCCATGTCGCAGGCTCGTTTGCCCAACATTATTATCTTGTATCGTGCTGGCCAACGTAGAGACGAGTCATCTACAGACCCTTCTTGCCCTTCTTCCTCTCCTCGTCTCTCTTCTGGTAGATCATACCAGTGAATGGATCCTCCCACCTGCACGCAATAGAGTATGCAGTGTGGACCAGTGCAGTAAGAAGTATACCAGCTGGTTTTCCGTACCAAATAGCCGTGGCCAGGAAAGACATGGCAGAGCCGTGATACATGGGCGAACCCGAGACGTTAAATGGGAATGTCGTCACAGGCTCGTCCATGAGGATGCCGAAGTAGTCACCAAGGTAGGTGCCAGTGACACCAAGAGCCCACATCGAGGTCAGGACGAGGGTGTTCCCTGTTAGGAACAGAGGGATCGCGGAGTATTTGATAGCAGGGGAGAGGAGAGTCGGATGGGTGGGCTGATCGGCGAGAGCTTCATTGTAACTGTAGAGACATTGTCAGAGTCTAGGCCGGATAGACGTTGACGTCTCGAGATAGTAGTGGTAGCTTGCACGTACAGGTAGTCTCGAAAGATACCCAGTGAGAAAATGGTTACGGCAAGCGCATAGCACCCAAGTCGAGAGTTACCCCCAAACAGCTTGGTAATGACCTTGTTATGGTATTCTAAGTCTTGTCAGCTTCCCCGAATCCTGCTATTGCGACTATAGCCGAGCCTTGGAAAGTGGCTGCTGGTCTCCCAACGCCACGACGAGAGTGCGTACCTTGCTGCGCAGCGATGCTATACTTCTGTTAATGGCTGTATAAACTCATGAGCAATGTGACTCACTTCCAGAAAGTAGGGTTGAATACAATGCTTGCAGCAGATACTGTCATCACGTTAGTCGTCGCATCCGCAAACAGCGGGGATCTGGGTGGTGGTACTCACCCCACAAACTGGGCTGACTGAAGTCGATGTAAGAAGCCATGGTCAAGAGCAAGTCCAGACGAGTTGCGAGTCTTCAAACGCAAGAACACACAGGTAGGTGAAGCTTTGAATCCACGATACAGAAGGTGTGGGGGATGTGGACAGCTTGCCCAGGTGTCAAGCATGTGCATTCGGCAGTTGCGCCGTTAGCGAGACGTCATAAGCTCCACATGTTCAAGAATCGCGCAAGGGGCGCGTCACGGACGAACGCCTACCGAGCGCATTAAGCTGTCAACTTGTTATGATGTATTATTGTATCGGTTGAACTTTTATTCAAGAAGGATGTTGTAGTTTCCATCTCTACTACGATGTGTTCCACTTCTGCAGCCTTTACTGCGGGGTATACCAAGCCTCGTTATAACGAGAAATCCAAGAAAACAAAAACGCCTCCCGTCCTACCGTGCATTTCCGGGCCTGTGTTTCGTATCCTTGACAGAATTGCGCCCTGATCGGAATGCCAACATCGTTCGAAATTATACTGATCGTGTCATGTCCAACATATTCAACTTCTACAAGCCGTTGTCGGCGCATGTGAAAGGTCCACCAAAGCCATCGGCCTTGTAGCCGTCAATGATCGACTGGACAGTTGCGTACGTGCCCGCGGTCAAGAACAACAGACCAATAAAGCAAAGTATGATGTTGAAGAAGAACCCAGCATATCCACGGAGTCCACGCGTCTTCCAGAAATCTACACCATACCTCTCCCTGCGAAGTCGAATGTACGCCACGCCCCAGAAGATGAATCCAAAGAACGAGTCGAACAGGGAGCTCATGAGTGAGAGAAGGTCGGAGAAGAAGGGAATGACTTCGGCGATGATGAAGGCGAAAACCCATAGTACAGCAAGAATTACGATCCATGTGACCCAGCCAGCCACGGTGTGGCCGGTCCTGTGTCGGGACTGAGAACCGTAAATGCGGAACAAGACAAAGCGAGCTGTTACTGAGGCGTACAGAACACCAAGGAAGATGATTGTGGGTACCATGAAGGTGAAAGCCACCTTCTTGTACACTTCGTTGGAGATGGAGCCAAAGGCCGGGGAGGTCATGTAGTTGGTACCAGTGTAACCGTATACAACGCCTCCGACCAAACTGAAGATGATGACCTCGCAAATGGTGACAGCCCAGAGTGCCTTTGGGAAATCTCTTGGTTCCTTCATCTCGGCAATAAAGCTGGGAAGGGTAATCTGACCAATGAAGGTGTAGCTGATGTTCATAAAGGCGCTCATGCCCATCACGAAAGTGGTTCCAGCTGGGGGTACGGCGTAAACCTCGAGTTCGCCCAGGCTTGGGTAGCCTGCAGGTTTGCCGTCGACACCGGAGAATGCTGCTGCAAGGATAACGGAGATGAAAGTGAAGGCGGCGGAGGCAGTCGCTAGAGTAGCCAGGGTGCTAAAGGTTCGTGGGAGGGAAGCCACGAACGAGATGATGGCAGTTATGGCGGCGAATACAATGGTGCAAGTAGCGTGTCCGGTGATGGTATTCCACCACTTGGCGCCAACGAGACAGTGCAGACCCATGATGAAAACGTCTTGAGGAAGAATCAGTACTAGGCTGGAGGTTTTTGCAAAGAAGCTGTGGCTTACTATTGAGGACAAACATGACTGCTGTTGCGTAGAAGGCCCATTTCTGGTTCCAGAAGAGCATCTGGCCGATGTCACATACATCGCGAATCTGGGGGTGGCGCATGCAGAATTCCCTGATCAGTTAGCATGGGTAACTAAAGTTTTACTATTGACAAGACCTACCATGTAGTCAAGGACGTGTATAGGACGAGACCGGCGATGACAAAAGTCAAGATCAAGCCCGGGACGAGGCCAAGAATGGAGTAGGACCATGGGAAGGACATGATGGCTAGACAGATGTACTCGGAGAACAACAGCGCCGCAGTCTTTTGCCAGCTGCAAGTGCGGTACTTGATAGCATTGTTGGCTTCTAATTCGATCTGCCTGCCGATGGTGATACTGGCGTCGGAGTCGGTGTCGGCGGAAGTAGGTAGGATCCCTCCTGCTGCCTCGGCGTCGTAGCTCTTCTCTTTCTCCAAAGCGACTTTCTCATTACTGTTTTGACTGGTGGCATCGGTAGGTGAAGCCTTGCCGCCGAAGATGGATTTCAACGCCATTTTAAGCAACGGATACTCCTCTTGTAGGGAGTGTAATAGAAAGGACGACGAATAGCCGCTTCCGGGAGCATTAATTGCGGGTGCGATGTCCGGGAGGTGTAAAGTTGAAGTGAGTTGACTAAACGATGGAGGAGCCAGGTGCGAAGATCGTTAAATATATTTGCGGGGGCAAGGTGATAGCGGGTACAGGGAGTGTTGCAGTGGAAGGACGTAGGCTAGGGTACGCTGCTAGCACGGCTAGGCCCAAACTTGCGGGGGTTGGAAGAGGGTTCGGTGAAGGCGAGCAGGGAAGGCGTAAGAGTGGGGACTGTTCTTGCCTATGGCGCGACCGGGCTTCAACGCGACCTATGAAGGCTCGCACAAACACCAGCCGTTCGGCGCGCTATGACCGCGACACTCCCATCTTCTCCCGCTCTCGCGCTATGAAATCTCAGTAAAATCCTCTGGCCTGACGCCGCGAGAGCCGCTCTCTGTGGATTAATCGTATTGTCGACTAGGCTTTAGCAAGCCTGAGGTCGCTTTTGTCGCTACCATGCCAACGGCACAGATCTACCTTTTCACTCTCACCCATGCGCAGCATACGCATATCGAAAACCCATTACGTTAATCTTCAACGACTCTAGATAACTAGACCGATGGCGCGTCACCTTTCCGCACTCCTGCGCTTCTGTCACACCCACTTCCTACCGCCACACCGTTGTACTGGCTCACAAGTCAGACATCGAGGCTTGATGTCACTGTGGCGCCCGCTAAGCTCAATTGCTAAGCTCCATATCAAGGCCTCCCAGCACCGGTAAGCTTGGCTTGGCTTGCTTAGCTTACGACATACCGTGGGCGATTTACCACCACCAAGCCTCGCCAATGTCTAGCCACCAATGTCGAATCCTTCGCGTCCTTTGCTTATCTAAACCAGTCACAAACAGCGCGTCGCGTTCAAAGTATGGACCATCTTTGGAATTCCATGGTATATATCCGATTTAGCCAGGAAAACGGCAGTAACCACGGTGTCGGCCACGTTGTAGGGATGTCTGTCCTGCAGGGTACGGGTCCGCTATCTAGCCAACCATGTCCGCGCTTCCCAATCATCGCACTCCGAAATACCCGTGTTGCAGAATCGTAGATCTTGCTGCACGATTCGCCAGGCGACTGGCAATTCACCGAAGCAGCAAACGCAAAAGTGCACACCAAATTGCGTGATCGTCCTCATATTAGTTCTGGGCGCTGCATGGCTTATGCGCGTTGCTGATCCTGCACTTGGCATTCGGACAGAAAAAAGCAGTCTCGTGTGCATTGATGCTCGCGTGTCACTCCAATATTCACGGGATGGCAGCGTCCGCGTAAAGAAAGGGAGCCAAACGTCGACAGACGCACAGACACCGAAGGACTATACCAGCCGTAGAGTACCTATCACCCTATCACTTCCGCAACAGGTGCTAAAGTCCTTCGAAAGCGATCACCCGATCGATGAACCGACAACAGCTATCTATCTCTACAGGATCTAAAAGCTGGCGGAGTAACTTATCGTCATCATCCGTTCTGTAGTATCTTCTTATCACAGATAGCCGGGCCTTTTCACTTAGATAAGCGCATCTTGCTGAATGTGGTTCCACTGCCCACGGACAGGAAGACATGATACTGACGACTTCTGCATAGATGATCCAACATACTAATCACTAACATATTCACAAAATAACATTAGGATTTGAAGAAAGACCCCTGATGGCCCGAAACGTGGTGCTAATAGGCTCGATATGCATTCCGAACAGTTTCGTAGTAGAAACAACCCACATGAATGGCGTATATTTCCCCATTCCCTGAGTCCTGCGGAATATGGTTATATGACAGTGATTTCTCTCATACCCTATAACTTCACTGCTAAGATTAAAATACCCGCTGTAACTTCTCAAATTAAGCTATCACCTCCACTTCCCCAATTTGTCTGCTGCTGCTGCTGCTGCTGAGTCTGCGTCTGCGCCCTCAAATTTGCCATACTATTCATACCCATTCCCGAACTCGATGTTCGACTTCCCATGGGTGGCGGTGCGATGGTAAAAGTTCCTGTGCCCATCGGTTTCGCAGGAGGAGGCGCAATACTAAAGGACGAATAAGGAGATTGCGTCCGTGACTGTGAGGAAGGTGGAGCTATAGAAGGGAAGCTCGATAGAGAATTGTTCGTGTTGGTATTCGAAGTGGCCATGTTACTCCAGTTGTTTGATGCCATTGACGAGTTACCTGCTTTACTCCAATCGATACCCGAGCTTTGCGTGGTATTGTTGTATGAGGGTGTTGTGGCAGAGGTGGGAGACATTATGTTGTTCATGTTCATAGCTGGTCGGACTTGTTGTTGGGGCTGGGTGAAGGAGGAACTGCCGATACCTGGGTTTGCGGCGCTCAGAGCGGGGAAAGAAGAGTTGAGTGTATTTAGCGTGTTGTCCGGTGTTATGGCTCTGCTTTGCGGTTTGGGGGCGCCGAGGTTATTGGTTGGTGGTGGAGAGACGGGGGGTGTGGACCAAGAGAAGGTTGCTGCTGGCGATGCGGTCCTGGATGCTGTTCGGTTGGTAGATGGCCGTGAGGGGAGGATCGTAGAGGATGTAGCGGATGCTGGAGCGTTTGCCCATGGATCTCCACCCAACATATCTGTGCCACCAGAAGATCCTTGTTGTCCTCCACGTACAAGGGCCTCGAAGTCAGTATCTCCGTTTCCGTTGCTGGTGTCGAAGCCATTGGTTGCTGATGGGCCACCGAAGGACATGAACTCATTACGTGTGGTAGCTGTGGAGCCATTCGCGCCCAGTTCTTGCAGCTTACGTGTCTGCTCGTTCTCGACACGGGCAGATGTCGACTTGATAAGGCTCATATACGCTTGGAATTGCTGCAAGTTAAGTAGCGGTCCCAAGCTGAAATTCCACAAGATAGGAAGTACATCCATAGCAAGAAAGTCACTGTCAACTTGGGTGCTGATGGCCTTGAAGACATCCAGTGCGGCCATCTGTACAATAATTAGCATGACGTCTGTAACTTGTTCCTTCTCGTGAACGTACCATGACGGCAGGTTCTTTCGTCTTGATAGCACGAAGCAGCGGTACTATCTTCTCCTGGATGGTATATTTGTCGAGAATCGATACACTGGAGCTCTTGGCCTTGGGTGCTGCTACCATTCCGGTAAGACCATCACCTTGGTCGTCTTGCTGTTCACTTCCTCCTCCACAAAGTGTCTTGAAAGCTTCTAGACCACGAATTTTGATACCCATGCTGCTGGTCTTTGCAAAGATACTAGCTATTACAGGGAAGAGCTCGTTCTTCACAGTCGAGAAGTCTAGAATTGGCAAGACAACAGGTAGCGTACGCAGAGCTGCATCGACGAGCGAGTGGGTAGGAGATTCAAGAGCGTAGTTGATGATTGGGAGTATGTCATCTTTGAACTCCTTGCCACTGGAGTTATCTGCAGCGATCTGCATGTTCTCAAGAAGTACCATAAGTCCCGCTTCCTTGAGGCTATCTCTCTCCTGTTGCGGCGCTTTCGTGTTTGTAGCTGCAGCAGTCAGGAATATCTCTCGCAACTTCGGTATCACTTTCTCGGTGAAGGCTCGTTTGCCGGATGGAAGCATAGTAACGATCTTGAAGACATTCTGGAGTATCAAAGTGAGGAGTTCCCGATCTTTCATCTCCTCAAGCAGAGCAGGTAATATCTTCTTGTCTAGTACAGATTTGGGAAACTGATTCAGGATACGCGGTAGACCACGCATGAACTGTGACTTCTCGTTGGGTGTCTTCCCCGGTAGCGAGTCAAGAAAGCGGATTGTGGACACTAGAATGTTGTCAAAGTATGCTGCTTGTTGGAATTCTCGTACGTCCAGTCGCTGCGCTGGTCGCCGCGTTATTAAGCGATCTAGGACACCGTTTGCGAGATCTCGCGGCAATGGTTGTGACGCCATGAAGTTGTTCGTTTTGCTTGGAACTGAGGAGGATGAGGAGAACGCCCGCTTGTATGAAGAAGAACTTCCGTTGAACTCCAACGGGCTCTTATGCGGCGAGTTGTATAGCGCAATTATCAGCATACCTAGACTGAACATGTCCGCAGCAGGGGTTATATTGTTATCCATGACGAAATCGGGCGAAGAGTAGTCTATGTTCAACTGGACGTATCGTGGTAGGCGGGCGTCGTAGTTCAGGACTTCCGAGAGCGAGATGGGCGTTACGGATGTGGGTTTCGTGGAGTTCTCTGGAGGCGTAGAAAAACCCAGGCCTGAGATTTTCCAATCGGACTATCACAACGATCAGCAAGGTGTTTGTAGGGAATGGCTAGTATTGTGGCTGCCTACTTTAGCATTGATGAAGATGGCTTCTGGAGTCAAGTTGGCATGTACCAATCCAGCGCTCTCGTGCAGGAATTCCAAGCCCTTTGCGATTTGTAACAAGCCTTTCTGTATCTCCAGCTCGTCGATCTCAAGTTCGCGTCTCCGCTTCTGGCCATCGGCTTCTTCGATGACATATCGGCTACGACGTCCATTTACACCACCAGCCTTCTCCTGCTCATCTTTTTCTTGTAGCAAACCAGCCAGGGATGCCGTGACGGGCTCTGTCGCGAACATAAGGCCACCACCACGAGTTTCTTCGACAGGTTCAGCCAGTTCTAACACGTTGGGATGGCGTAACCGAGCTAGAGAACTGGCCTCTTTTTTGAGTCTTTCGACGACCTCGTCATGCGCGCGCTTGAGTCCTGAAGCTGCTGAGCGCCCACCGAAGCCTGCGCCAGCTGGTGGTTCCAGTGACTTCTTCTCGAACACAAAGACAGATGCCGCCTTGCCGGTCGACTTCTTCTTTGCGTCGTATATCTTCCATGGTCCAGAATGGGACGTGGGTTGCGGGCTGAGGGTGTAGTTGCTCGAGATGTTGGAAGTGAAGGACTTTAGGGCGTTGGAAAACATGTTGCTGGTGGTCTATTCGCGCGCGCGGCGATTTCGTGGGTGTGAAGCGAGGGCGTCATGGACTGTGATGTCGATGTGAGAAGTGTTGGTATTCGCGTGAGATCTGAGACAGATAGCTGGGGCCGCCGAGGAAATCAAGACACATCAGACATGGTTCCTCTTTCCACGAGACGACTTGCGACAGCCACAGAAGAGTCGCACAATTTCCAGGCTCATTGGCGACGGCGAATACCTAAGAGGCAATTGGTAGACAAGGCCAAGTGTTGGGAACCCCACGCGAGCTGTGGAGAAGGATGGTCAGGGCCGCCTCTAGTCTCCCGCCTTGCATGACGTGAGCGCAGCGCAGGCAGTGTGAATGCGGCCACCGGCGCCAGACAGGATACCGAGCACGTGAATAACCTCAAATATCCGCATTGGAGATTACCAAGGTGCCAATTGCGCCCTTCGGCGGCCCGTCTGGTGGCTGGTGCAGGGGCGCGATCGGAGGTGACTGTTGGTGACTGTGTCTCGAGGTCCGATATCTACAGGGCGCGGTCAGCTTCGGTCTTGTAGTACAAAATAATTGTCGACCTCGAATCCACCACCTGCACCAACTCTCCTTCCCGCCCCACTCTCTCCGCTTGCACTGCATACCTCACAATGCTTCAGCAGCGGTCTTCACGATTGCTCTCGTCCTTGGCCCGTGGCGCCTTCCGTTCGCCTGTAGCACCGCTCAGCGCGTCGCTGCGATGTCGGACCCAGCGGCCATACAGCATTCATGCTGATGTCTCTGTTGGCGAGAAGATACAGGACATCGACCCTACCAAGCTCTCCATCACCAAGACGACCACACCAAAAGACCTCCTGCCGCATGAGGAACTTGTCTTTGGTCGCAACTTCTCTGGTAATAGCTCCAATGGCACCACGACTCATATCTAACCTGCATGCAAGATCATATGCTCTCCCTTGAATGGACAGCAACACAAGGATGGCTACCGGCACGCATCACACCCTACCAGAACCTCAGTCTCGACCCTGCGACATGCGTCTTCCACTATGCATTCGAGTGCTTCGAGGGCATGAAGGCCTACAAGGACAAGAGCGGCAACATTAGGTTGTTCAGGCCGGACAAGAACATGGCTAGGTTGAACAAGTCATCGGCACGAATTGCATTGCCTACATTCGACCCTGATGCTCTGATCGAGCTCATTGGCAAGTTCGTCAAAGAGGACGAGCGCTTTGTTCCCGAGTATGTTCAGTTCCGAGTCTTGTGACCAACGCGTCCTTCTAACCATAGCAGTGCACGAGGCTACTCTCTCTACCTTCGCCCAACCATGATCGGTACACAGCGTACTCTGGGCGTAGGTCCTCCCGCTTCTGCACTACTCTACGTAATCGCTTCGCCTGTCGGCCCGTACTACCCTACCGGTTTCAAGGCCATCTCGCTCGAGGCTACAGACTACGCTGTGCGTGCATGGCCTGGAGGTGTTGGAGACAAGAAACTCGGTGCCAACTACGCGCCTTGCATTGTCCCGCAGATGCAGGCTGCGAGCCGTGGTTTCCATCAGAACCTGTGGTTGTTTGGCGAAGAAGAGTACATTACAGAGGTGGGCACGATGAACTTGTTCGCAGCTATCAAGAACAAGGAGACGGGAAAGCCAGAGTTGCTCACTGCACCTCTTGACGGAACGATTCTTGAGGGAGTGACGCGAGATTCGATCCTCGAACTTGCGCGCGAGCGATTGGTGCCAAAGGGTTGGACCGTAACGGAGCGCAAGTTCACCATGAAGGAGGTGGCCGACGCTGCCAACGAGGGACGCATGATGGAGATCTTTGGTGCAGGTACCGCTGCCATTGTCGCACCGGTGCGAAAGATTAGCTGGAAGGGACAGCTTGTCGACTGCGGACTTGAAGACCACGTCGAAGCCGGCCCTGTGGCACAACAGATGAAGGATTGGATGGAGGCCATTCAGTACGGCGACGAGGACCATCCATGGAGGTATGAGCTTCCCACTCATTAGACAAATGTCCCGCTAACACGACGAAACAGTTACAAGGTGATATGAAAAGCACATGGTCGACATGGTTGCAAGACGCTCTGTAGACGAGGTAGATAGGCTCAGCAAGCGGGGAATGTATATAGATATTGAGACGTGACGTTGGTCGGGAAATGACTTGGCAATGGTGATGCTGCGGCAGTGACTCTGCAATGGTGGGGTAGAGGATCAATGCAGCGCGTGCCTGACTACTCTCTACTTGGATGACGTTCTTGGCTAGCTCCCAGCCTCTCGTTACACCGACTCATCAACACAGTGCGCGCACCTCCCGAGCCCCCTCAATTGCCCGCTCAGAGCTGCGCCGCCGCTCGTTGACTTCACCGCCACGCGCCTCCAAGACACGACCGACGAATTCTCACGATGCTGGCCGGCGCACTCTGCCGCCTGGCAGCTGACGCTCCCAGGACGTCCCCACACGACATGCCGCAGCTTGCCCGCTTCCTCCGCCGCTCTCTCCTCGCCCACAATGCCGCTCGAGTCCCGCATGCCCGCCCTCTCTCACGCGCCTTCGCATCCCTTGTCCGTGCCCGCCGGTCCTATGCTACAACTACGCGCGCTACCGAGCCGACCGAGACAGTGAAGAAGGCCGTCAAGACTGCGGCAGCTAAGAAGCCGGCGCCTAAGAAGACTGCCACGGCCGCAAAGAAGGCAGCCCCCAAGAAGGCTACGGCGACCAAGACTGCGGCAAGCAAAACAGCGAAGAAGCCGGCTGCCAAGAAAGCAACGCCCAAGAAGCGCGTCAAGAAACCTTTGACGGATGAAGAGAAACTACAGGCCAAGATCCGCCAACTGCGCGTCAAGGCACTCAAGGAGCCTGTAAGGCCCCGCGCGTATACGGCTATAAATGCCTTTGTCTCTGAAACGCGCGCTTCAAATTCCAGCTTTACCGAAACTATCGAGGCGTTCAGGAACTTGACTCCTGCTGAGCTTGAGGTAATTCTAATCTGCCTTCACGTTGAGACGCCCATGTGCTAAGTCGTTGCAGCACTGGAACCACATTGCCAACCAACAGAACGCTGCCAGACAAGCCGAGTATCAGGCATTTATCCATTCCTACACTCCCGAACAGATAAAGATTGCAAACAACGCTCGTAGCCAGCTACGGAAGTTGCTTGCGGACAAGCGTAAGCATACCCCTCCATATGCTAAGAAACTTGTGGACGACCGCCAAACCAAGAAGGCGGTGTCTCCCTTCCCAGCCTTTGTGCGAGCCAGGCATGCCAGTGGAGACTACAAGAACATCCCTTCGACGGAGGCCATCAAACTCGCTGCTAATGAGTGGAAGAGTCTGAGCGCTGCCGAGAAGCAGGTATGTATCAAGCATCACACGCCCAAGATGCGCACTAATCTGTACAGAAATACCAGGATGAGTGGGTAGCTCGGAGGGATGATGCTGCTGCAGCTGCATAAAGCTGTTTCAACATTACGCTGGCGATGACTACCTTCAACCTAAGTGTAATGGTGCAATCTTCTCTTTCACTTGTTCACCTGGAGCCATACCGATTCCCTTTGTTAGTCATGATACAAGCCTCAATGATACCGTGTTTGTCCAGTCTGGATATTGGACTTCACTTTGCGTTCTTCTGGTTGAAGGCGGTCAATTCATGGCTGGGAATGGTGACACATCCATACGAAGACATGTTTATGTAGGTTCTTCGCGATACTGTAGTGCTTCTTCCGCAATTGTACCAATTCCTTTCCTTGGAAAAATCGCAAGTATTGGGGTCCGCCTGTGAACTGCTCTATGCTCATGGTTGCACCAGAAGTAACATTGCGCACCAATCAATTAGCGTGCTTTCCTTATCTCTCCACACCCCAGCCAAGCCTAGCAATCTGCTCATCCCACAAGCATCTTCCCCAGGATGCTCCAGTAGATCTTTTTCCGCGGTAGATAAGCTTGCGTTCTAGATATGCTTACATGCGTCATTGGACAAGCCACGTTGATTTCGATATGTACCTCGAGTACGCTACATAATGCTGCCTTGAACCACCATCATTGACCTCAGTCCTGGACGACTAGACATGGCATCTGATCAAGAGAACGGACACGAGCGTACACCTCTACTCCACCAGAGCCGATTATCACAGCTCCAACACGCGCAAGATGAGGAGGCTTCATCGGTCATCGCGTCCACTGTAACAAAGGAAGAACAGCAGTTAGCAGGTAGTACGGTTGGAGAACGATTACCATACAACGATTATACTACAATCGACTGGTTACACGATTTGGTACTGGCATCTTCCATTCACCAAAACCGCAGAAGTATGCTGATGTGAAAAACAGGTAAAAGACTCGTACCGCTTTCGTCACATTCAATCCCGACGCGGTATCCGCTACAAGGCTCTGGCTCTCTTCGACGCCTGCTCAGGATGGATCGCTGTCATTATCATCGGCACACTTACTGCGTGCGTTGCTTTTCTTGTCGACATCGCCGTGGCTACTGTTTCGGACTGGAAAGTCGGATATTGCTCTGGCCATGCATTCCGGAACCGCGAAGCTTGCTGTTCTCAGAGGAAAGCAAGGGCCCTTTTTCGTACGAGTAATGTTGAAGAATGTGAGAATTGGCATGAATGGACAGACGACTATGCGTCTGGTTTCGCCATCTACGTGGCTATGGCATTGGTTTTCGGTATCATCAGTTCAGGCGCGACTATGTTGACCAAGACTGCACTTCCATCTGCTTCAGACACGCCAGGTTCGACCACAAAATCCAATGGCCATGACAACGATATCCCAGTAACCCCCACAACAGCTCCCAGCGGCAAAGTTATGTATATGGCCTCCGGATCCGGCATCCCTGAAATAAAAACAATCCTATCCGGTTTTTCCATCCCATCCTTTCTCTCCCTCCGCGTTCTCATCGTCAAAGCCTTCGGCGCTATCTTTGCCGTATCGACCGGTATGTGTCTAGGAAAAGAAGGTCCCTTTGTCCACATCTCTACCTGTGTGGGTTACTTAGTCGGCCGGTTGATTCCAAAATACCGGGACAACGGACGTAAAATGCGAGAATTGCTCAGTGCAGCCTGCAGTTCTGGCCTTTCGGTTGCCTTTGGCGCACCGATTGGCGGAGTGCTTTTCTCCTACGAGGAAATATCGACGTATTTCCCAAGGAAGGTGCTGTGGAGAGCATTTTTATGTAGTCTTACGGCGGCTATGGTACTCAAAGAACTCAATCCTACGGGAACGGGTAAATTAGTTCTTTTTGAGTCCAATTTCGGGACTGAGTATCAGGCTATTCACTACCTCGTTTTCGTGTTGCTGGGCGTAGCGGGTGGTGTTTTTGGTGGTCTCTTCTGCAAGTTCAACTTCCTGTGGTCGAAGTGGTTTAGAAGCTTCGGGCTTATTAAACGGTATCCTGTGCTAGAGGTTGCATTGGTCGTGTTTGCGACTGCGCTTCTTCAGTACCCTAATCCACTAACAAGGGAACCCGGGGATGTCATCATCAAAAATCTGCTTGTGGATTGTGGTGATGACACTTCAAGGGCGTCTTGGGTCTGTCGGAATGAGAGTACTGATATAGTGGGAGATGGAAAGACGAATTGGAAGTTTGTGGCTTGGCTAACGTACGGTACTCTTGCCAAACTCGTTCTAACTACCATAACGTTCGGCATTAAAGTTCCCTCTGGCGTCATCATCCCCGCGCTGGATGCTGGGGCTTTTTTCGGGCGGCTAGTTGGTCAAACTATCGGTTCGATAAGCCCAGGTATCTTCGCCATGGTTGGCGCTGCCGCATTTCTGGCTGGAGTATCACGTATGACGATTTCACTTGCTGTTATCGTAAGTGTTCCCATTACCCCCTCTTTCTCTTCCCGCCCTCTATTAACACTATGATAGATGTTTGAACTAACCGGCCAACTTTCCTATACTGTTCCCTCCATGCTCGCCATCCTAGTCGCAAAATGGACTGCAGACGCCATCTCAACAGAAGGTGTATATGATCTCGCTCAAACACTTCTTTCCCACCCCTTCTTAGACCCAGATGTCGCTCTATCAATCGTCCGGCAACACAAAGCTTGCGTCGAGGCCCTTATTCCGCCTCAACGCACCATGTCCGATATTACTGTCTTGGTTCCTGCCAGCAACAAAGTAGCGTTGGACTTGCTCAAAGAAAAGCTACATGCGCTGAGGGAGAGGGGGCTTATGGATGCGGGTCTCGTTCTTGTGCAGAGGAACAGCGGTGGTGAGGGTGTGGAAGTGCTGCAGGGTTACATTTCACAGTCGGAGCTGGAATTTGGGTTGACGAAACTCGTCCCCAGTGCGCTCGTGTCGACCCAAGAGGATGTCCAGGTTAGATTATTGGGCCAGGAGATCGACGATCCAACAAGTCCGACAAGCTTGGAGATGGATCTAACGCCCTTTGTGGACCGAACGCCACTGACTATCTGTGCGAAAGCGCCCTTGGAGTATGCCGTCGAGATGTTTGCCAAGCTAGGATTGAGATACCTGATGGTCACCGAGGAAGGAACGGGACGACTGGTGGGCGTAGTGATTAAGAAACGACTAGTAGGGTACCTTGAACATTTGAGAGAACACGGAGAGAAAGACAAGTGAAGTAGACACAGCCATTAGCAGGCAAACAAAATGCACCAAGTTTGTGGACAATATTTGATTATAGCATCTTTTCGCTAACAAGAAGTTGAGTCGCTTGTCACGCTTGTCAAGCCATGACCGAATCGCTCAAAGTACGAATTGAATTACAACGTTGTGTCCACGCATGAAAGTTTCCCACAGCCAAGCCCAGCAGGTCAACGGCCGTGACCAGCTTATTCCTCAGCCTCAAGAGGAGCCTCCTCGTCGTACTCGTCCTCACCCTCAGAGACGGAAGCCTCCTGGTATTGCTGGTACTCGGAAACCAAGTCGTTCATGTTGGACTCAGCCTCAGTGAACTCCATCTCGTCCATACCCTCACCAGTGTACCAATGCAAGAAAGCCTTGCGCCTGAACATGGCAGTGAACTGGTCACCGACACGCTTGAACAGCTCCTGGATGGAGGTGGAGTTACCGACGAAGGTAGAGGACATCTTCAGGCCGCGGGGAGGGATGGAGCAGAGGGCGGTCTGGACGTTATTGGGGATCCACTCAACGAAGTATGAGGAGTTCTTGTTCTGGACGTTGCGCATCTGGTCCTCGACCTCCTTCATGGAGACCTTACCACGGAAGTAGGCAGAGCAGGTCAGGTAGCGACCGTTGCGGAAGTCGGAAGCAGCCATCATGTTCTTGGGGTCGAACATCTGCTGGGTGAGCTCGGGAACGGTGACGGCGCGGAAGGAGTGGGCACCGCGGCTGGTGAGGGGAGCGAATCCGACCATGAAGAAGTGGAGACGGGGGAAGGGAACCATGTTGACGGCCAACTTCCTCAGGTCAGAGTTGAGCTGACCAGGGAAACGCAGGCAGGTAGTGACACCCGACATGACGGCGGAAACGAGGTGGTTCAGGTCGCCGTAGGAGGGGTTGTTCAGCTTGAGAGTCCTCATGCAGATGTCGTAGAGAGCCTCGTTGTCAATGCAGAAGGTCTCGTCTGAGTTCTCAACCAGCTGGTGGATGGAGAGTGTGGCGTTGTAGGGCTCGACAACGGTGTCGGAGACCTTGGGGGAAGGCACGACGGAGTAGGTGGCCATCATGCGGTCGGGGAACTCCTCACGGATCTTGGAGATGAGAAGCGTACCCATACCGGCACCAGTACCACCTCCGAGGGAGTGGGTGATCTGGAAACCCTGGAGGCAGTCGCAGCCCTCGGCCTCGCGGCGCACGACATCGAGGACCTGGTCGACCAGCTCGGCACCCTCGGTGTAATGACCCTTTGCCCAGTTGTTACCAGCACCAGACTGGCCGAAGACGAAGTTGTCAGGGCGGAACAGCTGGCCGAAGGGACCAGCGCGGACGGCGTCCATGGTACCGGGCTCGAGATCAACGAGGACGGCACGGGGCACGAACTTGTTGTTGGACGCCTGCTATAGATCAGTATTGGCCTTTTATCTGCCGTATGGAATATCGAGTGACGTACTTCGTTGAAGTAGACGTTCATGCGCTCCAACTGGAGGTCTGAAGTGCCGTTGTAGACACCAGAGCCGTCGAGGCCATGCTCGCCGGAGATGGTCTGCCAAAAGGCAGCACCGATTTGGTTACCCTGAAAACACTATTAGCTGTCGTCTGGATGTTTGAGGAGAGAAGAGCTTACGCATTGACCGGTCTGGAGGTGAACCTGTTGCACAGAAGAGTTGTTAGCTGTTGTTCTCTGTTGTTCGCGCTTGTCCCTGAATGATATCTAGGCGCGGGGCAGGACGCGCCACAGGGACGTTTGACTCCAGGCGATACGTACAATCTCACGCATGTTGGCGGTTGGGGGATGAGGTTAATGGGAAGTGCTGAGGAGAAAGTGCGGCGAGCTGGGTTATGGCTGGTCGACGGTGCTGGTGGTGCTGGTGTGGAGAGCAAGAGGAGCAGAAGCGGTGAGTGCGTTAAAGATCTCTGTGGGTCGTCTGCACGGGCCCGTCGGCGCTAAGGCTATTTACTAACAACGCGCGCGACCAAAGCTGGTGCCTGTTCGACAGGAAGAGCTAGTCATGGAGATATACCGCACTAGCATGGCACAAATGTTGGCATGGAGTGTTTTCATCAGATGCTTCTATTGCTTTGCGGTATGCTGTGGTATTCGCTGCTTCGTCTTGTGCTATGGCTACCACTGAAGGCAGCTGCCCAGGTGTTCCTTCCATCACGGCTAACCCCTGTAAAATTCTACTCTCTGCATGCTCGAAGCAGCGGAATACCGCACAACGCTGATCTTGCAAGCACATGCATAAAACCCCATAGCATACATGATTCACCGTCACCGCTTACAGTTCCTTCTTCGTAGAGCCATTCACATGACCTCTATTCAACGCTTCTTGTCGCTTAATAACCTGCGGCATCGTCCAGAAGTTGGGCCAGTCCAGCTCATACTCGTCTTGCCTGTAGTTAAGGCAATGTCGAAGCCATACACCCCACACGATGTAGTAGTAGGCTCCGGTTCCCGTCATGAGATGCCTAATGTGATAAGCTTTCGTCATCTCGCGGATACGTGCAGTACTCACCACCACCCATGACCCTCCAGTACGAAGCCCCAGGGCATACCAATCTCCCTCCTCCACTGGATCAACTTCGAGCAGTACTCGTTATCGAGACTCCAGACTGCGAAACCACCCAAGAAGATGCTTAGACCAAATGCAATCATCTTCCACATGGTACTGAGAATCTCCTGGTCCCTCACGTCTTCCCTTTCTTGAACCGCCTTCACACCTCTATGCGGACGCGGGTTCGCAGCTTCCCTCTCCTTGGACCGGAAGCGCGGGCGGATATTCACCTCCATCACATACATGGCCCGAAACAGCACGATTGCTGTGAGGAGCGCGTAGGCGTTTTGATGGAAGTTTGGATCCTGGAGGTAATGGTAATATAGCGTAATGAAGACGGCGAGAGACACCAGTCCAACCGCAAGAACAGTAGAGTAGAGCCGTGACTTTCCATACGAAAATGTTGCAAAATTCATCAAACACGTTGTGTAGATCATCGAGAGCTCATCTACAAGCTGCATGGGATCTAGGACGCATCAGATACTGCATGTTGAAGACTTGTTCAGCGGCAAACATACATTTCAGTGTCGCGTGAAAGAGGAAGCTTCCAGTCCCAACGAGCAAGTAGCCAATGAATGCCACGAAGAAAACTGTGTCATGTCCATTCTTTAAGCAGTTGCGTATACCTTTGGCTGCCAGGTACATGAACAGAAGATTCGTGAGCGTGTTGATAATTTCTGCCGAGTATTGTGTCACTACATAGTTCTTCTCAGCGTTAGCCGCTGCCTTCGCAATAGGGCGATTTTGCTAGCAAACCTCTTCACACCAGTCGAGGGTAGATGTGACTGGAGAGAACCATCCATCCTGTTCGGGCGGATACGGTATCGACGGTAGGCGAGAAAGGAACGCAGCCATTCTGTCTCTACTCAAACTGTAAAGCGGAAAGGGAAACAAGACGAAGACAGGGAATTGCAGATGTTCGAACACGATATCAAGCTTGTACCTAGTTCCGGACTTTGCGGAAGGAAAGACTGGAGAGCGACAATCAGCGCAAAGAAAGGTCCATGCTTCAGCGACAGGCTGTCACAGCTGTCACCTACCGCGCCACGCACCCCAAGGGTGCACCTGCGAAAGGGCAGCCCCAGTGCAGTTACTGCGACTATTGAACTACACGTCTAGCACACGCGGGGGAACGGTTTGCCAGCAGCGGCGGTTCTGTTTTCGGTGCGAATCTGCTAGCCAATCACGTCCTCTCAGGGTCCCTCGCAACTGCCGAACCGAGAAAGCTTGAGAGCGCAGCGCAGCTGGCCACTCTTACGAGACGTGCGAGCATCTTCAGCTTTCGAGAGAAATCCCGCCACCATGTCCATGTCAAACGAGGCTCTGCAGAAGGTGCGTGATAATGGCGCATGATTGAAATCGAGGAAAGAGCCTGGGTTCTGATAACGAAAATCTAGGTCCTGCAAGAGATCAGTCAAAAGAAGGCCTTCGCTGAGCAACAACTCGTCATCGTCAAACAACAAAAAGCCGCCAGGACACGAGAGGGCCGTATTCTTCAGCTTACCTCGTCAGAGGTCTCGTCATTGCCTGCGCAGACCAAGGTGTACGAGGGTGTTGGAAAGATGTAAGTTATTCGCCTCGCAATTGCGGGGGAGGCAAGAGATACACTGAAGAGACTGACTCGTGATGAATAGGTTTGTCTGTACGCCTATTCCTGATGTACAGAAGAGACTCGAGAGTGAGAATGAGGCATTGAACAAGGAGATGTCCAACTTGGATAAGAAGGAAGATTATCTAGAGAAGACGTACACGAACAGCAAGAACAGCCTCGAGCAGGTGCTCAAGGGCGCTGCTTGAACATGCTACGTGTACTTTGTTATCGGGGATGAACGAACATGAGAATACGAGGGAGTTTTATGAGCTAGAAAGAACATATTGGCAGTTCTGCTATTACTGCTGAGCACCGAGTACCATTGTTCGAGCTGCTATGGGATAGATGCTAGCAGAAGACCATGCGTAGTTCAAGGGCAGGTTGGATGGCTGTCCTGCGTCTTCCATGCTGATCACAGTACATCAAATATCAAGAATTAATACACTTGAGGACTGCCTAAGTAATACAATGTCATGTAGGATGTTGTATCTTTGTCATTTTTGATAAAATTATGCTTTTTGGAAACGTTCATCGCATTCTAACGAGCATCTCTTCAACACCCTCCAAGCACTTCCTCACCTCCTCTGCCGCCCTCGCAACATACGCTCCGTCAACAACCCTATGATCAGCACTCCAGCTAAACACACACTCCTCCCTCTTGATCAGCTCATCATTGTGCCCAAAGGCTGGCACTACCCTCGCTTTCCCGATACCTAAAATACCAACCTGTGGTCCCACGATGACAGGTGCCACAGTGCCACCGCCTATGCTACCAATATTGCTGACTGTGAACGTTGCGCCAGTGAGATCAGCAGATGAGAGCTTGCCAGCGCGTGCCAGGGAGCTGAGGCGTTGAGTTTCCTGGGCTAGCGAGGCGATACTGTGGTTTTGTACATTCTTGATGACGGGTACGAGTAGCCCAGCAGGCGAGTCTACTGCTACACCGATGTTGTGGCTTCCCTTGAGCACAATCTGTGGCTTGTTCGGGTTCGTAGTTGTATCCAAGTGCGAGTTGAGTAACGGGAATCGTTGAAGCGTGAGCGACACAGCCTTGATGATGATCGGTAGCGGTGTTATCCGCTCTGGCTTCTCACGGCCTGCATTATACTTTTTGCGCAGGGACGTCAGTGAGCTGAAGTCTATCGCATCGGTGTACAGGAAGTGAGGGATGGATAGGGATTTGGTCATCTGTTTGAACATGCCAGACTGAACTGGAGTCAATGGCTTGACTTGATCCTCCATTTGTTGTGTGGGAGCGGGCGCTGGTATTGAACTTGTTGATGGTATGGTTGTCGCCTGCTTCATTGCTTCGATATGCCGTTGTACATCGTCTTTAAGTACGCGGCCTTCCCTTCCTGTACCCTCTATGTCCTCAATTTTGAGCTTGTGTTCTTTGACCATATGTCGTACTGCTGGCGTGGCGAGCGATGCATGTTTTCCCGGTTGTCTTTGTGTTGTCGATGGTTCGGATGGTAGAGTTGTGCTTTGATCTGAGAGAGCCAGATCGCCAGTCGCAGCTTTGGTATCGTTCCTCCCAAGCTCAATCTCCTGCTCTTTTGGCTTTGCATTCTCACGCGTACCCTGGTCTGTTTTGGTACCTCCGCCCCCAGTAAGCAGGACCTCGTCGTCTTGTTTGCCTGATCCTCCGTTGAGTAGGGCTTCGTCGGCTGCGGAGATCTCGCTTTGAATGTCGATGTCTACCAAAGGCTTCTACTGTCAGCTCGTCATCTGCAAAAACCTCCAAGTGCAGGCTTACCTTTCCAACCTTAGCCATGTCATCCGCTTCATAGTACAGCTTCTTGATAACGCCATCGAACCGCGAGGTGATCTGGCTGCGATTAGCCAACGTCGTCTTTGTATCTCAAATAACATATACCTCGACAGATGCTTTATCCGATTGTACCTCACAGATTGGGTCGAATTGCTCCACGCGCGCGCCGGGCTGTACGAACCATTGGATAACCTGGCATTCGGTGATACCTATGCACAGCATGATTAGCCTGCACCGCCGCTACCTCTCATTCGCCTACTGACCTTCTCCAATATCTGCCAGCAGGTACGGCTTAACTACCAATAGTCGTTTCGTCCCCCGGAACCCTCTTCTTTGCTCTTGTATGCGAGTGTTTGCATTCCTCGGTACGGTAATTGACGCGCGATGGACAAGGTTTGATCGTGAGAATACGCGGGATGCTTCTCGGCTTGCGAAGGACTTCATGGTGGGCGTAATACGTTTGCAGATTCTTTGTGTGAAAGAAACATATTCATGTACTGCCGCCGAGGTGTGATATTGTGAAGTACCAAAGCCGACAGTTACCGCAGCCGATGACACAAGTGGAAGCTGGGGTAAGCCGCTAGAGGTTTTCCGGTATAGCGGATCGCGGGTTAAGGAAACAGGGGTCTGTTTTCACAATCCCGTGGGTACAACGGCATCCTAGTGTCAAGCCAGAAAATCACACGATGTTGTTGCAGATGTATCCGAATACAAAAATCTATGCCATGGGTATTTTCTTCTCTGCCTTACGACTCTCCAACGACGAGGCAATAGTGCTTGTGCCGTGATGATACAAGCGCACCACGATAGCTAGAGTCCTTCTAGTGTTCAATGACTTCATTGGCGTTACAACATACGAAGCAGAAAACATCAAGAAGCAGCTAGTCAAAGCTTTGTTTTCATGCGACTGAGAGGTTTCTCGACACAAAGCAATATGAAAAGAAGCTCAATACCAGTCCACCCTTCCAGATACCTCGAAGCTTATTTTTCGTGAATGGTATCCTCGTAGGATAGAATGTACCCTGAAGACTTGCATAGTAATCTGCGCTGCAACTCTGTTTAGGAAATAACAATGTGTGTCTTTAAGATAGGTTTTTGGATCCAGAGGGTAGCCCAGCAAACAAGCTTCTTCGTACGGACATACAATACTATGCCACCGCTGGTCCCCGTCCGATCCATAATCTAAAGCTACGGAATGGGCCTCTCCTCTTGTCTGTATTATTGTATTGGAATCCAGGACCCAACGTAAGCTGATTTGTGTTAAAGTACAGCCAACCGTCCAAGATGGCCATGGAATCGGCATGTTGAATCATCGCGTTCCTCACCAACGTCTTCACCACGTAGTCCTCTGGTGGGATAAGACCGGACCCCCCAGGTAAGTTACCATTGACTGTCATATTGGTTTCACTTTCTAGTGTGTCGACATAGTATATAGCGTTCTGTTCGCTCGCTGCGATATACACTCGGCCTCGGTCGTCAGCGGTGAAGCCAGCTTGTTCTGAACCACATTGACCCGGGTCTTGCACGGCAGCAAGGACCTCTTCGTCTGTGAGATTCTGGTTGACAAGAATCTCCTGAGAGATGTAGTAGAAGCGCCGGGAAGCCAGGACGCCCCAGTAGAAGTTGCCAGATGCTATGACATAGTCAGCAATATGAGCGTACATTAGCTCAACATCACCTACCCAACGCGATGCCATCGGCGGCCGTAGTGAGATGACTCTTTTGAGTGCCGTTCCAAGTGTATATGAGCTCGCCGCCATATGACCCAACATAGTTCTCGTCTGCCCGGACAACGCTCGTGTTGAACAGTCTGCGTACTGCACTTCCATTTTCGAGATCCACTGCCAATAACGAGCTATTCTTGCTAGCATCTGTAACAAAAGCATACCCGTCTCTTCCACCTGCAGTCGTGTTGACACGCATATCGTTCATATTCATCCTATGCGACAAAAGATCTTGGGGAATCACATAGGTCCGGAGGTGCTCTCCCGTCGTCTCGTTGAAGCTCATCAGTTTTGCGCCTCCAAACAGCGCATTTGTGTCTGGGCTAGCGTTGGCTGGAATCCCGCTATCCACCACCCACAGCCTTCCCCGGTTGTCTAGAACGATGTTTTGGACATTGATGAAGCAGGTTCTGGGATCTTGACCAACAGTACAGTTCTGCATGTCTGCATTGGGCCATGGTACCTCGTCATTGTAAGACGTGCAAAGCACCACGTTATTTGGTGTTTGTCCAGAGTTGCGAGGATAAGTTAGGTAGAGGTTATGAGAGGAGTCGACAGCTAGGCCCGTGGAAGGCTTTTGAGAATCGTGAATAGGTTCTAGAGATGATCCCACAAGTGTAAAGTCCTGGGGGTACGCGCCGATGGTGTATCCGGGGTCGAAAGGGCGATAACCATCTGATGATGTCTCAAAGTAGCTCGATCCCAATGACTTAGGAACAATCCCCAGTATACCAAGGACAATGAACCTCATTCTGGAGGATATAGAAGCAACCCTTCCGCCGACGGCAAGATAATTGATAAGATTGTGCTCGGTAAACTTATATCGCAACGCCGTTCGTCGAGCCTTGTTATTTATGGATGAGAAGTGGTCTTGTGAAGTGAGTAAAGATGAAGAGCTTTGATGGTAATTTCAAATGTTTCCAAGATTACTACACGAGTCTCTTGAGGGGCCAGAGGATATCCATGACCTCCGCATTAGTCCCATGTCTATTGGCTGCTGATCGAGTACAAACATGGTAAAGCCCATGTAGCCCTTGATGATAAAGAGGGGTGTTTCGGAGGTAATATAGGCTGCATGTGGCGAACACACGAGGAAGCCCGAGGATCATGATCCAATTGCAACATATATCGAAAGCTTACCCTGTGTGGTAGGGTGGTGCGATCGAGTTGTTTGCTCATGATCCGCAAGCAATTCTTAGTCCAAACAGACAACAGCCTAAAACAGAGTATTCCGATGAGATGACACTTTGATCGCCCTGACACTAGTCGCGGGCTGATCGATCGAGATGATGGTGCGGGGATGACGTTGTCGCGCGGAAGGAGTGGACGCACGACCCTTCGTGATTTCGCGACTGCCGAAACGCGTCTGTTAGGGAAAGCGCCGTCAACACTCACATCAGACAACACCGACAGCCATGCGCAGTTCCGATGTCTACGTACGCATTGCAAACGAAGACGATGTTACGCTCAGCCTCCGATACGCCAACTCAACTTTTACGACTTGCTGCCAAACTTGACGAATCCAAGGCCCAACTGCCCTCGAAGCAGATGAGAGACTCTCTCTGCGGACTGGGAACCTTTAACGAGCCCTTCACGATCAGGGCTCATTCCGAATCTCCGTACAACAACAAGCCCGTTACATTCAGACCCGTGCGAGTGATTGGGCGTTCTCAGCTGCCTTTGACCTTCCTCGACCTTTCCACCGATGACAACTTCACCCCAAATAGCCTCTTCGCCGCCCAAATCGACATCCTGGAACACGAGACCGATACACAACAAGATCATGCAGGCCCCAGGATACTCGTTGCACGGCTCGAGGCGAAGAATACATTATACGCAATAGAGCGGGTACAACCCCGCGTCTATAGTATATGTAGGCTTGCCAGCTGGCTCAAGGAGAAAGACGTTACGGACTTATGGAATCCTACGAATCTCAAAGTGCTGCCAGCTCGCCCGAAGACGGAGGCGGATACGGCTGGGCAAGGGAAATGGTGGCACCAAGCCGCGGTGGAGACGCACGCTGTAGAATTACCAGCGAAACGAGCGCGGATGACAATGATACGACCGAAATCACGACAAGAGACGACGATCGAACAAGTTCAACAGCCTGAAATGACTATTGAAGCTTCGGGGATCGAGCATTTGGACATGGTTCCTACCGAACACCCTCTAGAGCTTATGCCCGACGCACCGTCTCCACAAGAGCAACTTGACCTATTGGTTCAACATTACTTGGACGCAGTTTACATGTCCAAGACCTCGCTTGCATACCTGGTGAAGGGTCCAATCACTCGGATACGGAACACATTCACGTCAGCGGAAGAAGGAGCTCCGGCAACACATGAACTCGTTACATTTTTGAAGACCATGTTGCTAAGTCCCAAGGCCAGCGAAAAGAAATATCACGAGAAACTGCCATCGTTGATCAAGGAGATACCACCCGGAAGCTACTCAGACGACGAGCACGCTGCAGTTGCTAGCAAGCCCAAGAAGTCAAAGAAAAAGCTGAAGCTCAGTCGAGAGGGCATATATCCACAAGAAGAGGCATTGGTCAAGAAATGGTGGCAGTCAGAATTACCAAGCGGCGACAGCATGGCTACGGAGACCCTAGATCAGCGCATCAGGAGGCGTATTGGAGATCTACGGGTCCGCGAGACGCTTGCTCAGCTGATTCTCATGCTCGAAATTATCGCACTAGAAGCACTCTCCACACACAAGCCACTTCCAGACCAACACTCTATTGCGGACGGAACTCAGACTCAAAGCGAGCCGAAGAAGCGCAAGAAGAAACTCGACGACATTAACTTGCAGCTCGATTTGCTGCTTGACAAACTCTGCATTTGGCATGCTACAGAAGAGATGGGCATACTAGACTTTGATACAAAGCCATCAAGGCAGGATGCTTCCGACGGATCCGGAAGAAACGGTTCCAGTGATCGCTTACACAGTTTCTGCGTCGAAGTCATAATCCCCTTCTACATCAATCGACTACCTGAGCAGGCGCTCATGGTCAACAAGAAGCTTGGTGGACCCACACATAGCTTGCCAACCAAACGAAAGGCAGCGAGACCGCCACTCAGCTCTCGTAAATCCGGGAGTTTGAAAGAACCCGAGGTGAAGAAGTCACGACGCTCGTTAGCTCGTGTTGTGACAGACAATACCGGACGGACTGTTGAACGAACAACACCTTCGCTGAGCCGATCTGCCACCGATTCGGCACTTCTAGACGGCATCAAACGAGAGGGTAGCGAGGTCCCACTTTCCGCCATACCTTTTCGACGGAGCCCGTCTAAGAGCGCCCGGCAATCCATGTCTCAGATCCGACATTTGCAGGGCCGCCAAATCGATCTCGCCCAGCCGTCGGCTGCTGCATCAGCTAAGATTAAGCACAAGCAGCGAGTCGAGGAAGATCTCCAGGAGGCTATACTAGCGCTGAAGAAGCCCAACCGTGGACTAGCTGCTGGTGGCTACGTTGCCGACCTCGAGCAACGCGGGCTGGGCTTGCCCAACAAGTCGAGGAAGCCAACAGTTACTGTGAGGAAGACCATAAAAGAAGTCCAGGTGTCTGCAACGCCCCGAGTCAACAAGAGAACGAAGAATATGGTTGAGCAGACGCCGACCCACCACCACTACGACCCGTTCGTTAGGCCTCCCGGGGCGGAAGCGCCTTCTTCCAGCGGATTCTGCGTGCCGTCTTCAGGAGTGCGTCCACCAGCTGCGATGGTGCCGGCAACGGGCCACCGCCACACGACGGCTCGAAATCTAGCGCAGTCGGGCATTGCCGAGACACCGTCCAAGGCACCAAATAGCCAACCCTTCTCTACGGATTCAGTCCGGAGGAAGATCTTCGCAACTCCATTGAAGGCGGCGGCACCTTCTTTGGGCAGCAGAGATCTTGGGCAGTCGCACGTGTTTGAGACACCTGTCAAAACTCGAGGTAGTTCACCTCATGACGACACCGACTTTGCACTTCCTACGCTTTTTGCTACACCTACCAAACCTTTGTTTGCCCCAGTAACTGAAGTCGCCCCCGCAGCACTCGCTGCAGTGGACAATGATACCGTTGAGCCGTCGATATACGATGCCCTGGGATGGAACGACGACGATGATGGCTTCTGATGGGATGACGTACAATTTCTTATATACTTTTAGTGCCTGCGTTAGCGAACGTACGATAGATTTGCATGTAACGGAGTATTGGGCAGCGTGCATAGCATCTTGGGATTTGCATAGGCGTACGAGACCATAGTGTAGTTACACGGTTCATGATTCCCCTGGTGATTAGTAAGAGACAGCATAGCATAGCAATCGGATGTGTGCCCCCGTGTGTGCTCCTAGCTCAGGCTCCCGTGTCGCCATAAAGTCCAAGCTATGCTTACTTGAAGCGGACAAGCCTCTGGTCAACGCACGCGTGTGGGCATAATGTCTGGTCCAGGCAACGATGGATCGAAAGAAGAATTCTTTTGCGTGTGCATCATCGTGTCCGTGAATCGTTCTACAGTGTTTCTTTCGGCAAGATGTAATTCCCCGAAACGCGATGCCAACGTGTGATCGTATGTGAGGCGACAGGTACCCGTACGATGAGGAACCAGGGATCGCCGTTATAGCGCATATAGAGCCGGCGTCCCTTGCAGTAGACGACTTAGGCCGACGCCGGATATGAGAGTCAGCAAATCAGCTTGCAGCGCCCCCGTGGCCGCGCTGCCAATTTGCCGGGGATCACCAACAATCGGCCCTTAGCCTGTGCCCCTAAAGACGCCTCCAGTTGCCGGCTGGTCCATGCTGCCGTCTGTCTAAAGCCCTAATCACGCTGAAATTATGAAAATCAGAGACACGCGCCCGCGGTCTTTCACTTCTCGAGTCCTGATTTACTTGCCTTAACACCGCTCCCGACTCAGTCGTATCACTATCACACAGTGTGATCGCGTCGCCAAACCTCAGGCCCCGAACATGCTCAGTACTGCAGCCAAGCTAAGGTAGCCGACCCAACTGGACAACTGCAGGTAACCATGGCTGTCGCTGCAGCTTCCCGTCCTGCGCCCCATGGACAGCGCTCGCCAACCCTCAGCGATGCGGGCATGATCCTACCATCTTTTGCGACCGACTTTGAGCACGAGGAGGCTTTGCCTACTCCCTCTCCAGAGCGTCCCCCGTCGCCGTCCGACCTCTACAAGCAGGCAAACTCAAGTCGAGTCAGATTAAGTTCCGCACCCCAGGGCCGGCGCCGCGCTTCACAACAAACAAAATCCCCGTCCCTATCAGCACAGTCCTCGCGCTCCACGCTGCGCAACATGCCCGACTCAGAGGCAACTCCTAAGAATGTGCTTGCCCGTGACGATGCTTTTGCTTCGTCTCCCACGATCCAGAATGCACTGAACAGCCACTCACCTGGCAACTGGCACGGGCAAGACCACCACAAGATTAGTCCTACTTCAAGTTCCATCTTCAGCGAAGACTTTGAGCAGTGGCCTGGGTTCGATAGCCACGACAGCTTCGAGGACAGCGGAGTAGATCTTGAAGAGCAAGAAAAGCGCAACCACTCCATGCAGGACAGCGACGCTGGCGACGGCATGGGCAACGAGCGATGGCACGAGGACCGTACTAGTGGCAGCGACGACGATGACGACCCGTACTCATCTGCCGCGCTCAGCAGGAGGGCAGAGATCATCTTGGCCAATGCGAAGAAGCGGCTGAATGTATGCGCTTCCTCACGCCACGATAGACTAGATGTTCGCTAACAGAGACAGGTAATGGAGGGTAACCTCCGCGGCGCACGAGAATCACTCGTTGTCTCGCCCACCTTCAATTCGAGAAACCAATCTTCCGACTTGACCTCACACATAGCGGCAAGTCGCGACCGTGACCGACGATTGTATGCGGGCATGGGACCAATACCTCCGCGCATCCATTCATATCGCCAGTCTCTCCTCACTCCCCACGGCAGTAGCCCCGGCCACACACGGGGTATGAGCGAGACGTCGGTGCCACTGCCGTTCACGCCTTCATACTCGTACCTGACCCGAACTACATCCAACAAGCGATCTTCCAGTGCATTTGGCCACACCAGCGGCCCGTGGTCGCCCGAAGGCTACGGTCAGGGACGCTTTCCTATCAAGGAGTCCCGAAGCGTTGAGCACCTTCGCAATCCTCGTACAACATGGAGCAGTAGTGACCGCGAGCATGCTGCAAGGTCCGCCTCAAGAAGTTCAAGATCCCCGACTGCACTGGAGACTTTGCCAGAGGATGAAGACGGCGCGAGGGTACATCGGTCCACTTCTGCAGCTAGTGGTCTTCGTGACCAGATGAACGACCTCAAGGGCAGAATTTCCAGTCTGAAGCTGAAGGCACAAGAAGACCATCTTCGACGCCGAAGCATGCAAAGCCTACGCGCACCGAGCCCCTTCACGTCTTCCGAGACATGGCATCCAGGGAACACAACAAACGCTGGTTTGGGTATCACGACGGATCCCTACGAAGAACAAGAACGTCCGTTGACAGCCACTACCACCACCTCTCAGAAACACGGCGAGAAACTCGTTACTCACTTCAGCAAACAAGGTCAAGGGGCCAACGCGTACTCCGTTCAGCCCTACGACCAGGCTGAGGAGGAGTCGGGTGCATCAACAGCGTTTGAAGACGACGACGATGCTGATGAGACTGAGTCTGATTTCGTCTCGGTCAATGGAGACGACGAAGAACCTGGCCCTGATAGTGTGTATGAGGACGCTGTTTATGAGATGCCTGTAACAGAACGACACGAAGATCGTATAGATGCATTCGATTACGAGACATTCTTCCTGCACAGTGCGATGGGAACCTACAGCCTAGAAGATCGCCGATCGAGTACCAGTTCTGGTACTTCTACCGAAACGACCCGACCCGTGACAGCTGTCCAGACCACTGACGATCTGAGCACCGCTGAGAAGAGAGTCTCTATCCACCAACGGAACCCCAGCGTCGACTCGGTCTCGACTGTCGCCACGTTTGCTACTGCAGCAGAAGAACAAGACGACGATGACGACGACGATAAGAATGAGCATATGGATCAATTCTCCCAGCAGATAATGTCAAGCCAAAATCGGGTGCCCTCTCGCCCTGGCACCCAGAACGGCCTCCTCTCATTACGCTCCGACTCGGCGATCAATATGCGACGCGGCAACGGCGCATCTCCAACACAATCATCACTATCACGTGGCTCATCTTCGCCTGGAGAGCTTGCCAGCGGACTTCAAACCTCGAGGATATTCTCTATCCTCACAGAAGGCAGCAGGGACGAACCACGGGTAGCACTGAGCGAAGAAGAGACACAACTCATCTACGGGCTTGCCTCGAGCATCCAGAATGTCTGCTCCAATCTGCAACACACATATGGTGATGCATACGAACGCAAGGCATGGCGACGAAGACTTGATGAAGCCCGCAAAATACTTAATGGCGAGGACATTGAAGACGACCAGTCCTTTTAATGCGCCGCAATCGTTCTCTTGATTTTCCTTTCTCCCGACTTACGGTAATGTCTAACTCGACTGCAGCGGTTTAGCGTCTCGTCTCCACTTTCACGAGCTTACTCGATATCATGTGTAATTTCGGGTCATTCCCTACTTTCTTTCGATCCCACCATTTCTTTTGCTTTGGCAGATGTGCTGTATTTTGTTTAGGAGGTCATGACTATTGGATTATAGATAATTTCTCTTATGTGTATTGATACCCGGGAAGCGGCGGTGGCGGGGTCATAGGACTCCGGTGTATGTGGACACGTTTTTTTCCACATGGCAGTGCAGGTACTTCTTAGCTCTAGAATCTAACAAGCCCATCTTCCACGTACGTAGGGCTGCCAGAACCAATCTACGATCTACAAACCCAATCTACAGATCTGCGCACCCAACACATTGGGCCTGACCGTTTGTCAAGTCACGTCTCTGGAAAGCTATCAGAAGACGATGGAATTCTAGGGTGGAGTCGGGCGCGAGATTTACCCCTCCCGAGACCGTCACGAACCTAGATCCATGGGAGGATTGCCTCCAACTTTGGGGTGACAGCCCCACCAAACACAGCCGTGTCTGGCCCTCTTTGACATTAAACGCATGCAAAATACAGCCCGCTCTGCGTTGTACATGTACCGTCACGTCGACAGCGAGCGAGAGCGGCAGCTCTAATGCACGCGTGGTACGCGTGCAGGTTTGCCGCGCTCTGCGATGTGTGCCGGCGGCGCGCTACCATTGGGTAGAGTGCGCACATGTGCGGCAACATGAGGACTGGCGGTGTAGAGACGGCCATGGTAACCATATGCAACACAAGATGCCAACAGCACGGATACCCACTAGACACTCCGCAATTGGCCCACTACGGCGTGGCTGGGGGCGTGCTAGACAGAGAAGGATGGGTTCCGAAAGAGCCATGCTGCTTGCTGCACCCGGCGCCTCCAAACTGAAGCACAACATTGAATCATCCACAACACACGCTCATGCAATGCGCCCCGGCCCTAACCGTAAATTTTTACTCCCAGCGGAATAACTCAGACCTGCCGCCCGCATCGCGCATCGTCGCAGTTTCCCTGCATTTGATCCCATCTCGACATCTCACGATATCTGGGACAAACCTCCCACAACCACCCTCCCCCCAGCCCGCCCCGGCTGAATTCCTGCCCCTCGACGAGCCACCCCTCATTTTTGGAAATCTCGCCTACGGCTGGCCCGGGCGCGTGTGTGTGACGAAGGTGGATGAAACGAACCGCAAGCTCCAACAGGCTTGGTGCGCGCAACGAGCAAAGCCTATTCGACCCCGATAACGATTGGCGTTGCGGAAAGACATCCATACACACCACACAGTCCTTGTGACCACTCGCGAAGCCCGTTCCCCTGCTTTCGCCTCTGACGCTCACTGAATCTGAATCTGCGCGTCTGCAGTCTCCTGCATCCTCCTGTACCTGCTGCGACCGCGACTCTTTAATTCGACGTTTGCCGATCGCCTCGTCTTGGAGTTTTAATATTTGCTTGCTGTAATCTGCGACGGATTGCATCACCATCTTCGCTTGTTGAGGGCCATACTTTTTGCCCTCGTGTACTACTACAGCTGGACGCATCGAGACCCTGCAGCAGCAGACCGCGAGGGAAGTCACGCTGCACCATCCCGTCTCCGTATCGTATACGAAGACACCTACCGCCCGCGCATTTGCATCCTCGCCGCTCCACGCTCGCGGTTTCGCACGAGCGCTCATGTGCCTACCTCCGCCCTGCTCCTTCTATTTGCGCGTCTCTCACTCGCACAATGTCTCTCGCCAGCTCTCGTCACGTCGCCGCCGTCGCGCCATCTGCGAGACCAAGGATCCCGCTGCTTTCGAGGACTGGATCGGATGAAAGAGATTGGGACACAAAAACTGATGATATGCAAGTTGAGCATACTTGGCCAGCAAGCTACGCCTCTGGAAACACAACAGCTTGGGAGTCTGAGAATGACTGGCCCATTGCTGAGTTGATGGCGGACATATACCAGGCGCTGGATCGGCTGGAATGCACCAGCACTGGAGACAAGAGTCCGAGTGGAGGTTTTATTCTGGTATGACGACACTGCTTTGTTTGGTCCCTTTGCCCATGTTTGGTTCACGATCACTCCACACTCCGCACTGCACTGTTGACCGCTTTTCGCGTTTCTTGATTCCTGGCTCACATTCTAACAACTACTCAGCGGCATAGTCTTGACACCCAGTTGTCGCGCTTCCATCTATCGACATCTGAGTCCTCCATGGAATCATGGAGTCCATCACTGCGAAACTATGGATCCCCACCACCCTCATACGATGAATCGGTTGCAGATATGCCCCCAGACTACACTTCCACCAATGCGCTAGCATTTGCGAAAACGCCTGATTCTTCACCGTTTCCTTCTTTCCGCGCCTCATTATGCTCTAGTGTCAATCATTTGCGCAAACACAACAGTTCATCTCCAAAGTCTTCATTCCTCCTCGATGTGAAATCTCCATATGTGGACATCGACTTTGGCTATAGTGACACCGGCATCAGATCGCACGCAAAGAAAGCCAAGAAAGCAGCAGCTAAGAAACCCGCGGCAGCACCTCCACCAGCGGACGACAGCAAAGGAGAGGAAGCTGGTGGTGGCGATAACGGTGGGGGTGACCCGCCTGCCGATAGCGGGGCTGGAGGCGATGGTGGCGACGGGGATAAGGGGAAGAAAAAGACCAAAAAGGAGAAGGAGGAAGAAGAGCGCTTGAAGAAGGAAGAGGAGGAGCGTGCGAAGAAAGAGGAGGAAGAGCGTCTTGCGAGGGAAGAAGAGGAACGCTTGCAAAAGGAGGAGGAAGAACGTCTTGCGAAGGAGGCTGAAGAAGAAGCCGAGCGCAAGAAGAAGGAAGAGGAAGAAGCAGCCGCTGCAGCTGCAGCGAAACCGTCGATATTAAGTGCCACCTCAGGTTTAAGCTGGGGAAAGGAGCCAGCTTCAAACACAGATGACTGGGCATCTTTTGGCGCGGCCGCTCCCGGCAAGAAGAAGAAGGGCAAAAAGGGGAAGGTTGGTCATTTCGGCTTTTTAGTTACACATAGCAGCACGCTAACTTACGACAGGCCGAGCCCGCACCCCCGCCTCCTCCTGACCCTCCAGCGGAACCGCCGACAACATTCGACGACATTATTCTTGACGAAGGAAGCGCTCCAAAGATTGACATGAATTTCGGTGATACAGGCGAAAAGAAATCTGGATTTGGACTTCCTGGACTTAGCAGTTGGACTTCTGGTTGGGGCTCATCGAACAAAGAGGCTAGTGCTGAAAGCGACAATCCTTGGGGTTCTTCAGATAAGAAGAAGAAGGATGATGGTTTCGACTTCGACTTCGATGCGTTCAAGAGCCCCCCAGCTGAGGAGAAGCCTGCTGAAGATGACGGATGGGGTGGCTTAGGCGCCACGACCAAGGTCAAGAAGAAGAGCAAGAAAGGGGCCTTGATTGACGACAGTGTACCGGAAGTTCCTCCTCCACCGCCAGAGCCTGAGAAGAAAGAGGAGGACGACTCATGGGGAGCATTCAGCTTTGGTGGCACCGCAAAGGACAAGAAGAAAAAGAAGAAGGGAGTGGTTGAGGAAGAGGCTCCACCACCTGAGCCAGAACCGGAACCTGTCGTCGATGAACCGTCACCTGTCAAAGAAGAGGATCCATGGGGTGGTGGATGGGGAGCGGCTGCTGCTGGTACCAAGAAGAAGAAAGGTAAGAAAGGAGCCAAGGAAGAACCGCCTCCCGAACCAGAACCGGAACCGGAGCCTGAGCCCGTACCCGAACCTGAGCCGGAACCTGAGCCCCCAAAGGTAGAGGTAGATCCTTATGCAGGGCTTAGTAAGTCACAAGCGAAGAAACTCAAGGCCAAGTTGGACAAAGAGGCGAAGTTGAAGGAAGAGGAAGATGCGAAGCGCCAGAAAGAGGAGGAAGAGGCTGCTGAGATCAGACGACAGGAAGAAGAAGAGGCAGAACGGCTACGCTTAGAAGAGGAGGAAGCGGAGTTGAAGAGGATGGAAGAAGAGGAAGCTGCCGCTGCCGCCGCCGAAGCCGAGAAGAGCAAGAAAGACGACCTCTGGGGCGATTGGGGTGGTGCTGCTCCGACGACGTCCAAGAAGAAGAAAAAGGGCAAGAAAGGTGCAGAGGAAGAAGTTCCGCCTCCTCCACCACCTCCGCCTGAGCCCGAAGTCGAGCCTGAGCCTGCTCCTGAGGAGAAGCCCGCCGACCCTTGGGACGATTGGGGCTCAGCAGCCCCTATCACGAAGAAGGGAAAGAAGAGCAAGAAGGGAGTCATTGAACCGGTCGTCGAGGAGCCGCCACCACCGCCAGAACCGGAGCCTTCCCCACCACCAGAAGAAGAGAAGGGGTCAGACTGGGGTCTGAGTTCGATCTGGGGCGGATCGAAGAAAAAGAAAAGGAACCAGTCGGTCGAGTTAGACGCGTTTCCTGCAGCTTCACCAGAGCCTGTCATCGAAGAACTCGCTTCCGTTCATCAACCCGAAGATGTCGAAGAGCCCAAGGAAGACGAATCTGACGACTGGGGCGCACCATCTTGGAGCAAGAAAAAGAAGAAGGACCCAAAGAAGGACGCGCCAGTAGAAGTCATTGAGGACACCATGACACCTGTTCAAAAACCAGATGAGGACGACCCTTGGGGTAGCGCAGCTTTTAATATCGGCAAGAAAGCAAAGAAGGGTAAGAAGGGGCTCGTTCCGCCTAACGTGCCCACGCCCCCGGGAGAGTTTGATGGAGACTTTCCGGCACCCAAAGAAATCGAAGCTCCTCCGCCAGCTGAGGACGAGGATATCTGGGGTGCTGCTGCTAAGGTATCCTCAAAGAAGAAGGGCAAGACCGTGGGCAGTCTTCTTAGCAAATTTGAGCCTCAACCCCCTGCTCCAACCGACACCTTCGAGGATCTCATATCGCTTGACGAACCGCCACCAGCTGAAGAACCAGCTGTGGAAGAACCGCCTGTTGAAGAGAAGAAGAAGAGTAAGAAAGAAAAAGAGAGCTCAAAGTCAAGTAGCATGTGGGGCTCTCTGGGCGGCTCTAAAGCGCCGAAGAAGGAAACTTCCTTGGAAAAGAGAGCGCGAGAGAAACGTGAGAAGAAGGAGCGGGAAGAGCAGGAGCGTCTAGAACGGGAGGCTGCTGAGAAAGAGGAAGAAGAGCGTCTCGCCCGTGAAGCTGAGGAGGCGGCTGCAGCTGAACAGGCACGTATCGAGGCTGAAGCTGAGGCAGCACGCATAGCAGAAGAAGAACGACTAGAGGAGGAGCAGAGGAAGCGCGAGGAGGAGTCAGCAGCGTCGAAGCTCGCAGGCTGGGGCGCCAGTATCTGGGGCGGAGGAAAGAAGAAAGAATCCACCAGAGAGAAGAGACTCCGTGAGAAGAAAGAGGAAGAAGAGCGTTTGGCGAAGGAAGCTGCTGAACAAGCAGAGAGGGAGCGTCTCGAGCGTGAGGAAGAAGAGCGTCTTCAGCGCGAAGAAGAGGAACGCTTAGAACAGGAACGCCTTCAGCGTGAAGAAGAGGAACGCATCGCGGCAGAAGAAGCTGAGCGTGCTGCTGAAGAAGAACGGCAACGTATTGAGGCTGAAGAACTTGAGGCAGCACGTAAGGCCGCGGAAGAGGAAGAAGCTCGTCGTATCGCTGAGGAGGAAGCTAAGGCAAGTTCTGGATGGGGCATGTTTGGTCTGGGTAAGAAGAAGGAGTCGACGAAGCAGAAGCGTGAGCGAGAGGCCAAGGAAAAGAAGGAGCGTGAAGAGAAGGAGCGGCTAGAACGTGAAGCTAGAGAAGCCGCTGAAGCCGCCGAAGCCGCCGAGGCCGCCGAAGCTGAAGCAGCTGCAGCTGCAGCCGCGGAGGAGGAAGCGCGTCTTGCGAAGGAAGCTGAAGAAGCCGAGTTTGCTCGCATTGCTGCTGAACAGGACATGGTCCTCGAGCCTGAGCCGCCAGTTTCCTCGAAAGAGAAGAAAAAGAAAAAGAAGAGGGGGGTTGTTGAAGAACTCCCTCCACCTCCTCCGCCTCCACCCGCTGAGCCTACGAACGATGACGACTTGTTTGATCTTATCAAGGATGAAGATGCGGGCGAGCTTTTGGCTGAACTCGAGAAGCCCACTAGGAAAGAACAGAAGGCCGCAGAAACAGGCTGGGGTAGCGCATGGGGTATCTCTCTCCGCAAGACGAAGCCTGAACCGGCACCCGTTATTCCCGACCCTGAACCGGAGCTAGAACCAGAGCCTGAGATGGATGAGATGGAAGAGCCTGAAGAGCCTCCAGAGGAGCAGGAGCCGGAGCCGGAGGTCATCGAGGAACCTCCGCCACCAAAACTCACGCCCAAGGAGGAGCGAAGACTCAAAAAGTCCAAGAAACATCGACACGCCGAGCCCGAGCCCGAACCGGAACCTGAGCCGGAGCCAATCGTCGAAGAACCTGAACCTGAACCTGAACCCGAACCGGAGCCTGAACCGGAGGTGGTCGTGGTGGTCGAAAAACCCAAGAAGAAGCTTTCGTCCAAGGAGAAGAAAAAACTGGAAGAAGAGAAGCTGAAAGAGGAGAAACGACTGAAGAAGCTCAGGAAGAAGGGGATAGTAGAAGCTCCGCCTCCGCCTCCGCCTCCCCCTGAACCCGAAGCTGAACCTGAACCTGAACCTGAGCCAGAGGAAGAGGTACCTGCCGAGAGGTCGCCTGGAGTTGGTGCATTCCCTGATGACGATGACGATATGATGGACTTTGCTGATGCGCAGGAGCCGCCACCAGAGGAGCCTGCAGAACCAGAACCCGAGCCTGACGTTGAGCCGGAGCCTGAGCCAGAACCTGAGCCAGTTTCCATTCTCCAGCAGTTGCAGAAGCTGAAGAAGACCAAGAAGGGCAGCAGATCAAGGGGCATGACATTTGACGACCCTCCACCTCCACCGCCGCCTCCAGAACCAGAGGCTGAACCGGAGCCGGAGCCAATTGTGGAAGAGGAAGAGCCTGAACCAGATCCGGAAGATGAACCTGAACCTGAACCAGAGCCAGAGCCAGAGCCTGTTGTAGTGGTGCCTGAGAAGAAGCTCAAGAAATCTAAGAAAAGCAGCAAGTCATATAGGCGCCATACAGAGCCTGAACCTGAACCCGCACCTGAGCCGGAACCGATCGTTGAAGAACCCGCTGAAGATGCAGATCCGGGTGACATGGATGACGAAGATGCAGACGTTAAACTTCCTACGCCACCTCCAGAATCTCCAAGAAAGGAGCGCGCTAAGCTGGGTCGCAGTGCTACCACAGCTGGAGGCTGGGGCCTCTTTGGTGCAGCCAAAACTTCCAAGACTAGGAGAGTATCCGGTGGTGAAGAAGGCGCAGGCAAGCCTGATATGCCACGCACAAAGTCTGCGCGAACCTCGTCTACTCGGGACAACGATATGAAGTCACGATCTTCAGGCTCAAATGAAGTGCACATGTCTAAGCCAACAGTATCACGTTCCAAGTCAACACGCGCTGCTACCGGACTAGGTGCCATGTTTGGTGTTGCGGCGCCGCCCCCGCCTTCGCGCTCAAAGTCGCATCGCACCAAGACGTTATCGCGCCGACCTTCAATTGATCAGGACGCTGCCATGATGTCGCCGCCACAAACAGATACCGACGCGAGGGTGTCTTCAAAGGCCGCCAAGATGATGGGTATGAAAAGCTCGTCGCGCAGGACCAGTACAAGGGACGCCAGAGACAAGGGCAGGTCTTCTCGAGGTAAGCCGTTCCCCGCTAAGCATGATACGCCTGTAATTGGCCGGCGTAGCCGTAAGCAAACACATGGAGCTAACCGCATGGCAGCTGTTCCAGACCCATATCCTGTAGACGATGACCAAGATCTCGACGATGAGTCTCCTCCCCCAGCAACCCGTCCAGAACCATCGCGTCGCAAATCTAAGCGCGACTCAGCGCAACCCCTCGAGCCCGTGACTGCACCGCCTAGCGCTGACGATCCTATCATCGTCGACCCTATGGACCTGGACCCTGTCCCAGCTGAAGCTGAACGGCCCCGCCGCGAACGAGAGCGGGAGCGACCTCGCCGTGCGCGCGGCAACTCTGATGCCATCAACACGCTTGCTGGTGTCGCCGGCACTGCTGCAGCTGTAAAGGGCTTCAAGGGAATGTTTGGCCTTGGTCGCAAGAAGACTGCGCCGGCTGAAGAGGCACCCCGCGAGCGCCGTCGCACCGCCTACGAGACCGAAGACGAGCGCAGACATCGCAAACGATCAACAACCCGTGGGGGCGCAACAGAAGATGAGGCAAAGCGACTGCGACACGAGCGCCGCAGCTTGCGCAATCCTCCCCCCGAAGATATCATGATGTCTGGCGCGAATGGCACTCCTGACGATTATGATGCGGAGCGAGAGGCAAGACGAGCTGAGCGTAGGGCCAAGCGCGATGCAGAGAAAGGATCTCGACGTGCTGAGCTTGAAGAAGCAGAGGCTAAGGCAGAACGCCGCCGCGAGCGTCAGCGTGAGAATGAACAAGCGACTCTTGCGGAGAAGAAGGCTCGCCAAATGGCCGAATTGGAGCGGCGCAACCAGGAAGCCGAGGAGCAACTGCGCCGCATGGCAGAGAAGGAGGAACGAAAGAAAGCACGAGGCGGAGACGAACGAGAGCGCGAGAAGCGTTCTTCGCGCCGCAAAGAAAAAGACCGCGAAGAGCCCCGTCCGAAGACCGAACGCCGTCGAACAACACATGTGGACGAGGATGCAGAACGCCGTCGTCGTCACGAAGAACGCCGCGCTGCTAGACGCAACTCCGACTACCCAGTGCAAGCTAGCGGCGAGCCTATCACTGACTATTTCGACGAGCGCAACGGCGCAAGGCGCTCAAAACATCGCAGTTCGCGCCAGGCTCCCGAGGAAGAGAACATGCCGTACATTAATAACAAGAGCGGCGACAAGACCTCCTCTTGGGTCGAGTCTCTCGCCGAAGAGCCACCCCTCCCTCCACCCATCTCCGAAACAGTTCTCGATCCCGCCCCAGGCACCCGTGAGGAGCTCGATGACGAAGAAACTTTCTCCCAAGACGAAGACGTCCGCCTGCGTATCGCCGGCCGCAGGGGACCAAAGCGCGACAAAGAGCGCGCCGAACGCCGCAAGGCTGAAGACAAGGAACGTGACCGCGACAGGTCACACAAACATAGTCGAAGGGCGACGCACTATGAAGGCATGAAGGTGCCAGAAGAGGAGGTGGAGAGAAAGAGGACCTCGCGCAGGACGAGCTATGCGCCTGCGTATGAAGAGCTGCCCGTTCGTACTTGGGATGGCAGACCAGCCGTTAATGGCGGTGCGCCTGCTGTCAAGAGGGGAAGTTGGATGAAGAAGTTCTTCTAAGCTACGGCTCTTTTTCTAATCTTCTATCCCCGGTTTTGGATTTCACGATGTAATATGGATTCTACGAGATGACATTCTTGGATGTGTATATGTTTTGATTGGAAATGTTTGGATTATGGATGGAATGAAGCGAAATGGGTCTGATACTTTTGGATTCGTCCTTTTTAACGCATTGCGCGGCGTTTTCGTTCGCGGGTTTTTGTTCTTGGTTCCAACTTGGGAACTTATTCTTGTCTACTTTATTACTTTTATTCATGAGAACTAGTTTACTTCTTCCTTCATTCTATCTTGTTCAGCATCTTCTTCAGTCACTACATTCTTGTTATACCCCTGGGTTTGTCACATCGTTGCTTGAGTTTCTTGGGTATTTACGGAATGGGCTGATGGGGTGTGAGATAGATACCCACTCTCTTACATTATACAAGCCAACAGTGCAATCATGAATCGTGCTACCTGTGCCTACTCGTGATGTCGGTGCACATGTGAGACTTTGCTAATTCAAGCATGTGCAAGTGAAACTCTGCGTTGCTTAATCGTCGTTTGGTATATCAGATACTGCTTTAACCCAGCCACCCATGACGCCTATCGCCGAACCCATGCTAGTTCCTTGTGGATGCTATCGAACTACTCATAACCCTCCATGCTTACTATTCCTGCTTCCTGTTATTGTCGTTTTTCCCGCTCTGTACAATAGTGAAAAGGCCGTCAGAGGCCCATTTGTCATAGCTGGGCAGCTGCAGCGTCGACTTCTGCAGTTTCCATATCATCATCATCCTCATCGTCGTCTTCCTCCTCATCCTCCCCTTCGAATCCAGTCTCCATCTTCAGTGTCTTGAGTCTGTCTTTCATCTCGTCCTTCTTGTCTGCTTGCCATCGCGCCAGCGCTGCTGCAGAGTGTACCTTGAAGCCGAAAACGCGCGGCTCGTACCGCCGTTGCGACTTTGGCGGCAGCATCGCGGGGTAGACTTGGAAGAGGATGTTGTGGAACGAGGTGCCGAAGTAGGCGCCGTCAATTACGGCATGACGAGAGGACTTGGGGTTGTACAGGTCCTCGCAGCGAGCGCAGTAGAGTTTTACGGGTGAGGCGTTGGGGACGTCGGATTGACCCATGGGAAGGAGGGGTTGCGATTCGCACATGACGCGGGGGCATTTGCCGAAGTCGGATTTCTTGAACTTCTCGAGCTGGTGGTGGTTATGTTAGCATATGAAGCTGTCATGGGACAGGGCTGCGTACCATCTTTGCTAGACCCCTGGTTGTGACAATGTATCGTGCATGTACCAGTCCGTACAAATGCCGCGCCGACTTCTCAATCTGTTCCCGCATATCATCGTCACAGTCGAAGTCGAAGACGTCGGTTACAAGATCGAGTGCATATTGATAGTACTGAACTTCGGTGTTCAGACCCGTGAGGTTGAAGCGATCGGTGAGGTATTCTTCGTCAATCTCGCAGAAGTATTCGTTGCCTCGCGAGGATATGAACTAGTCGTTGGTCAGCATGTGTCTGAAAGCGCGCTCGCTGCTTCTACATGTGCATCGTTCTCGTGCCAGTCTGACCACCACAGAGACTGCATGGCCATGAGCGGACCCCACTCGGCACCGAAGATGGGTGCATATCCGGAGTCGATTGCATGAGGGCACATGCGTGTGGAAATGTAGCCCTTCTGGGCGCAGCCACCGCTGGCGCAAGGTCAGACGTGACCCGCAGTGAAAGGCCGGTGAGCCATACCATGCAACCAAGAACCTCCTGTCCCAGTCCCCTCCACTCAATCCTCGCAGGGCCATGTCGGGCGCTCAGAGGATGCCAATGGTGACAGTATAGGAAGCCAGGGTACTCACCCAATCTCGCCAGTAGCTTGTGTAGTCGCTATCCGTGTCGCTGTTGAAGTCGTCCATGATGCGCTTGCTTTCGGCGATGGGCTCCGAAGGATATGGGCGTTTGTATGTCTTCTCTGTAGGCTACGACCACCGGCGTGGTGGGGCGTTGCGATCAGGCGCAAGCACGGGTCGGGACGCGGTTGCGGAGTGAATTGCGCGCCCACCTAGTGGGATGGGAGTTGGTCGCAGCCCACCTTGTTTCTCCGCTCCGGTGGCGCTAGTCGTTTGAGGCGCGTGCCATCAACACGACAGCCCCATACTTCCCCACCAACCATCTCCAAACACTTGTGCATGGAGCAGATGATCTTGGTGAAAGATTCACATCCAGTAAAGTCCTCTAGGACGTCGTCTCATACGACACGTCTATCTTCCTTGGACGTTTGCGAGGTCTGAATAGATAGTCACCTCCTTCCAGTCGAGTTTTGTCTATACCAACTCATTCTATGCATGGCATAGAATGTAAGAAGCTAATTCACTTTTGAGCTTTTACTATCAAGACAGCACCCGTCAAACTCGGAGTTCGACTCCTTTACTATCACTCCATGTAGCACAACCCACTTTATCACCTTTAAAAGAACGCGGGTTTTTTTTAGAGTAGGCTATCTTAAGCTAGGTATGTCATCGCGGGCTAGGACTTTGGGATATGCTATATGAATACGAATGATAGTATCTGGATGGGAGCCAGCAATTACAGTTGTTGCGAAAAAGCTAGATTTTCATGAGATTTACCCCAGTCACATCGCATCCTGAAGGTGTTTACCATGCTATAGTCTCTAGTATGATAATGTATGATGCAGCGTATGCCTCTAGGGTGTATTACGGCTGGGATACAAGTTATGAGAAGGAACTTCTTCGCAGCTCGGAATCACTTACCGCTGCCATTTTGTTTGTCTCTAGCTGTCTCGAACCAGACAGAGTGTTTCTTATCAACCAATGCGCACTCATAGACCGTATTGCGCATCTCACCAGGTAGGTCGAGGAACGGGAAATTAATGTCATCTTGACAAAGCTGTGAAGTTAGAGTTTGCTCATCGCGTAGCCTGTTGTGTTGCTTAATCGTGTTTATGCTAATCATATTTGTAAGTCCCTTTGCTAGAGCGATCGATAATTAGACGAAGTATCGCTGGATGTTTGAGAAATTCTGAGGAAGAGGCAAGTGTAAGAAATAGTGAATCGAAGTAGAGAAATGAATTCTAGGAACGGTAGGTGTTTTATATGTCCTGAACAAGCACTAATCACCCACTAGAAAAGGTGAGTGTGTTATAGGTAAAAGATACGAATGAACTGGCAGTAAAGTAAGGTCTGGACCTACCAATGAGATGTAAGTGTACTCAGTTAGAGTTACCCCCATATGAGAGCTAATGATGAGAAGAGACGTGGGACAAGCCAGTCTACGCAGTATGAAGTGCCAAAATTATCTTTGATTTATCAATCCCATCTGAGGTTGTTGATTGCTCTCCGTATGTGCTGCGCTCCCAATGCCTCACAGGCCCCGGAATTATCACATTCAGGCCTTCCAGCATGTAACTGTTTCATCTCATCGCTCCAAGAGTGATTCTTAGTATGCCAGCTTTCTTGTCTTGCCTCGCTCTCCTTTACTAGATCCAGTAATGGTCGCGGATTGCTTCCTCCGCCATAGACCTCAGTCTTCAACGCAGTCTTGACTAATTTCTTCCAGTCCTTCCCCTCGATCTCAATATTGAATCCCATTGGGCAGTCAAGGGTGCCAGTGTGTAGATGCTGCAAAGCTGGGTTGTTGTCGCCAATTCGATATGGTTTCTTTTGACCCGTCTCTTCTAGGCGTAGCGCCTCGCGGTCGACTTCGATCAGAACTTTGTTGAAGCGTTCCACTACCGCTTTCATTACGGACACTATTGATTGCACATTCTGGACCGCTGAGTATGACTCCCTTGGACATTGATTACAGTGTATCAACTCCGAGAGCGATGTCATCGCTTTTCGTAGGGGCAGAACAACTTGAGGGAAGTGAAAGGTGACGACAGCTTGTAATTCGGTCAGGGTTAGCCACGTTGTTGTCAGACACGAACACTGCCCTGTGGTTGGTTGATCGGAGAAAGTATGGTGAGAGCCAATAGGCTGGATATCAGGTTGGATGTCAGGCGCCAGATTCCATAACAGTGGATCGACGGTTGTATCCAAAGTATACCTGCAACGGTTTCAGCATTCATCGATATCGATCCGCTGAATATCACATACGCATCGTTGCACCCGGATGGCACTTGGAACTGATCATGAAGGCTGAGGTCGTGATGTTGCGGTGTAATAATCTCATTGCCTGCCGAACCGTCCGATGATTGCACATCTTGCAGAAGCGGCGGTGATAGTAGGCTGTCGAGATCTGTAAAGTCTGGCATTCCCGAGAAGTCATTCCAAACGTCGACATGTTCGTCTCGCACTACTGCAGGTATTTCCGTAGGCTCGTCCGCTTCGTCCTCCCTCATCCTCTTCCTAGGGCGACCCATCTGCTTCTGTGGCGAGTAAACACACTCGATCTTCTCTTTCTGACAACGGACGCATCTTGGTGTATGGCCCGAACATTTCAACTTTCGTGTGCCTGGGTATAGTTGAGCGTCGCGCGGGGCAGATGGGAGCCTAGCTTGAGGTACTCACGGCACTCATCGCAAGCCGCATGGAGTTTTCCAGGTGGTTTCACATTCTGTTGTACCATTGTGCAGTGTCACAGAAATGCTTAGGCTGGAGAGGTGATAGCGCAGAAAGTGGGGATCTCGAGCAGATCAGATGTTGTTGTCGTTCCGCGTAGAGCCAGGGATGATGACTGGGTACGCCTAATCCGCCAGCTCTGCCATGCACATCCCCATAGAGAATGGTTGCGCAGGTTAGCCCCACTTGATGACGGGATACCAACGTGTTGGATTATCGACCGTCAACACATGAAATCGCAGACCCTCATTTCCTGTGAATGTTAGGTAAGCTGTTCGTTGGCGTGCTACTCCAACCTGAAACACAGCTATCCGCGGCCGTATAGGGCCGAATGAGGTGTCTGCAACCTTGGAAATACACGCAGTGACGGGCATGTCGCGTCAAGGTGTGCTGTCAGTAGACGAACCAAACACAACGAGAACTCGCAAGTTTAACCAAGCAGGTGCGACCGCTAGTCACTGGAGTGAGGCTGAATATGCCAGGATTCACGCGGAGCCGCCCTCATTGACCAATGCCATACTGGGGACTTTGCAGCATGTTGGAGGCTGAGTACGGATCCGAATATCGATAAGACCGTCAGAGTTACCCTGGGACCCAGTGCGCTGGGTGTGGCAGGACAACCGCAATGTTTCACACAGTTGTTCACCGCTCCTGATGCCAAACCTTTGATCTCACCTGGCTTCTCAGAGACTTTGCGCAATGGCGCCGGAGAATGCGGTATTGGCAATCAATCTGGAGAACGAAGGCGCATACCGCGCGCATCTGGCAATCTACGATTGATGGAAAGGGCGCAGCTGCTCCGCCTTCTTCTTGCATCTCTCCCGTCTTGGGATGGCTTCTTCGTAATCACCTCCACCGGTTGGAACAATGTGCAGCTGACTAGGGTGCCCCATGTTTGATGGCGCGCGCCCTACTGGTACATGCGCACAAAAGCTGATGCCTGATGTTTAGTGGCTGTGATTTGGATGGAGGCCACAGTTGACCATGGTCGCGAGGTTTGACGATTTTGCTTTGTATGGGCAAATGCTGAATGCGACGCCTCCTAGAGGTCGGGAGCAGGCATAATCAGACTTGAGACCCCATGGAAAGGCCGCGCAGCCACATCAAAGGACGAAAATGGAGCGTGCAGTTTGGCGAGCGTGATGCCTCTTTAACCGGATCGGGGCCTAGGGCTGATGGAGGATGGCGCCGGTGGGCGAAGCTATTGGTTGGGAGCCACCGACACTGCTGCACGTTTTGTGAGTCACAGAACTCGGGCCTTTCTGGTGCCGTGCTCGCTTCCGGTTACTATTAATCCCCCACTTCCCTCGCTGCCTGAATTTCTCCTTCCCACTCATCTCAACATACCACACCACAAAGCAATACACAAGACAGTCACGAACAATGGCTGCCTTTTAACTTCCCCCGCGCCTCTCAGTCAGCTAACAGCCGACACCTTGGATTACCCAACCATAACCACTTTCCCCACTTCAACTACAACCTCAGAGTCTTCCTTTCAGGAACCTCTGAACTCAAGTCTAGCCTCGCGCAGCTTTAGTTCGCCGTCTCCCCTCCCGTTCGACTTCACGTCGACCATCACGGCTTCCCAACAGTCATCATGGCTCTCTTCACCAGCTCCCCAAGCCTCTCGGCAACCAAATACGAGTCAACACGCATTCGCCCGTCCGCAGTCGGACTTTGTGCTCTACGAAACACCACAGGTCTCCCAACGGCCTCTGCGAGCACCGAGCGCGCCTCAGCCTGGGCATACGTTTAACAACGGCCAGCACTTTTACGCAAATTCTGCCCCGTCATCTACTACAGAATTCCAACAGCCACGGTTACGCCAACGTCCTCCGGTTCCACTGTTCCCCAGCTCTAGCAACAACACTCCCCAACTGCACAACGTCACAAACATGGCAGGTACGACGCACGCTTTTTCCGCTCTCGATCGCGAGCTCACCTTCCCCGCAGACTTGAACAGCAACAACTCCTTCGACTCGGGCGCAAGCCTGATGTCCAACTTCAACAACGGAGGCTTTTCTATGGACTCGGTGTCCGCATTCACGGCGATCAACGACCCTTCCGTTGCCGCCGGGTCTACGCGCACCGTGTCCCCCAAGGACATTTTTAACGATGCCTTTGGGTCTGCACCCCCTTCCACGGCGTTTACCAACCTTACTTCCCCTGATATTGGTGACTCCCCTTTCATCAACGACAGCTTCGAGTGCTCGCCAATGTTCAACGGCGAGCCGGTTATTTCTGACACGAGCGACTGGTTCTCCCTGTTCCCGGAGCAGGAGACCAAGATTCCTGACACTGTCTATGCACCTGCCATCTCCATGCCTATGGACCGCACTATGAGCAGCCAGTCTATGGAGCGATCCGGTTCTTCCAGCACCGGTTCTCCTCTCGTTTTGGACAACTATACTCGACGAAAGTCGTCTGTCACCAACTCACCTGCAACAAACGGCATCAGCAAGTCTCGTCGGCGCAAGGGTCCTCTGCCCAGCATCACCGTCGACCCCAGTGACAAGATTGCCTTGAAGCGGGCACGCAACACCCTTGCTGCCCGTGAGTCGCGTCAGCGGAAGTTTGACCATGTCAGCACCCTCGAGCAGCGCAACTCTGAGCTCGAAGCTGAAGTCGAAAAGTGGAAGAGCATTGCTATGGCTCATGGATACAGCGGACAGTGAATGTCCTCGTCTCTCTCATATGGTTCCCAGTGGTCGTAAGGAGCTGGTGAAGAAACCAGCCTTGCCTTTCGGCAAAAGTTTTCCTTTCCGTGTTGTTTCCCGCGGTATTTCCTTTCGCTTCTGTCGCCTTCCGGCTCCGGCTGGATGGTGTCTCATGCTTTGATCTTATATTGTTGTCGCCGGTGTGCAGTCTCCCCTTGTGGTTTTCGATTGACTCCGCCTGGTGTAGGTGGTAATGTGGTGTTGTTCATTTCTGATTGATGCATTCATAGTTGTGGAGCGCTTTCGTGCTGAAGCCTCTGGGATAGTCTCCTTGAATATACATGATGTTCACAAATGACTCTTTGGCAGTGACTCTTGTGACGTTCTTGACTCTTTGTGGCAGTGACTCTTGTGATGTTCTATGACTCAGCCCTGCCAGGCTGTAGCCGCGAAGATGTGACTGTTTGTTACAATTCACTGACACGGGGTGGTCTTGTGCATGTCGATGTGATGTGTATTGTTGCACAATGATATGACTTGCGATACGCTTTCTTCGATTGCTATCTTGGTGTAGTGCGCACGCCGGTCTGGCTAAGTGTTCGTGGTGATGTCCAATACAAGAACTTCGAAAGCAAAACGAGTCACTCTCGACCGCACCAGTAGATACTACAACGACATCTCCATGTATCTGGAGCCATTAATCTATCGTCAAGGCGTGTTCGCGTGTGGGCTCGCTCGCTTCCTGTGTGGTTCGTGGTGGGGCGTCTCCACATGGAATGCAATTCTTTGCAACCTTCCAACCTTTGAACTTCCAGCTTCCAGCTGTTGTCAGCGAGTATATAAAGTCACAGAACGTTCTGCAATACATGAAGCAATCAACGGCAAGATGGCCGAGGTACGTCACTTCCACGCTTCGGAAAATTGCAATACTAACATCAAAATAGTGGTCTAAGGCGCTGCGTTTAGGTTCTCCTAAGCATCTACCGCAGTCTTCACGGGCGTGGGTTCGAATCCCACTCTTGTCAACGCTTCAATTGCCCATCTTTTCTTGGCATTCCGTCGGTCATGGCTTTCTTTTTGCTTGAGGGCTGCGCGATGTCACGTGACTCATTACCATAACCTGCAACAACACTCGCTCAGACACACACCAACACCTTTGTCAGCATTATGAAAAGAAATAGTCTGTAATTTCACACAACGCAAATCCCCAATCCCAAACGCAGCATCAGTATATCCAACAGGCACCATGCCAGCTCAGGCAGACGACTTGCTTCTCAGCGTATGTCTCCTCCAACTCTCTCTGTGAACGCACTGGATACGACTAAATTTTCTCAGCTCCAGTCTTCACTCCGCAATGCGCTTGCAACGTTCGGCGCCAACAGCACTCAGTACCGTACCATCAAGCTGATAGTCGACGAGTATGAGGCTAAGCTCGCTATGGAGGGGCTTTCGATCTCTTCAAGCGAGCCACAAGAGAACGGCGAGAAGATGCATACAGGCTAGGACGTATCCAAACGTTGGCTTTGTGTTAAACTACCCAAGCTGACGACAAGATCGGCAACCCTTCCCAGACGTCAACGTAATCCTAGCGTCAGCCCTTCTTATATCATAACCACTTTCTTTGAACTCGCTACTTACACCCCCTTGGTGTAGACATGGTTCGTGACACTTGATTCCAAGCAGGTCTCAATTCGGCTAGCCTCGACCTGGTGGGCAAGGACGCTCGAACTTGATGAGGACGCTGCCTAGGTACTACCTAGGTATCGTCCCCAGAGGGCAGGAAGAGGACAAATGAATTACATCCGACGCAGCAAAACGCACATCCTCCCATTCGCCGACCATGCTGGCAAAGAGGCGCTTATGGTGTTTGACGGCACCGAAACGTGTCCCCTTCCGCCGCTTTACAGCTTCTCGTTCTATTTCACGCACGAAGCCGTCAACTCAGGGAATGTTCACCCAACTGAATTTCTAAGAGCCATTATTCAAGACACCCCATTTGTTTCCTATCCATGTCCCTTCCGGCTGGAGATATATTTTCTGCCTATGCCAGGTGCAACAGCTGAAAAATGCGACGAGGCATGCATTGCCCACTACGAAGAAGAAAAGAAAGGTCGAGGGATTTACCACCGCCAAATCATGGCGCTCAAGGCTTCCATCAGGTCTGGTCGCAGTAGCAGTACCGATCGTGGACGTCTACCTGGCTTCGTGTCTAGTTACGTCGAGGACCGATCTTACGATTATCACCGGGGGCTTCTCTATAGCTACCAAGGAGCAGACTGGCGTACAGATGAGCAGCTGGTGCGCCGGATAAAATTCAATGCCATTCCGCACGCAGAGAACAGCTTGATGGCAGATGAGGTCAAGGAAGACGAATTTACACCGATCCGCGTCACTCTGCAAGCAATTAAGAAGAGCGATACGGCAGGGCATGTTGGCGAATGGATGTTCTACAATGCACATGGTCCGACAGAGTGTATAACGAACGGGCCGTGGCAGGAAGCAGAAGAACGTGGGTGGACCACGTGGCAGGAGTGATCTGATGTTACTACTTGGTATGATTCTTTACACAGTCAACTTCGAGCATCTAGCGGAACACTAAACATCCCTTGAGAACAGAGTACTTCTTCCTACTACAACAAAACGTTAAGAGCTATATAGACACTTGTATTCATAGAATCTAGAAGTCTACAATGCTATTAATCTTTTCAAGTTTTCTTGTTAGGAGCTAATGTAAGCTGCAAGGTAGAGCTTATTATCACTATACCTATTTAGTTTTTACCTTGGTTGGGGTGGCAGGATAAGTACCGCAACCTCAGAAATGGCGTCGACACTCGGATGCATGGCAACGCCTTGTTCATAGATATATGAACACCGGGGTAAATAAACTTGTGAGCCGCGGCTGACTGCATACATTATGGTCGCAGCTCTGATCTAAGAACCGTTGGTCAAGCAATGCTTCCCGGTATACGCGCCCGTCGTTTGCAGCGCGGAAGAACAGCCGCGTGTTTGGTCGCGGTCCTCGAGCGTCGAAGAGGAAGGTGGTGGAGCCCGTCCAGGAACATGACAAGACAATGGCATGCTATGTGCCGCTGTGGATCCGCTTAAGCAGCCTTAGACTCGCTTGCTGCCTTCCGAGAAGGCAGCCACCCGTTGACCGTTGAGTCCAGATTCAATGTTCCCTGTCGAATGGGTTGGCCGTTCTCATAGAAAATTGCTCCTGCTCCTGCTATATACCATAGCTGTTGCGGTGCGCCTACGTTCGTTCGACATTCTTAGGTCACCAGTCTGATTCCCAGTACCATGGTCCAGCATACCGGTTGTGTGACATCTATCGATGCGCTCTCTACGCAGGAGCCTGACTTCATCGTCATTGGTGGCGGGATTGGTGGTTTGGTCGTTGCAAACCGTCTGAGTGAAGATGCCGAGAAGAAGGTACTCTTGATCGAAGCGGGAGCCAATCGTAGAGGAGACCCCAAAATCGACACGGTTGGTATGTTATCAACGCTGTATGGAGACCCCGATTATGATTGGGACTTTATGACCGAGCCCCAGGTGAGTTACGTGTTACGATGCCACGTCGTCTGGTGAAGGATTGACCGAGACTGACAATCACCTTTGGAGATGCACGTCAATGGTCGGCAAATCCCACATCCACGAGGAAAAGTTCTCGGTGGATCTTCAGCAATCAACTTTGGTGCAACTGTATATCCTTCAAAGGCCGATTTCGAATCTTGGGAGGCACTCGGCAATGAGGGCTGGGGTGCCACCGGAGTCGCGCCATACCTTCGCAAGTTCAGTCGTTTCACAGCACCGAGTGCAGAAACGAAAGAACTCCTGAGCATAGATTATATCAATGAGGAGTTGCACGGTAAAGACGGCCCTGTTCCAGTAACAATTCCGGACGTTTATGGGCCTTTCCAGGCGTCATGGGTCAAGACTCTGGATAATCTTGGCTGGTGCAATTCAGATGATCCTATCGAAGGCGAGAAGCTGGGCACATTTGCTTGTGGGCTGTCCATTGATGCAGAGACAAAGACCCGCGGCTACGCTGCGTCGGCCTACTATACCCAACAAGTTGCGGAAAGACCTAACCTGGAAGTATTGACAGAAACATTCGTCGAAAAAATACTTACCAATGTTTGTGACGGCTCCGTACAAGCGATTGGGGTAAAGATTCGAACAAGGAGTGGGGTACACGAAATCACGGCGAAGAAGGAAGTCATCCTCTCCGCAGGCACCATTCAATCACCACAAGTTCTTGAGCTTTCCGGTATCGGCCAAAAGGAGCTTCTCGAGAAGCATGGAATTCCGGTGGTTCTTGACAGTCCTGGTGTCGGCGAGAACCTCCAGGACCATGCCATCTCGGCGCCTTGCTTCGAGATTGCGGATGACCAGTTCTCGGCAGATATAATGCGCGATCCAAACATCGTACAGGCCGTGCTCCAACAGTACATGTCCACCAAGACCGGCCCACTTGTTGGTATTCCGATCAGTGTGACCATGCTTCCGCTTATCGACTCTGATGGCCGCGTCAGTCACGATGAAATTGCCCAAATGGCGAGGCAGTGTGGCGAAGACAAAGACTTGCCTCTTTGGCAAAAGAGACAATACGAACAGCTCGAGAAGCAGATATCAGGCCCGAATGAGGCAGCTGGATATGCGATGATGCTGCCACTGCAGTTGAACATCTCTGCGGGAGCTACGCAGATGAAGGAGCTACTTGCGCCATCGAATCCCAAGAACTTCATCACCATAATGGCGGTCAACAACCATCCCTTCTCTCGTGGCTTCTGCCATATTCGATCCGCGGATCCGAAAGAGAAGCCGATTCTAGACCCAAAATATCTTTCTCATCCCCTGGATCTCGAGATACTTGCCCGGTATACGCAATACATCGAAACCATTGTCAAGACTGAACCCTTCGCTTCGTTGCTCAAACCTAGTGGGCGATTGCCGGACGGCAAGCGAGCCACGGATCTAGATGCGGCGAAAGATATCGTCAAGGAGCGATTGCTGAGCACCTTTCACCCCACGGGTACATGTGCCATGATGCCCAAGGAACTCAACGGTGTCGTCGATAGCAGACTGAAGGTACACGGGACAAAGAACCTGAGGATTGTGGACGCATCGATCTTTCCAATGGAAACGTTGGGAAATATCCAGGCAACAGTGTATGCGGTGGCGGAGAAGGCAGCTGACCTTATCAAGCAGGACTGGAAGAAGTAGTAGTAATGTTCGTATGCAATTAGCTGCCTGAAATTGACAAACAGCCGCCCCCGAAGCCGACAACCCGTAGTCTGGTAGCCTAGGGTGGCGAGGCTCAACAGGGGAGATACAGTATATATTCGACAAATGAAGATCTCTAAATTCAAACACAAAAAGAAGAAGTAATCGCTTTTAGATGGTGGAAGTATCAAAAGAAGACGTAACTAAACATAACGAACATAGTGTCAACAGATGCGCATGCCCAGCCACATTTCGGCTGTTGCTCGTACATAAAAAAAGGAGGAATTGGCTACAGAATACATGGCGTCTATATAGTGGTATAAGTCGTGAAAAAAGCAAATAAACCCCAATACATGAAGCTGTCGAAGTAGGCTTATTCGATCTCGGAAAACTGAAGGGTTGTGTCGATTGCATTGCGGCCGCATGACATGCCGAACGCAACGTCTTTGCTGGACTGGAGGAGCTTCCAGGCGGCGATTAGCTCGTCTGTCTTTTCATCGTGGCCAGCACCTTGCTCCAGCGCCTGCAAGATTGCCTTAGTCTGGTATGTCCACCAGTAGATACCACCGTGTTCTTCTGCAAAACGACGTGTCATGCCATATGCTGGCTGACTAGTTCGAATAACTAGTTCAAATTGGAGGGTTGAAGCCTGTAGCCATGGAAGAATCATCCTCGTGTCACAAAACCAACCATCAACGCCGATGGTCAGGACAGTAGGTTCAATACCTGCTTGATTAGCCGCTTCAATATCGCTGACGATCGCCTGGGTAAACTTGAATGTTCTGTGCTGCTTGATCATGTGGCTCTGCGAACTCGCCAGAAAGCTGTCATCGAGAGCGGGCGCTGGAATATACCGCGTGGGCACGTCGTAGCAGCTATGGAGAACAGCAGATCCACCGGTATACCCACTCCACGCCGCGTAGTGATTGAGATATCGACGCCCAAGCATCGGTAGGCCCTCTTCGATCGTATCCGCATTGTCTTTCCAACTCTCAGGTGCTTTTGCGGAAGATCGGTTCACGATGATTACGCTTGGAGGCGCACCATCAACGGCGGACGTGGTTAGTGCAAACCGGAACGATGATACACGCTGGCGTGGAGGCACTCCTTGGCACCGCTCTAAGTGCATTGCGAGGTTGATGGCGGTTGGTTGATAGAATTCTAGCTCGATGTTTGGTCTGAGACCATTATCACGAGGATGGATCTCGTCGTTGATGTCTAAGTTTGCGCAGGCTTACGTATGGTCAGCTGTCGCGTTAGGTGGATAGGTAAGATAAGAGGTAGCTGGCAGTGCAACAGGCAGCAGTCGACAGTCACGTTCGCGCGCTAAAGTAGCGTCGCACGGTCCAACTGCTGCGTGTATATCAACTCGGCTTTCCCACGTCCCTCAGTCTCTCACCAGCTTCCTTTGCCATTCTGGCTTAGATCAAGTGTAGTATCTGTTCTTTATAGTTTAATCGCTATAATGCCACTACGGTGGCTTTCCGATTATTCGTATTTTTGTAATAAGACCTTGGGTCCTGAGCTTGCTCACACCCAAGGCCATAGTGTCGCCAGTATCCATGCACTACTTCTGGCCGACGCGAACTTTTTCATTGAGCGTTCTCGCTTGCGAGAACCTTGAGGAAGAACATGAATGCTATCCATGACCCATCACTCCAATGGCTCGGCGCGACACCAATTCGTAGCAGCGCGCACAAGATTGACTAGCCTAACACGTCCTACTGCAGTCTTAGCGCCACATGCACCGACCATGAAACTTTGACATCGTGCTGGTCATCACTCTAATTCCCTCACAGGCGTCTTTTCAAACTAACCTCCTCCAAAAATGAGGGATACAAGGCCAAAGAAGAAGCGGAGAGGTGGACCTCGTAGTAGAACAGGTGTGTACCATTAAGCTTGCGTAGAGTCATGCTCAAATATGCTGATTCCATCAAGGTTGGTACGTTGTTATCAATGTGAGAACCTCGACTTCAGACTGATTGCCTTGGTCCAGCGCCACCTGCAAACGCCGCCATACACGCTGCGACGAGAAGAAGCCCGTATGCGGAAACTGTGAACGCCTGAATCTCGATTGCGAACCATCCGAAGAGGTGGCGTGGGCTGCTTCGCAAAGTGATGCAATACAGGACGAGCCAAACAATGACGCGATGAATGATGCGCCGTTGCTCGTTGACGTCTTCAGGACACGTATGAATGATCTTGACCTCCCGGGAGACTCGTTATTAGGTCAGAATTACATACCCGTGACTGGAATTACACCACCAGGACCGACCGAGACGAACGGTCGGAAGAAGATACGCTTGACTCCGGAGAGCGCGTTTCTACTGCAAGCCTATGTGCGCACCGTAGCTACCTGGATGGACATCTTTGATCATAGTAGCACCTTCCAGCATAAGATTCCACAGCTTGTCCTGGCATCACCGCTCTTGTTCCATTGCGTGTGCGCCTTTACTGCAAACTACCTAGCGCTTTCAAACTCGAGCCATGACCCTTCTTGGCAAGTCACGGCTAGGAAGCATTATGGAGAATCGTTGCGTCTGCTGATAGATGCCTTGAGTGTGCCATCGCACGAACACGCGCTGACCGCAAGTATGCTACTCTTGAGCTACGAAATTCACGGAGCTTTGCGCTCCGAAGACTATCGCCGTCACTTTCTAGGCCTGACGATACTTATCAAGTCGCGACATGTCACTGCACAGTCGAGCGGGACGGATCTTGCGAATTTCTGGATCTATATTCGGCACGAGATTGTAGTAGCCATGGCAAGCGAACAGCCACTAATACTAAACCCTGCAGAGTGGGAGGTATCTTGGATTGAGGGCGAGACTAGAGAAGATGTGCTCGGCAACCATGTTCTCTGGATACTAGCAAGAGTAATCAATCTCATCTTTGGACCGGACGGACGAACAGCAGCTGGTAAAGAACAACGCCAAAACTTCTTGCACGAGATCGAAATGTGGCGACAGGGACTCTCCGATACCTTTGTGGGTATTGGATATGGTGACAAAGACACAGATGGCTTTCGTAAAGTGTACTTCCCTGTTGCTGCCGCTGCCGCTGCAGCCTTTTGTGCGTACATGCGTGTTTTGGATATTCGATGCGTTCTGACATATCCAGGGTATCACATAACACATATTCTTCTCTACGCGGAGCCAGAGCTTCAGGATGAAGCCTATATACCTCTAATCCAAGAGCAGGCTATGAGAATTACTGACATAGCCATATCGGATTTCCCTCCAGCGTTGATGGTGTTCTCTACGCATGGTTTGTTCTATGGTATGTTGTCAAGCATCTTTCCAGTCTCGGAATTCACACTAACTCTCTCTACAGCTGCGAAACATATTCACGGCATATCTAGGAAGGCAAGAATCTGGAACATACTGAACGAAGTCGAGCGTCAAACCGGATACAATACAGGAACGACTGTAAGGCTCCTTCAGACTCTGGTTGAAGAAGATGCACAACGCCGCAGCGGAAGCATGCCATGAGCTACACGGACCACGCCGAAGATGCTCCGATCCAAGTGTCTGACTTGTAACTCTAAAGCGCGACTGCGCATGGCCCGTATCTTCCGAATTCCTTCTCACCCATGTACCTGGATATCATCCGGTATCGGAACGAACTGTCTTGTCGATCAGCTGCAGGCTCAAGCGAGGCCATCATCCGATTGAACACAACGACAAAACTTTCGGAAATGATGGTGGTGGTTATGGTGGGCTGTCAAGACGTTTGGCCTATCGCTTGCCTCAAACGAAGCCACAGCGGTAAAGCTTCAGACCCATAGCGCGTATAGCACATCTGCTGCTGGCAAACATCAACATCACCAACGTAGTTTCCCAAGCTCAACACGAACTCCGATGAAGTGAGCCACGCGTTGTCCTAGTAATAAAATTAACTAGGACAATCCGTCGTCAGATCACGCTTATAGCACTCATCTTGTTGAATATCAATTCCACAGACTGAAAACAAGATCCGGAACTTGGAATCTGGGATTTGGGACGTGGGATTCGATTTGTGACACTGCGAGCTTCGCCACCCGCACAGCCCACAAAGTCGGATGTAGGCAGCAACACAACCCGTCGAAATATGTACCCTGTTCAAACAAGCGACTGGGCATCGCACATCAGTATCCTTTTCGAGACATTTGTGAACATATCGCATGAATTTGCTCAGCTCTTGGATATCGTCTACGCCACAACTTCGTTTATGCGCGGGTAGTCCCTCAGGGCCTCAGCCATTTGCGACAAACCGTTTCGCGCAGCCTCCACCAAAGCATCGATAACAACTCTTCAATATATTTGCCACTCCAGCCAGTTTCTGGCACGCCATTTTCATTCCAATATAGTTCATGATGGCACCTTTACTCAACTCTCAAGACGACCGTGCAGCGTTCGTTGATGCTTGCATCGATAAGCGCAAAGTAGCAATGGATGTTTGGGAGTCACTTGGTTTGACTAGCGAGAAGAGTGATGATTCACAAAAAGGGTATTTCGTCAGGAAAGAAGCCAACGAGCTGCAAGAAGCGATTGAGCAGATAGCAAAGCCGGTCGCTACTTCCTATCGTGGCAAACTGGTGGAGTTGAAGTCCTACCTGGCGGATGAGTATGTCTTCTCCGATGACGTTTCCAGGCTCGGAAAGGAGTACGGAGCAAAAATATGGGGTCGCATGGAGGACGGCGAGATACGTTCGTCAGGTCAATCTCAAGGAAAGGGAATTGAAGAACATGACTGGGATGACACCACAGATTGCACGAAGTAAGTTTCCGGTTGCATTGCCGCGAGTGACTTTGTTGACCCAATTGCAGCATTCTCTTTTACTTCCGCTGCTGGATCATATGCATTGTCGTAGCTCCACGAAGAGCAAAAGGAAAAGGTCGAGGCCGAGAGTCAGGTCTAACCGAAGACCATCGCAATCATGTCATTATCGATCTCTCTGAGCCTGATAGCCCTGTTACTCCAGGCATCTCGTTCCGGGCACCGGAGCCGCCGCGCATGTACCCGACGTCTGAATCGCGCAGAGAGGCGGATAAAACTCCAGGCACTTCTCTGAGTTCCGCGACGCATGTGAGAAGCAACAACAGCAACACGACACCAAGCAAGAGGAAAGCGCATGATTCCCATGAACGGGCGCCTTTGGGGAAGCTTCCAAAGCCGTCAAAGAGCGCTCGGACGGTTCCAGTACTTGCACAACAACGAGATACCTACTCGATCCCTGACACCCCTCCGGCGTTTTCGAATCCAGTAAACTCGTCATTGGAGAGACGAAGAGAGACAACACAAGATACAGATGCGACGTATATGCCTCGAGGAGTCACGGCGGACACCGAGACCATAGTCGGTGACGAAGAAATACATAGTAGAGAAGTCGGTAGGTCCAGCGACCCGAGAAAAGACCAAGCATTCGAGCTAACCTAGACACCAGACTTCTGCCTACAGAATGTCATTGCTATGGCCTGTCAGGACGAGATGCAGTACGAATATGAAGACGAGAACGCCGCTGGCCCATCGGGTACCTATCTGAACCCCCTCAGGCAGGACTCTGTCATTCCACATGATACGCAGACACAGAAAGATATGAGAGAAAATGATGGCCAACCTGGTCAGGATGACGACACATCCAGCGATGCATACAATGACGCGATCATACGCTCTCTCATCTCCGACTCCTCACATGAAACCAGGCAAAACCGCATTTACCGCCTTGAGCTTATCCGACTTCTCATTTCCTATCTTGATGGCATCAATGAGTTTGACTCCACTAGCTACAACTTCGCCGCTGAAGAACGCATGAACTTCCTACTTAACCATCTCCAGTGCACTGAGGCAGAGATATGGCATGCCAATCATAGCAACAGTGCGATTCGCTTGGGCCACACACTGGAGCGTTGGATGGGTATGCGTCACCGCTTAAGCTCTTTCCGCAGCGCAACGGGCTACTTCGGTCCGCCAGGTCAGCAGTGGGAAGAGTTTCTGCGAGGTATGAATAATATTCCACACGCGAGGGCTATCTTAGCTTTTGTGGAATTGAAGAATGACGGAGTGTTGGAAGAGGGGAAAGGAATTGGTGCTGGGCATGGGTTCAATGAGGATCTCATGGTGATGTTTGATTTGCTTACAAGTATAAAGGGGTGTAATGGCCCGGACGCGTTCAAAGGTGTGAAGAAGTTCAATGAGGGATTGTGGAAGTGGTTTGACGATTCTGAGGAGAACTGAACGGATGGCAGGACGGGGATGGCGACGACGCTGATCATGACGACGATGTGAACGATTTTTTTCTCTTGTACTAGTAGATCTCCAGCTTCCAACTAAGACGTTCTTATATTCCTTCACGACGTAATAAGCAAGTTTTTTCAGTATCTTGGAATGTTACTGGATTGAATGCTCTAAAAGGGAATCTAATATGCCAGTTTGAAAAACACGCATAGACTCAAGGAAACTGCAGCTTATGCTTCCCCATCGAATCTGATCCGTCCATGGTATCTCTGATGCCGCCACTTTGTTTCTTCCAGCTACCCGTACCACAACGCCCTATGTGAAACTCCATTTTGTGAACCTCAAGCTACCACGGGGTGGTCGTCCATGCCAGTATAAACACCGTTTGTGAATTTCCTTACAACGCCATGTATATGTATGTGTGCTCAAACGCCGTATCATCCGTCATGCTCATGACTGCTCGTTGATGTGACCGTTGGTCGTAGTCATGACAGGTACATGAACCTTGACAGTAGAGATGTGGTCTTGCTCGTCGGTAATGGCCACCTCGGTGGTCTGGCCATCAGGTATCATCTTGTGTTCTAGACTCCAGCCCGCCCTGCGCGCCAATTCGGCCACGATGACATCGCAATCGCCCAGGAGGTTGATGTCAAAGTTGATGTGGTGGATCGGATCTCGCGAGATGTAGATTTGTGGTATGTCGCGGGGTAGGAAGTTTGGAATTTCGGAAACGGGTGCCACTTTCATGCTCGTACCCATTACGATGACGAGATCCACCTTGTCTTTATCGACGTCTTTCAGTCGATCGAAGAAGTCGTTGGGTAGGGCTTCGCCGAAGAAGGTGATGTCGGGCTTCATGATGCCTGGCTGCGGGATGTCGAACGCGCCGTCTGACTCGGAGTCTTCATCGCTCGACCGCTTCTTCCTGGCCCCGTTGCCATTGGACGTCCGCTTGCGCTTCTTGCTTGGCTGCGCAGCAATCTCGTCCTTGCAGCGTTTGCACTCGGCTGGCTTCTGCGCGCGCACACAATCGAAGATGTCCTCGCCTGGCACCTTGAATTTGCATTTTCTGCACGTCGCAGTCGCCCACGAGCCGTGACATTGGATAAGCTTCTCCTTGCGTATGCCGGCATGTGCCTCCACGTTATCAATGTTTTGGGTGTAGTTGGTGAGCAGCTTCTCCTTGTCCTGCAGCAGACGGATGAACTCGTGCGTGGGCGTCCATTTCTCGAGATCGGGTATGATGTCGCCGGCCAGGGCGTAGAAAGTTTTTGGGTTCTCGTCGAAGTTGTGGATGTCAAAGACCTCCTCGGGCTCGTCGAAGCCCATCTCGCGCAGTCGCGAGTAGAAGCCCGTGTTCTTGGAGCGGAAGTCGGGGATGCCGAGGCTCGTGGATATGCCGGCGCCGGTGATGACCATGATGTTGGTGCGTTCGCGCAGCAACTTGGCCGCGTCGTCAATGGTCTTGTATTGGGCCAGCCGCGGGCGCTTGTTCAGTTCGCGGTTGATGGCCAGGCCCAGCAGCTGGTAGAAGTTTTCGTCGGGCGCATCTTCGAGGAACTTGGGGATCTTGACGCCAAAGGCGGTACACAGCTTGCGCGCCGTCATCTTCTCGCTGGTGATGTTCTCCATGACGAATGCGCTCGCGCCAATCTGGTGCAGTCGCTGGCGCAAGCGGCGAGCCTCGTCGGCGGTGCACGTGTCTACGCCTATGCGAGTGTCAATGGTGGTTGTGGCGGAAAGCGCCTCCTAGGCCCGACTCACCATCGTCCGAGTACTCAAAGGCTTCCACTTCGTCTAGAATCTCCTCGTACAGGGAGGCTTGGTCCCACGCGCCGCCGTCTTCGTCATCTTGGTCGGGCGCAGGCGCAGGCGCGTCCTCGTCTCTGGATTTGGTCGCGCCTCCCGCTCCTGGTTCCGCCTTGATGCCCGCCGTGGGCGGCGGGGCGGGTTGCTGGGCGACGACGGGTCCCTCTGAGGGATGGGCAGCCATGGTGTTGTCTCCCGCGTGCACTCGCTGTCAACCAGTGTTACAAGTGGAGAGTTGAAGCGAAAGGTGGTCCGACGGGTAAGTTGGAGACACATGGCACTAGGCTCCTTTGGGCCGGGCGGAGATGGCCGCACTTAGTTCGCCAATCCCATATCCCCCGGACTACCTCGGTGGTTGACATCCATGGCTACGCAGCGAGTTGTCGTTGTCTGCTTCGCCAATCTCAGCATATAACAGTATGCAGTATCGACAGAATATGCACGAGCTGCATACCGTGACGCAGCCACCCGGGACTTGACTCCAACAGACAAATCACAGCAGGAATAATGCACCTTTCGGCACGTCGAGCCAATCCTGGGTCGCATCCTCCATTGTCCTGCACGCCTGCTACCTGTCGCTTTTTCGCTCAACATCCTGTAAAAGGCTCTATGCCTGTCATATAATCAAGGTCAAGTCTCTATTTCTTCTCCTTCTGTCGCTCCTTTCTTGACTCTTCATGGCTTCAACTACTACCCTCGCCACCGGGCTGGTCCCTTCTTTGCTTCTCACCACCGGGCGGATGCTGGTTGACAGCCATGACAAGCTTGTACAACCACCTTCCATTCTAGCCTCGCCTAAAAGTCGTCACCGCGGGGTTCCCTTTTTACCCAATCCGGGTCATCCTAGTAACGCCACACCTTCATTGAGCAAGCTAGAATCCCTTCCCGTCGAGATAGTTGATCAGATACTGTCTTATCTCATCTACCCTCGCTGCCGCTTGCCAGGTCTCACCGAGGCTCAGAGCCGATACGACGTTTCGGAACAACAGAAGCGGAGCATCAAGAATCAAGAAGATCTTACCCAGACAGCGGACAGCCATCGTTGGGCTGCCGACATTTTTTCACTGCACTTACTCTCGCATCCCTTCAATTCTCTCTCGCTCACGTCCAGGCGGTGCAATGAGTTCGTCGAAGGGTACTGCTCACATCTCGTGCGGCAATGCAACATGTTCAATCTACCATTCGCCCAGCTGGACATGTATGGCATTGTCTACCCAGATCTAAGTCATATCGTATATCGAAGACTGTGGCTGCAGCGTGCTCCGCGGAGATGTATCTACTGCTCCGCAGTGTTAGACAATTATCCCTTTCCACTGGTCAAACGTGTCATCACGGCTTGTGAAGGGTGCTTCTATCGTCAGACCTTGGTTAGTAACATTCATTCTTAGTTTCTGCTGTCTAAACACATGAGCTGACGAAGAACATCAGACAGTAGACGAAGTACAGATGCAATACCACATCTCCACTGCTACTGTTCTCTCCTCTCGAGACATCAGAGGCAACCATGGTTCAGTGTGGGTCTTACGTGTCGATGTGGAAGAGTTGGCCCTGCAACTTTACCGTACTCGAGAATTTCACAATGCTCGTAAGGAGCAGTTCGGTAAGCCGTGCTCTCTCTGTGCCATCACCAGATTCAGACCAGAGCATCACATTGGCAAGCCACGGCCAGCCCAAAAGGCCGCAGTTCGCTTGATTGCGAAGAAGCGCTCCACGAAGCGCCCAACTCGATCTTGAATTTTGATTTTCAGTTCGGGTTTGTCAGTTTCTCTGCTTACGTTTCCACTTCTTTGTTGATTCTGCATTGTGACCAAGCGAAGGGTCTAATAGGGCGGTGCTGGGTACATAGGGTTCGCACACATAGCTATATTCCGTCAAAACATACATTGCTGCTTCTCCGGTACATATCAAAGAATGACTTCTAGAGAGGTTTGCATACGGCGTGTGCAGGACCGCAGAATGGAGTTCACATGTTAGCGCGTTGGGGTATGCGTCATAGGGCTGAACAACGCGTTCCCTTGCCGAAAGCCCACGCGACAAAAGTTCGGTCCGCATTCTTCGCGCGACTCCAACCTACTGCCAGTCGCACCTGCGCCGAACCCACACCTGCTCTCGTCATACATCGCGCAAGATGCTCGATCTACATCGTGCCGATGCTGCGCCCGACACGAAAATATACTTCTCCCACAGCCTCCTCCCATCTTACATCGACCCGCAAAATGTCTCTACGAAAAAGAAGCCCTTCTCAGCCTTCAACAAGCAGAAATACAGCCATACCGTAGACCTTGTCCTCCCCGAAGAAATATACGAGCTCGTTAAAAATGAGCTGGGCCGCCCCGATGGCCCCGCTAGAACGCAGTATGCTCGGGTTCACATGAAGCTTGGGGAAATCCTCGAGACGGAATTCCTAGACACGTACATCAAGCAGGGGAACATTATGATGCTCAGCGAAGGCCGGCAACTCATTGACGACCGGTTCGAACTATACGAAGGCACTCTGCGTATGGAGCTCACGCGTCCGACGTACGAACGATGCGGCCTACAGGGCATCCCGATCGAAGACGGCGGCAAGAAGCACCAGAAGCAGCGGTGGGTAGTGGAATACGATCTGCGCGCTAGTTCGATGAAGCATGGGAAAAAGGGATTTTCAAGACTGGAGTGGGCGTGCAAGAATGTCCTGGATCGGTCGCTCACCTGGCTCTTCTACAACTTCAATCCTTCTTCTGCTGAGTCGCTTGCTGAGGGTAAGGAACCGATATCAAGACACGCGCCTTGGCTACACAACATGGCACCCGAGGAGACAAGCATGGACAACGTTCTTGTGCCGCAGCTCCCCGTCAGCGACCTCACGAAGCTACATGCTGAAGAAGAAGAGGCGCTCGATCTCCTCGAGTACCTCCACATGCTCCAGCTGAAATCTCCTAGGGTGGAAAAGGGTGACGATATCAACCCGCATCTGGCACGTTACGACGTTCCAGATCTAGGCAAAGGTGTCACTACCAGGAACTTGGTCACAGTGCGATGGAGAGGCTTCATGTCGCCGACGTTTGTGCGCAACCTCTTCCTTACGGTTAGAAAAGAAGGCTCCAAATGTAGGAAGAAGCTCAATGGTACACAAGACACAGACGTGAATATGGAAGGCAACAGCATGGTCAAGGATGAAGAGGTGGGGTGGTTTGTTATGAGCGCTCAAGCTTTTGGAGGCAAGAATGCCTGGACAGTGATGCAGTTTGTAGGGCGCGAGACGCTTGTCTGGGAGACGGAGAACTGAGTTGTGTTGGACGACAGAACACAACTTCGTCCAAGTGCAAATCACCGTACTTCTCACACGGCACTCCCTATCTTCAATCGAAGAACATGCGCCCAATGCCCATCTGCGGACCCCTCATTCGGGAGAAAGAGCCTCATTCCGAGCACAAGCGTTAGGTTTACACTCTCCGGAACAGCGTTCTCGCCGAGAGATCCTTGGCATATATGTACCACCACATTGCAGCTGCCACGCAGTAGATCTACATGGTCGTGCTTCCGAGGACGTGTCTGGGACTCTGCATTATGCAGTCCTCGTAGACATAAGGCACGAGACACGAGACGATCTTCATACTCATTCTTGGTGGCCTCGGATGCAGGGTGTAAGGTGACAAGATGTACGATGTCACGTACATGAGATCTTGTCACTTGCTTACGCGGTGAGCATCGTCACTATCGGTGTGCTTTGACTCGTGGTCGCATGCCTTATGCACCAAGTATGTGAATCTCGTCAGTATGCTTTGATGGCTGCACAATCCGTGAAGAGGTTCAGGACAGCTGCCAGAGCACTACGTTGTTTGACAACAATTTAAACACTTGACTTACATCAAGCAAGCACTTTCTCGACGCGATGTATCAATCAAGTCTTCTTTAGCTATGGTATACGACCGCTCTCTGCACATTGTGATTAGCCATTCGGCAGTCTCTTGCAGTAACTACAATTTGTCGTCTTGGTTCTTTACATTGCTATACCCACTTGCCAGACGTCATCTATTTTAAGCGCACCTAAGCCGCCTTACATCAATATGTAGATGTCTCCTCGGAAAAGCTTTTCAACATGTGACAGCCAACTACGACACCTAATCTCAAATCTTCGCAATAGATGGAACGCTTGAGGTCATCGCTACCACAGATTTCCTGGCATGCTAACTTTAGCATCGATTTCCGTGTTCATGCAGGTAGCCGTGCGAATCGCAATAAAGTTTTGAGATAGAGAAGTCCCAAGACCGGCTGTTGTTTAGAGTTCTTCACTACTCGACAGCCAAGGCTTGGTTCAATAGTCGCCTCGGCGCAACCTTCGGTGCGCGGGATGCCGAACTCAAATGTGGGATATCGAGCGTTTCGAACGTTGAGGCTCCTTATTGCTTTTTGCTCGAACACCGCTGCTCGAGCTTGCGGAGTGGCAACCAAGACGCGTTTCTGGGTCGGTACCAAACACGATGTCACGTTGGCATGTATTGTGACAGGACCCTGCATCTGCTTGATATTCTTATCTCGCTATTGTATTAGGCTTTGGGTTCGAGGTTTGTTTGGCAGACAGATGTGCTATGCTTGTCTCGCACGACAATATGACGCTTCCTACTGGACGTGATCTATGCAGATCTTCTAGTTGCCAAATCCAGGATTCTGAAGGTGACACTACCTCGTCGTACGATCGCATTGCCGCACGTACTGTATGAGCACCTCTGCAATGCTAGTGCGGCTGTACTTTGCAAGTCAGACATGGAAGCAAATCCAAAAACCGCGGGGCTTTCATAGACCTTGACAATCTAGACATGATTGCGGTTCCATGTTAGGCCACCATGAAAGTTGATACTGAGGCCGCAATTCGGAGTCCATCTCGGGGCTTATCCCCAAATGGCTGCAATCCTGTATGCTTTGGCTGACATGACCCTCATTTCGATGAGGTAGAGTGGAGTATTCGCTATTCGACACGAGAGCCCATATTCCAGTTCAGATTCAGGAGGCAGCGGTCAGCGTGGTACGACTTCGGGGCAATGGTACCGATCACAAAGAATTGTGGCTGTACGAAAAGGATGAACTACACGAGCAAAGAGTCAGCGTCTTCAGTCCAGCATGCTGCCTGGACTCTCATGCTCGTGATCAAAGGGCTTGACGCGGCGTGTTGGAGCAGGCTTCCTCGTGTAGATATGCAGCCAAGTAAGCCTAACCTTCGAGTGGCTGATGACTGAGCTGGGATCGAGTACCTGTCCTGAGTCAGACGCTTAGCAGTCTGCTATTGCTGCAGACTTCAGTCAGCATTGCCTTGCAGATATTGATTTCGAAGGGCCTGAAATACCAAGCAGACGAATAGGAGCGCTTAGAATTGTGATCGAGCGAATTCAACCTTGACATGTACATCTCAGAATTTTCAAGCGCTCAACGAGGGTTCCTTGACTGCCAACTCCACGTACCCACAGCATCGTTGTCCACTCCACGCCTCTGCTTACACTTGGATCGTGATCCGCATTGTATCCCTGATGAGGTAAGGCTGTCAAAAGATGTCACGCACGTACGAGCTTCTATACTCCACATTATGGACTGTTTCTTCATCTCCACGCTCACCGGCTCGGAACTTTTCGGCCAAAGTCTTGGCTACCGTGCTTGGAGACCTAATGTTCGCGGAGCTTCCGCCGAATCAGAACAGCGGTTTAGGTAATCGAGTCCACTTCATGAGCAGAGAGCTGTTTTGTTTTTCGAAGCCATACAGTAGAGGTTTTGTTGCTGTATCATTTGTCACTCGACGTCTGCGAAAAACAACTCTGAAGGCAAAAAGCTTGGTACGTTGAGTAAGCCAGCTAGTTGTTCGCCTGGGGTTCAAGAAGCACTTCGTCTGTTTCCAAGACGGGAAAAGGAAAGCGAAAACACGGTGCCAGGCCACCCGTTGAATGCTTAGCTGCTCGCATGAGAAAAACCAATGACCATGCGACGCTGCAAATACCAAGGCGGTAGTTGGCTACCGTACTCGTGTCGTTTTCGTTCCGATCCGCACCGCTAGTGATTAAGGCCGGCTAAAAATACGCCTCGAGCTTGTGCTCAGGTGAACTGAGAATCCACTGCTCCACCACGCTACGAAATGCGATCGCAAACTTTCAGCTGCTATGTGGGCTTTCGTCTGGCAGAAAGTGCGGGGCGCCTAAGCAACCACCACTCACTTGCGATCAAAGGTAAGCGACTGCATCCAGTTTCGAGGCTGCGTCGGACGATAGGAGGTAAAGTGAACATGCTGTTGGGAGATGCAGGATCCATGCACGCGCAGGAACTTGTTTATTTGGTAGCGAAAGAAAGAAAATAGCTGCTACGACCCCAAAGCCAGTTTAAGCTTTTTAGCCCTTCTCGGGGATAATACGAAAAGTACTGTGACATCGCCATCAGCCCTGACTCACGACGCGAGGTAGAGTGCTCAGACTCCTGTTGGCCGCCTAGAGGGCTAAGGGCCTCTGAGACATACCTAGGTATGGTCGCGGGGCTTACTCTTCTGGGTCTAGAGTACGGAATTATGTCATCTGTGTGGCTTACGCCACATTGTCCATGTTGGTCGCGGAGATGTGCGACGACGGGGAAGCAGGAACTCGGTGCGTGCGCTGTCTTGTCGATGAGCAGTCAGACGGCACGCACTTGCCGTGCCTCCTCCATCGCCATCCATCTCTCATGATGATTCTTCTGGGCCGTTCTCCATGGAGGCTTCAAATTCTTTGACGATGACACGCACATAGGTTCCAAGCGTTCGGACGTCGGAGAGGAGATCCATACCCTGGAGCGATCACACTAGCTTGCATCCCCCACCAAGCTATCAATTAGGTAGACCCACATGATTCGATCTTTGCCACGATACTGCGCGAAAGTGTCTACGCTACGACCTGGAGAGCTGCACGACCCTTGTGTTCCCACTCTCGGGGCTATTGATGTGGCAGAATGCCGGGACTTTGGTTCGTGTCACGTCAGGAGAGGAGGCTGCGCTTGCAATGCTTGCAATGTGCAGGCAGCAGGTAAGCCAGCCATGAACAGGGGTTGACAGCATTGGTTTGTGGGCGTGAGTGTCAGCATGTTAGCGCCGATACCAGGGCGTAAAGGCGGTTGCCGTGGCGTATCAACGGATAAGTTTACTTGAACTTCTTCCACGTTGGTATCCGAGTTCGGTCGTTGCTTGCATGTCGGGGCAGGGTTCTGGAGATGGCGATGATGCATACCGTGTGTGACGTGTTGACAGCTCGAGCAATGCAGGTGGGATGACGATGCAAGGCGGCTGTAGGTAGGCGGCAGTGTCAGTATCACAGAGGCACGACAGATGCAACAGACACATGGCTTGGACATTTTGGTAGAGAAAGAGTCATGAATTCGTCTAACCGGTGCTATGCACATCAGTTGTGATACATGCTATGCGCGCTCGAACAACAGCAAATATAAATCAAATAATTAAAGGCCCGAATCTAACACAGACCATGATTCACTAGAACCGCCAGAAATGACCACCGTGCTTCCTGCAGGCACTCACTGCCGCCGTAGGAGTTACCGTTGTTGTCTTAGTAAATGTGCCGCCGAAAGTGATGACCTTGGTTGTGGTGGCAAAGGCTAGCCTGAACTTGGTTTTTGTCGGAGTTGGCAGCGTAGTGGTCAAAGTCAGAAGGCCGGAGAGAACAGTGGGAGGAGGAAGCGTTGTCGTAGCAGAGGCTGTGAGCAGAACGGTCTCGGTTGTGGTAATAGCTGGCGCAGTCATAGTAGCGACTACTGAGACTGGAGTTCCGTAAGTGACAGTTGTCGTGGGAGCGTCAGGAGCACGGCGATCAAGCTTTCCAGCCTGCTCAGCGCGCCTTTGCTTTGCGGCCTCAATGCGAGCACGCGCCCATTCGTAGTCGACTTCGCGATCGCCCTTGCGGAACAAGCGGTTGTAGTTGGGCATGTGAGTTGGTGTCTCGAGGGCCGCAGGGTGGATCTTGGTGGGAGAGTACGTGCAAGGCTTGTCAGGCCGACCAACATGAGCTGGAGTGGTGCAGGTGGCTGTGACAGTCTTGGTAGTGACACCAACTTGTTTGGTCCAGGAGACCTTAGTGCGGGTCATAGTTTTCGTAGATGTCGTGGTGACTGCCTTGGGCCTCACTGTCTTGATCTTCTTGGCCGTGCCACTGGGTACGGTAACAGTCGAGGTTGGTCCAGCAGTGACAACGTCAGTCGAGGTGGTAATAATAGTTTGAGTCATTGTAGGTGTCTCAGTCATGGACGCAGTCACTGTTGGGGTATATGTGGTAGTGACCGCTGTACCGACGGTCAAGTACAAATCTGGATCGGTCAGTAAGCGTACCATGCGGATCGGGGGATATGCGAAGACGTACCTCTTTGCCACGCGAAAGGCTGGCCATTCTTGCCATCGGCATTGTAACCGTTGTTTCCCATAACGAGAAGGAGCCAATGTCCTGAAACCATCTGGTCCTTCTGGATAGGACATTTCGAGATTTCATTCGTATTGTCAGGGGTTGTAGGGATTTGGTCGCATATGAATTCCGTCTCTCCAGGTGCATCCTCAGGTGCGATGAGCATGACATCGGCCTCACCATCTTTGTTGCAACCTTGGAAGTAAGAGACAGCACTAAAGTCTTCGGTCGATGTTGCATTAATGAAGTAGCTTCCTTCATCGATAAAGTCAACACCATATGAGTAACAGATGGGGCCATCGCTAGGAACGTCGAATTGGGGAGCAGCGTTAACGAAGGTGATGGAGGCGGCAGCCACCGTGAAGAGTACAGAACGAGAGTACATCATGATGGTTACTCAAGCAAATGACTGAAGGTGCAGGTATGATACGCTGGATGTGATATGCAGAGTCAGTGGGCCATGACTTCTTTTGTACCTTGTATGATGATTGAGCTGAGCAGGTTCTTCAAACAATACGGCTTATCTTTTGCGCATACGAACTATGCTCCGACCGCCGAGTAAGCCGGCTTGAATCGAAGATGCAATGAAAATAGTCCAATGAAAATAGTCATGGCAAGTGCTTGATCTAACACTGTCAACACGGAAGCTTGGAAGCGAGCTTGTGACAGACTGGAACATGTGGGCGGGGCAGGCGGTCAGCATGTCGTAAAGACAGTAAAGCAGTGTTCTGCGCCTCATCAGTACCTAGCCCTCGTAAGGCGTCACATCGCTTTGCAGAAGGAAGAAAAGTGGTGCCAAGTGGAGGCAAAGGCATGCGGCCGCTATGGAAGCCACTCGGAGCCTAGTGCCAGCCCGTGCTTGGGTTAGCGCCCATACCCCTGAACCGATCTTAGTGTTCACGTCACTTCACTCGGCCCCAACGTCCGCATATTCTTGCAGCATCCTGCCCGGTCAGTAGAGTTATTCATAGCGATGATAGGCTCGTCAATCGCTTGTCAGCCCGTCCCGCTGTTTCCAGCGCGTTTCCACGAGCTGCGCATGCCGATCCAAGCGTTTGTCAACCAAACTATCACCTCCGCGCTCGTGTCTATTCGTGGGCGCTCACCCCTCTACTGAGATAGTCGCATTCATGTGTGTATCTCAAGCTTTTCTAGCGGCCGGCTTGTCGGCCGTTTACTCGGATGTATGATTTGATCGCCCGAGTCTATCAAGTAAGTTTACAGGTCGGAAGGCCATCCCTGGGCCCGGAGGTCGAGCTACACAGTATGCATGAGAGGCATATCATACCACCTTGCAGGAGGCAAGGGATAACAAGGCCAGACCGACTAGACAATTGTAATGGACCCCATCAAGCTGACGATGGTTCCGATAAGCCCGTGTCTGATCGGGTCCGTACAAGCCACAGCAGGGAAACTGAATATCCACATCTGATGCTCAACGTCAGCAAGGAAATGGAAAGGATATCGCTGCTTCTAAGCTTCTGTCAGCCTGACTCTGATCCCGGATTTTGATGCCATCTTCGAAGAACCAGTGGATCGGAATACGGCTGGTCCATGTGCCTTCGGTTAGCCCTTGCATCTGCCGTATGAAGTTATTCTGGTAACAGAATTAACACTCCATTGGGTCCGCTTGGGTAGTTAGCTTACCTCGGTACCAAATGAGATGGGCTTATTCCCATCTTCCATTTGCGTGGGTCAAGCCACATGGTCCGCACAAGCAATATGCGTTCTCCGTGCTTTTATCACTTCGCAAACAGATTCTGCATCAGGACTAAGACACGCCTTACACTGGCCCATACGCCTCAATCCGACTATACAGTGCGGATTCTTGTCCCCGATAAGCACACGGTAGCTTGGAGTAGCGGCAGTGACGCTGTGGAGTACCGGATCTGCATTTCAATAGATCTTGCATCCGACCAGGGTCTACCATTTTACGCGAGTCTCTAGGATCCTTTACCTCAGAAGGATGTGCAACACGAGTAGGGCCGCTTATCACTCACCGTTCCTAGTAAGTTTGAACTGCCACTGAATTAGCGCTGGCCTGGTCCCTACACACCGGAAGCCTAATGCGGAGTTATATCCGTGCACCGTCTCATGTCTTGGCTTCATCGACTTCGCCTGACAGTCACTCAGTCGCCGATATGCTCGTAATTGATCCACTACCATTGCTGGGCCTCAGCCCATCGGTCTTTGTTTCTACCGACCTCATACATCTGCCTAAACGGCGTTAACGATTAGCTTCAAACGATCGTGATCTTGCAAGTTTCTCCTCGTGTGATAGTACGAAGGAGCATTGCTAGGGCGCCTCCACGTCGATCTGACCACCTGGACCACGCGGGTCCAACTGACATGCAGCAATAAGCGAGAAAAAGTCGGTGTCACGGCTAGAAGGGCTGGCTGACTTCGCCCTGGGCAGTACCCATGGCTAAGCACGCACTGCCGCCACCGTCAATGACTTGTACCTGGGGTGTCTATGGGACGAACTTCATATATAATGGGACCTGTACTCTGGTCAGCCCCTGCCTTGCATTGATTAACTTCAGGGCCCATCCATCGTTCATTGGCCTGGTCAGCATCTCTTCATATATACCGACCACAGTTCCGTTCTTTCCTCGCATTCATATATTGCATTTTATACCACCATGTTGGTTCTTTCATTAGCCGTGTGGCTCTCCTTTGGATCGCTTGCACTCGCTGGTCCACTACGGGCCGAACCGCTCTCAGATGACTTTCCTTCGTATGAACAGATTGTCAAGAGGCAAGACGGTGCTTGCACAAACACAGCACGCACACGAAGCTGCTGGAGCGATGGCTACAGCATTGCCACCGACTTCGATGCTAAGGCCCCTCCGGCCGGAAACACTGTGACAGTAGGTATTTTGCTACATTGCTACCTAGACGCCTGCTAATTACTTCACAGTACAATTTCGAGATTACCAATGTTACCCAGGCCAACCCAGATGGCAGTGGCACCTCGAAAGAGATGATGTTGGTTAACGGCCAATATCCCGGTCCCACTCTACGAGCAAAGTGGGGTGATACTGTAATCATCAATGTTAAGAACAGCCTCGCGCACAACGGAACCGGTATCCACTGGCACGGTCTTAGGCAACTGAACACTTGCCAGAACGACGGAGTTCCTGGAATCACCGAGTGCCCAATTGCACCCGGAAAGACCCGACAGTACAAATGGAGGGCCACTCAGTTTGGCACATCTTGGTACCACTCTCATTTCTCGGCTCAATACGGCGATGGTGTCGTTGGTCCTATCATCATCGATGGTCCTGCCACTGCCAACTACGATGTTGACCTTGGTGCCCTGCCTATAACCGATTGGTACTACAGGCCAGCTTTTACACTCAACGAGATTGCACAGCATTCTACGCGTGGACCTCCCACGCCTGACAATCTCTTGGTCAACGGTACCCATATTAACGCGGCCAACGACAACGGACAGTATGCCAGGATGAACGTAGTCAAGGGAAAGAAATACCGCATCCGCCTCATCAACACAGCTGTAGATAGCACTTTCAGTGTGTCCATGGACGGTCATCCTTTCACCGTCTTGACATCCGACTTTGTGCCTATCAAGCCCTACGTTACCGACCAATTGACCCTGCAGATCGGTCAACGGTACGACGTAGTCATCACTGCCAACCAAACTGTTGACAACTACTGGTTCCGTGTTGCCGTCGGATCATGTGGTAGCAATGCCATGACCACGTCTGGCAAGACACTAGGTGCTATCCTCCACTACGACGGCGCAGCCACAACCGGCAACCCCAAGTCTACCACCACAGTCACCATGCGTACGTCGTGCGACGATGAGCTCTCCAGCAACCTTGTTCCCTTTGTTCCCAACACTGTGCCCAGCACCGTCATGGGAGACGTCCAGGGCCACAAGATGGCGATAGATTCCTTTGCCGACCCCGCCAAGAACAACCTCTTCCGCTGGCTCATTGACGGCACACCGCACATTGTAGACTGGAATGATCCCTCTCTCGAGACTGCTCTCGCCGGATCCAAAGACTTTGGTCCAAACGGCAATGTCTACACCATGGACGGATCTGGCTGGTACATGTGGTGGATCCAATCCACTTCCAAGATCGCACTTCCCCATCCCATCCATCTCCACGGCCACGACTACTATATTGTTGGCCGCGGCTCTGGTACTTGGGACGGTTCCACCAACGGTCTCAACTTCAACAACCCTACGCGTCGTGACACTGCTGTGCTGCCGGCTGGTGGTTACATGCTTATTGCTTTCCCCGCTGATAACCCCGGCATGTGGATTATGCATTGCCATATCGCGTGGCACGCTAGTCAGGGTCTCAGTCTGCAGTTCATGGAGCGCATGGGTGAGATCAAGGGCAAGTTGGGCGATACCAGCATACTCAAGAATGGATGCGACGAGTGGGACTCTTACTGGGCAGAGGGATCAGCTCCCGATGCCGATAGGCCGTACAACCAGACTGACTCTGGTATCTAAGATGCGTTTGAGATGAAGCGTTATGATTTCCTTGATGATTAGAGCTTGGCGTTTCCTGGTTGGGCTGTAAGAAATATTTCCGCTTCAGTGGCAAGCTCGGGTTGGTCTTTACATTCGACTTCTTCGTAAATATTACAATGCACAATATTTCAAATTACAATCGCTTTGACTTCATTGATGCGGTGGGTGACCATAATTGTGACGGATTGAGCTTCGTGGAAGTATATTCAAGCTTAGAGCTCATCCTTGTTCTCATTCTTGTCCTCATCTTTTCCCTCGTGCGCCGTCGCCTTTGTTCGTGCTTGATCAATAAGGCCCCTCCGTACCATGCTCGTGAGCACCTCGTAAGCGACTTGTGCGGCTGCCATTCCTGTGGTTTCTGCTGAACCATCGTATGCTGGGCTGACTTCAACTATGTCGGCACCAATTACGTTCATGCCTTCAATACCTCGCAGAATGCGAATGAGTTCACGCGTAGTCCAACCACCCGGTTCTGGCGTCCCGGTGCCTGGTGCTAGCCCAGGGTCGATCACATCGATATCGATACTTAGGTAGACTGGCATCTCGGTCCCCACGCGATTCATGATCGAAGTGATCACTCCCTTGACTCCGATCTCATCGATGTCATCTGTTGCAATGCGAATCCAGCCTTGCTGTGAGTCGTCGGTATAGTCCTCTGGCTCGTCACCCGAAAGCCTTGTCCTTAGTCCTGCATGTACACTCGAGTCGTTTGCAATCAGGCCCTCTGTTGATGCGATCCAGAACATACTGCCGTGGTTGAAGAAAGACTGGGTAGAGGGGTCTTCTTGGTCGATCCAAGCAGATGGGTATTTCGCGGGGTGCCATGTGTCCCTAATGATTGGTTTTCAAAGTCAGCATATATTTCATACACACTTAGGGTGGGAAAACGCTTACAGGTGAGCGTCAAAGTGTACTACGGCAATTGGCTGCCCATACACGTCCTTGAGAGCCCTCAGGGCTGGGAGTGCGATGCTGTGATCCCCACCCAACGTGAGCAGTTTCGGCTTCTTAAGATATTGCACACCGCTCTCTGTGCTCTTCTCGGTCGCAGGCCTTCTTCCAAGCTCAAGAAAAGCCTCACTCATCTGTTTCAATGCCAGAGTATTGTCGAAAGGTGTGATTGGTATATCTCCACAGTCTACAATCTTGGCCCATGACGTGTAGGGGTTCAAGTTCGCGCGGGGATTGAAACCACGGAAGGATGTCTGACGGCTTGAACCTGCGCGGATTGCACGTGGTCCAAATCGAGCTCCAGGTCGGTAAGACACGGCGGTATCGAAGGGAGCACCAAGGATGGCGATATCGTATGTCGTCTCTGGGTGCGTCAAGCAGCGCGTGTGCGGTAGGTGGGCGAAGGTCGAGATACCAGAGAACCCCCACTGAGAGCACTTGTGAGCCGAATCCGAACGCTGGTGAAGAAGCAACTTACATCTGTACCCCATTTCCTCTCCAGCTCATCTAAGCGTTCCTGGGAGAAAGCTTGTTCGTCGACATGATGAGTTGCATGTGAAGAGACGCAAGCTGCACTTGCAGCAACGGCTATCCAATTCCACCGCATGATGTCTGTGTAGCACAATCGCAAAGATTGTAGCAAAGGACCATCGGACTGATGTACATGTGGGCTGGCGTGTAGGGCGGACAATTATGTAAACCGCGTCTTATCGTGCGTCGATGTCATTCCGATCCCGCAGCCGGCGTGTTGCGGGGCATCCCAGAAAGGCAGGTCCATCCTCGTGTATCTGGGGACGATGGCACTCAGTCGAAATTGCGCTTCAGAAGCTAAGAAGAACCACGTCCATGGTGGTTGATAGCATCGAAAAGATCCGACAAGGGATGAGGCGGAGAATGAGTGGTGACGTAGCGGGCTTATCCCGTGAGAGCGCGTCTCGCGCTAAGCCTTTGACGCGACACTCAGGGTACTCTCCAGCTCAGCTCAACTCACGACCGCAGTTCCATCGAGTGACGTATTGCCCATCATATCCGAGCTTCTTCATCTTTGCAGTGCATACTCGCGAAACTATACGACAGAGTTTATTCAAGCGTCGACGCCATGCCCGAGGTCAGGACGCGTACCAGTCGCACGCACATGATGGCTGCTGATATCAAGTAGATCGCAGAAGTTGCGCGCGTTGTTAGCTTCTTGAAGAAACATGCAGTCGGAAAAACTATCGAGGCCGTCAAGGCACAGGAGGATAACGTGCGTTTTTCACATCTGGCTAGAGAAGCTCGACTCACAGTATTCAGATCATCTTTGGAAAGGTCGGCACTTCAGCGACCGCATTCAAGGAGGCCATGACCGGCAAGAAGATAGTTGATGCGCGCCAGCAAGGAAAATACTTTTGGCTGGTCATGGACTCGCCGCCACATCCTTTGATGCACCTTGGAATGGCCGGCTGGATGAAAGTATGTATCACGTTTCTCATTCATTGCACCCAAACTGACAACTTGAAAGTTCAGCAACGATGAATCAGCATACTATCGCCCAACAAAGCCCGAAGAAGCAGAATGGCCACCAAAGTACTGGAAGTTCATCTTGCAATTGAAAGACTCCAAAAACGAAGTCGCGTTGGTGGATGCAAGGCGACTTGCTCGTGTCAGATTAGTCGATGCTGCTGCCGAAGATATGAGGAAGACTACACCACTAAAAGAGAACGGGCCGGATCCTGTCATCGACAAAGACATTTTGACAGTGGATTGGCTGAGTAAGAAATTACGGAGCAAGAAGGTGCCTGTGAAAGCATTGCTTCTTGAGTAAGCATAGACGGATCAATTGTTGTACAGGTTAACTAACGATCGAAAGTCAAGCGAACATCTCGGGTATAGGAAACTGGGTTGGGTAAGTCAAAAACCGTTGAGAGCTACGTATCAAGTTCGCTAATCCTTACAGTGACGAGGTCATGTACCAGGCTCGTCTACATCCGGAGCAATACAGCAACACCTTTAGCGACGAGCAGATAAAACGGCTGCACGATGCTATCATGTACGTCTGCGATACCGCGGTAGAGGCCAACGGGGACTCAGATGCCTTTCCCAAAGACTGGTTGATGAAGCACAGGTGGGGCAAAGGCAAAAAGGAAGCACAGAAGCTCCCCACTGGAGAGAAGATTACGTTCCTCAAGGTTGGTGGGCGAACTTCGGCTATCGTACCAAGTGTCCAGAAGAAGACAGCAGCTGTTGCTGGTGACGTATCTGAAAGCGCAGGTGAAGAGGATGCAGAAGAGGAGGCGAAGCCTAAAAAGGGCGGCAAGAGGAAGGCAGAGCCTGTGGAGGGGGAAGACGACGAACCCGAGGAGGCACCAGGCAAGCCAAAGCGAGGGCGCAAGAGTGCGAAGGAGCAAGTCAAGGAAGAGATTAAGGAAGAATCGTCCAACGAAGCAGAAGAGGTCCCAGCCAAGGCCAAGCGAGGACGCAAGAATGCCAAAGAGGAGGCGAAAGATAAGACTGTCGATGCTACGAAGGAGAAGCTACCAGCAAGAACGAAGCCTAGCAGCAAGAAGGCAAAAGCAGATGTCAAAGAGGTCGACGAGGCAGTCGATGAGGAAGCAGCTGATGTAGCGGAGGACACGCAGCCAACGAAGAAACGCAAGACTGCTACGAACGGCACCGCAAAGAAGACCAAGGCTACCGCTAAAGAAGTGACCAAAGGCGAGGAGACGAGTGAAAAGCGGCGATCTGGACGTCTGTCAAAGTAAAGTGTGGGTGGAAAAGTGTCTACATAGTTTCCATAGCTGTATTGTGTGTTTTCAGAATATGTCTCAGCGAAGATGATTTGACGACTTGATGCAGGCGGGGTGTAGAGATGGGCACGTGCATGACGAGTTGGAGGTGCGGGCTAGCACTCGGACATTGAATTTCAGAGCTCCCCACACACGACGTAGTGCCACATCCACCACCAGCCACCAGTACTACGGCTGCTCATCCAACAATCATTGTCGCGATGATATACTGCACCCAATAAATCATCCTTGCATCAACCTCAACCCCGCCCTCCACCACGTCCCAATTGCGTCAACTTGTCCATTCCGACCGGAAGTTGTGCGTAATCGGAACCTCGTCCACGCTTCGCGCCTTGCACACAGCCCACCGTCGCGATGCCGCAACCACTCCCCAGCAAGGAGCAGACGCTCTTCCGATCGCTCGTCAAATTCTACGAGGGCAAGCTTTACAAGAAGGGTAGGCGTCAATTGCAGGACAGGATACACGGCCGCTGACCCCGCCAGGCCTGAAAGCTGCCGAGCAGATCTTGAAGAAGCACCCCACACATGGCGACACCCAAGCGATGAAGGCCCTGATCCTCAACTCTCAGGGCCAGGGCGACGAAGCCTTCGCCCTCTGCAAGGAAGCCCTCCGCAATGACATGAAGTCGCACATTTGCTGGCACGTCTACGGTCTATTATGGCGGTCGGTCAAGAACTACCCAGAGGCAATCAAGTCCTACAAGATGGCCCTGCGCCTCGAACCGGGCTCGCTGAACATTCTCCGCGACCTCGCGCTTCTCCAGTGCCAAGTCCGCGACTACGAAGGATACATTGAGAGCCGGCGGAAGATGATGCAGGAGCGACCGCAACTGCGACAGAACTGGACGGCATTGGCAGTAGCTTACCATCTGTCAGGCAACTACGCCGAGGCCGAGAATATCCTCAAGACGTACGAGGAGACTCTCAAGCAGCCCCCGTCCAAGCTGGACCTCGAGCACTCCGAAGCGACCCTCTACAAGAACCAGATAATATACGAGTCCGGCGACGTCGAGCGTGCGCTGAAGCACCTGGACGAGGTGGTGCGTGTCAGTCTGGATCGCTGCGCCGCGCTGGAATTGAAGGCCAAGTACCTCCTAGAACTCGGACAGAAAGAGGAGGCTGAGAAGGCCTACAGGATTCTCCTGGGCAGGAACAGCGAGTACCGCGCGTACTTCGATGGCTTAGAAAAGTCCCTGGGGCTGGACCGATCCAACGATGCCGATATCGAGAAGCTGAACGAGCTGTACCAGTCTTTCGCTAGCAAGAACGAGCGCAACGATGCTGCGAGGCGGATACCCTTGGACTTCCTTCAGGGCGAGGCTTTCAAGACACAAGTAGACCAATATCTCAGGAGGATGCTGAACAAAGGCGTTCCCTCAACCTTCCCCAACATTAAGTCGCTGTACCAGGATGAGGAGAAGAAGGCAGTCATTGAGGAGCTTGTGCTCGGTTATGCTTCGGAAAAACAGACCAACGGCGAGACCAACGGCGACAACTCTGATCGTTTCGAGCAATCTGTGCTATACTTCCTGGCTCAGCATTACAACTACGTGCAAAGTCGCGACTTGAACAAGGCCATGGAGTACATAGACAAGCTACTTGAAAAGGATCCGAAATCGGTCGACTACAACCAGACAAAGGCCCGGATCTATAAGCACATGGGCGACGTTCAGAAAGCTTCGGAAACGATCAACCATGCGCGAGAGCTCGATGAGAGAGATCGATACATCAACACCAAGTGCGCCAAGTACCAGCTGCGAAACAACGAGAACGAGACAGCGCTGAACACTATGAGTAAATTCACTCGCAACGAGACTGTGGGAGGTCCTCTCGGCGATCTCCACGACATGCAGTGCATGTGGTACCTACTCGAAGATGGCGAGGCATACTTGCGACAAGAGAAATATGGCCTTGCTCTCAAGCGCTTCACAGCTATTGCCGATATCTTTGACATTTGGCATGAGGATCAATTCGACTTCCACAGCTTCTCGCTACGAAAGGGCCAGATTCGTGCTTACATCGATATGGTCAGATGGGAAGATCACCTTCGCGACCATCCTTTCTTCACTAGGGCAGCTACTCAAGCAGTCGAATTATACATACGTTTGGCAGACAACCCCAAGTTCGCGAATACAGACGAGCTTGATTTGGAGAAACTGGATCCTACAGAGCGCAAGAAAGCTGAAAAGAAGGCTAAGAAGGAACGCGAGAAGGCTGAGAAGGCTGAAGCCGAACGCAAGGCGGCAGCTGCAGCAAAAGCAACTGCCAAGGGTGACGATGGTGAGACTAAGAAGGAGGACCAAGATCCAAATGGCGAGAAGCTTCTTCAGACGAAGCAGCCTCTGGAGGACGCACTACGTTTCCTGCAGCCGATGCTCGAGCTAGCACCAAAGAACATCGAAGCTCAGAACGTAGGTTTCGAGGTTTACCTCCGACGAAGTAAGTTCTCTAAACTCACGAACTACTCGATCAGTATGCTAACAGCTATCTAGACAAGTTTCTGCTCGCGTTGAAATGTCTGCAGGCCGCACGAGAAATCGACCCGGAGAACCCCAAGCTGCACGAGCAGAGCGTTCGCTTCCGTCAGGCTCGTAAGTCAAATTCAAGATGCCCCTCCAGTCACACAGCTAACCCTACAGTCGCCAAACCTGCCGAGCCACTCTCATCTCAAGCCTCAGAGGTCATCAAGGACTCGTTCACCACACCGCCCGCGGATGCAGACCTTAAAGCTTACAACGACGACTTCCTTAAAAAGCATTCGCAGAGCGCATCCCATCTGCAGTCGGGATACAATGTCCGATACATCCTGGACAACAGCTCAAAATCTCAGAACGAGCAAGACCTACAGAAGACTCTCGACTTGTCGAGCATTACGATAGAAGAAGCCCAGTCTGGGCTTGCGTTGCTCAACCAGTGGGGGAGCGAACAGAAGGTCAAGGACGACTACAGGGCGAAGGCCGCAGGTCGTTGGAGCGATGCTACCGCGTTCAAGAACTAAGAGCGATCTTTTAGCTCAAGTGGAACGCTTCTTGGTTGCATAACTGTATATGTGGTTATGATTTACGCATTCCATCTGATTACACGTCTGGTAGATAACGCGTAGCATATGCATTTGCAAGGCGTCTGAACGCTACACAAAAGCAATGAATAGAAATCAGCAGACCACAACAATGGCAAACGTGAAGTCTAGATCTCCAAAGGATGATCAACAAGATGTCGAGGGTTGCGTCACACGTAGGAAGATCCGAAACGTAAAGGCTTCCGGATGTTCCATCAGCCAATCACAGGTCGCGCAGTACGAAAACTGCCATTCGTGGCTAGCTTCAGGTCCGGTGTGGGGAAGCCTCACAGCCGCACCTTACGAAACATTCAATCTCGAATTCTATGTCCTTTGTACGCTTCAACAGCGTTCCGTATATCGTGTCAGCGTTCGTACTGCCGTATAGACGACCTCAACGTGTCGTAACCTCATCGAGAGCCTTGGCCGCTAACTAAGCGATTACTCCCTACATCTTTTTACGCCACCGTATACACCGTATAGCTACCGGCTTCCGCAGCCGAAAGTCATGGCAACTAGACGATCACACAACAAGACAAGGTTGGGATGTAAGGAGTGTAAGCGGAGGCGTATAAAGGTTAGTAGTCTATACTAGTCTCCTCTTGCACCGTTATGCACACAGGGCGGATAACGCCGGCTTGATGCATCTAAACCACGTTACCTGCCCAGTACCACAAGGTAAACAAGGTACTTACCTAGAAGTCATTTCAATATCGACTGGCTTTGAGTTCTTTCGAGAGCTCTGAATCATGGCGCCCCAGAATCTAATAAAGACATGTTACGAGAGGCATCATGGGCTTTCAATGCCGTCATCTATGTGGGCTAGAGCAAAGACCTACCTGCAAAAAGACCAAGCACACATTGTTCCATCTCTCATAATACTAATTTGGGTTTCAGTGCGACTGTAAGCACCCATCGTGTGGGAATTGCGACAAGAAAGGCGACACATGCAGTTTTCTCATGCTGGCCCCTTCGTCGCGCCTCTCGACAACTTCGACATCACCCGCATCAACACAACAGCTCACCACATCACCATTTCCTACACCAAAGACACCCGAAACCCGAAACCCACCGGCGTATTCGCCGACCAACCTCATCGCATTCAGTAATGAAGTAGCCCTCGCAACGCAAACACCACGTCACACTGAGGTCTTTTTTGATGACTCGCCCCTAGACTTCTCCACCAGCTTAACGACGTCTCCTTCCCAACAGGGGTATTTTCCAGAGCTTACTATACCACCTTACCTCCGCTTAGACGATGCCTGGAAGGATGTTCGGGAGCTTCTTCCACCACCACTGCAAGAGGTCTTGTGTCACTACGAGTTCACGACTTCTCTCACTCTCGCAGGCGATGACCCTGCGAAGGCAGCATGGCAGACTTATGTCCCTGAAATGGCGCAAAATCACGACTTCTTAACCAACTGTGTACTCTCAGTCGCCTCTTTACACCTCGGTCGGCTTTACGATCGCAAAGAAGACAAGAAGAGGATGGAAACTTTGGCAGCAGCACGAATGAACAAAGCTTTAGTAAGGTATAGAACGGAGCTCGAGAATGTAACTCAGGAAAATGCCGCAGCACTGTTTGCAAGTTCGACTTTCACAGCCGTGTACCTCTTCCGCACTTCCGCGATAGATATCGAGAATTTACGAGCTTCAATATCGCCAGATACCGTTGTACCGCCACCCGAAATAGTAGACAAGATGTTGTCTTGCGCGCTAAGAACGATTTGGGGACTTCGAGGTCCCCTCACCGTTCTTCTGTCGGGCTGGAATTGGGTCGTAGGAAGTAAAATGCAACCAGTCACAGCACGAGAATGGTGGCCGAAAACCTCTGCGCCAGCGACTCCGCGCGCCCTTACAGAAGACCAACGTCTCGAAGCCATCGAAAAGCTGTGGATGGAAAGCGAAGCATCTTCAGAGCCGCACTGCGTCTACCTCTCCCAAGCCCTTCTATATCTTCGCCAAAGCTTCAATCTGATCAGTCAACTTACCTTACCCGAACGCTACCCGCCCATGACAGCAGTACCCTATTCTATCGACGATACCAACATCTCCACGCTCACAGACCGTGGTGCTATATTCGTCTGGGCAGCCCGCATACCCCGCGAGTTTATTGGTCTTATCGAGGCCAAAAATGCCCATGCCCTTGTCATACTAGCCCATTACGCTGTTTTGCCTGGACGAGTGAGAAACGTATGGTGGTTGGAGGGTTTGGGAGCCGATATCGTGACGGCGGTAGCAATGGCGTTGGGTCGCGAAAACTGGGCATTGATTGAATGGCCAGCTGGAGTTGTGGGTGTGGACCTGAACTGCGCGTTTGGTTTGGGAAAGAGGAGGGATGAGCTTGAGGGGACGCCTTCTGAGATGCATATGGATGTTATTTGAACGGAGTCCCTGGGCGGGTTTAGCTCTCTGGTATGAGAGCTTTTGTACATTATCGGCTAGCGAGTGGATATAAGAAAACGTAACGAACTTTTGGAGGATCTGCAAGATTGATCAAACCCGTCAACACTCAAGACTATTTTCCATCATATCCAGGCTTCGAAGCGTGCTACACTGGGTGGCCATCGTAGGTGACTTTAAGCAATGTACATACTACACAAATGTCCTGGTGGGAGTATTGTGTAATGTTATTTGACATTTGAGCACAACGCATGATTAGAATTCCTGGCCACCATAGTTAGAAGTATCAAACATCATGGAGGAAGATCAAGTTTTACATGGGAAGAAAAGAGGAGTAGACATTACTCACTTCAATGAAGGTTGCCACGGTACACAAGCGAGATGCGATGTACATCTGTATGCCTCTCGCTTCATATGCAAATAGAGCCCACTTGCAGAATATGGAACATATTCCGAGCAAGAGTTACTTAAACCAGCCCCAACTCATGTCCAGAGCAAGCGAGCAGGCAAGCCGAACATGTCCAAATTAACCCTCCCTCCTTTCAATACACGCCCTCAACCTTTCTCGCTCTACTTTTGCTGCCTTGCTGCGAAAGAAAACGCCCTGCGGTCCAACAAGCGCCTCGAACGATATTGCATACGATGCGGATGATCATGAAATCTCAAACATGTAGAACAAGCCCCTCGCCGTTCAGCCTGGAGCGTTGGCGTCGCGTTGAGGAAGTTGCCCTCCATCCATCCGCGACCATTGACAGCCAACCAAACAACCCGAGGTTCTCGTATTCAAGCAGGTAGTGGAAACAAAGGCCGCATATGCGGCCAACACAGGACAGTCCCAAAGCAAGCCCCCAACAGCACAGGTGTGATCGCAGAGTGGGCGTGATTGTGAAACCTGCTTCATCACGCCACAATGCATGATGTTGTCCGACACTGCACCCTGAAAGAGGGCAGACAGGCCGAAAGTTAATGAGGCGCTGGGCTATACGTGAAAAAGCATCTTTGCAATCACCGCATTAATGGCCAGGCCAGGCCCACGCTGTAATGGCGTTCGCTTCGAGCTGGTGTATGCGAAAGACGTGGGTGCCGTGGGGAATGACATGTTCTTCGTCTTCGCGAGACATGGCAGCGCAACGCAGGCTCATGGCCTGGAACGGTTGGGGACGGCTAAAATACCATACAACGATCTGGTTCGTTGAACGATCCCGGTCGGCGGCCCGGAGCTGTAACGTTTGACCGGTAGATCTGTGGCACAGTTCATTGAGCAATGCACTTCAGCTGCAACGTTCATTGGCTTCATAGCATCAGTCCCAAGATACAATTGGAAGGGCGGAATCGGGCGTTAGGCCCTGAGGGGTATATTATATGGCCGCTAAGGGTATACAGATGTTGGATATTAAGAACGCCGACTGCGCGTTGCTGATGAATTATGCCGTGGACACCAGCCTTCTAGAATTCGTTGCGGTGGGGGCATGGACAAATGCGATGAGGGGTTACGAATGCATCACGCACCGAAACCTAAACCACGGACGGTCTCATCATCTCCTAGTGCAAGTCGCACTTCATCTTCACCAACACCAAGCCTCACGCGGCCTACTCGCTCGCCATGTCGGGCCTCTACGCCTATAATGCCTGCCTCTGCTAGCTCAGTGGCTGCAAGTGCAAGACCGAGTGCTCTTGCTGCCTTGAGGTCCGATTGCTTCGAACTAAGGTTAGCAACAGTGTCTCTGTTCTTCGACGGCGTGGTAGACTGCGCTGCGCCGTTCATCATTTCGCTACTGCCGTCTTCAGGGGCGAGTATGTAATCGTGCACAGGCAGCAACTGACTCATGAGCCCCAACCGTTTGGCTTCATCGACAACGTCTCCCAGGATCGCTTCGCCAATGCCCGACCTGCGGATCCGTGCCAAGAGTGCCGCAAGGAATACCTTGGACGCCAACGGTAGAGCCCGTAGTGCTTGCTGCAGGGGACTACTCGTGGCCTCATTGATTGCCTGTTTGATCGTCGCCATAGTAACTATACCTTTCCGCCCCGCCCGATCTTTTGACCGACTATCCGGATCTCCGGTACCTTTAATTGACCGAGAATTTTGAGGCAGATTTCCTTTGTTACCCCGACCGGTCCTACTCGGGGTGGCTGGCTGCGCCTCATCGTCCCGGTCCTGCGATATCGTTTCCGTTTCGGCGATTTCTACGGCGCGTCTGCAAATGTCTAACGCGCGTCGCGCATCGCCGCTAACAGCTGCCACTTTGCGTGCAGCAAACTGAACGGCGTCAGGGTGTACAATGTTGCCGGGTACACCTTCAAGTCGGGACTGGATAATTTGCATTAACTGGTCATGTGTATAGCCTGGGAAGGTAATGCGTGTTAAGCCTAGAATATGCGTGTTAGCCCCTGCCTGTCAAATAACGGCCATACCAGGCGATACAAGTCGCACCGATACCATCAAATTGATACGCAGATCGTTCGAAAGCATCGGCGTCCCCGTTTGATATTGAAGCGTTTTGATGATGGAGATCGAAGTCTGCCAAACGCGTGGGGCGTTCCTGAAGGATCGCTATGCTAGCTGGGACATACCTAGGCGACTGCTGATCTTATTGCTCAACGTTCGTTCGGGCAGGTCCATGGTGTTCGCTACGGCGAGGACGATTAACCTGCTGTGCCGCAAGCCGGGCCAGTTGAAGAAGTTGTACATGACGGACTGATTCTTAGTAACGAGTTGGTCGAGCTCGTCCATCAGGACCACGCAAGGTACCCGCCGCGGACTAGGGGTGGAGAACTCCCGTTCTAACAACTCGAGTGCATGTGACGGGCTCACCCGATCGCCGCGCAATGCCTGCCATAGCAGCGAGTATGATTGGTGGGGGTCTGTGACCTTCATGCCATTGATCTCAACAAATATAAAATCGTCCAACTCTTCGGCTTGAACTGAGGCTTGAAGTTGGGCAACGACCTCGCGCACAGTTGCGGTCTTCCCTGTACCAGGCGTGCCCGAGATGTAGATGCAGGAGCCCGAGCCGTCCGTGATGGCCGCATCCAAATGGCTATAGACGGTAGAGAACTCCTCCTCTCGACAGGGGAGAGCGGCAGGTACCGAGGAGACATGGAGTTGGTTCCGCGCGATCTGGAATGGTGAGTTTAGGGCCGAAGGGTCGAGCACGCGTGTGCCAAGCGGTGTGAACTCCAACTGCTTCTTGATGACTATCCTCTTGTGTGTTGGAGTAAGGAACTTCCTAGCAGCCGGGCTCTTCCTGGTCGATGTGGGGGTGGTCGCTTCATTAATTTTCCGGCGCTTCCGTGGAGTCTTTGGTAAGTCATCATCGTCCGAGTCAGGGATCACGAACTGGTCCAAGTCGGGCTGCTGTTGTTGCTTCTTAGGACGACCGGCAGTTCTCCTAGTGGCTTTGGTCTGGGTCTCCACAAGATCGACTACTGTTGGGATGTCCTTGGCATCTTTGTAGACGTCTTCCCATTTGAATTCTGGTGTGTATGTGGTCGTGCGCGTATTGCAGCCCCGCCGGCAGACGAAGACCTTGCCGTAGTCTTTCGAGTTCTTCTTGACACCTGTCGGATACAACTCCTGAAATCGATCCAGGGAGAATACCTTGGCAGTGCCGTTGATCGAGGCTAAGGGGTTGTCGTCGAAGGCGGCGGATATGTAGAGTTCGTTCTGTCGAATGTCAGTGTGCATAACTCTGGAGCACGGCCGAGCGACTTACGGGAAGAAAGTCGGAACGCTTTTTGCTCTGGTTGCGGATCTCCTTTTCGGAGGAGAACCACAGGAACTTGGCCATTTTCTCGTCTTCGTCCGGGTCCTCGTGGAAGTCGCAGATGATGCCCACCCATGCCTGGTTGCCCTCTGCCTTGAGGAGCACGGCATCTCCCACTCTGCACTTGAAGCTGCCCATGCGCGCACCGACGATGCGTTTTCCTGGCGCCGTGGGCGCAGCCTTTCTCTTTCTTGGCGAGGCATTCTTCTCTGGCTGCGCATCGTCGATGGCATCCTCATCGTAGATCCATTCCCAGGGGTGGTCTTCGTAGCCAAGCTCGTCGTCCGAGTCTTCGCGGAACACTGCGCCGCCGGCGAGGTATTGTCGTGCCTTGTCGACGCGCGAGCGCTTGATGGGAGCCATGTCGGAGTCGTGGTTGTGGTCGCAATCGGGTTTTGTCGCTGACGTTGCCCGCGCGGGTCTGGAAGGCACGACGCGTCGCGACGGGCTTGGCGGAGCACGCGCGGAATGAGCTATGATCTCACCGCCCATGGCGCTTTCGTCGCGCGGTCACGACTTGCACATTACCATCACTGCACATTTCATGCACATCTCTCAATACATCGCATCACCTCTCAATCACCAACAAGTCAAGGATATTCGAGTAGATAACAATATTCATTGCTGTACGAGCCTAACACAGGCTCGCACTGGCACTGGGGCTACGTATCATGGCAAGCTTCGTCCCCAGTCATGACAAAACAATCTCAGTTAAGAGATGAGCAACGCCAAACACCAAGTTCCCGTGGTCAAGCGAGGGACCTTTGCTACAAATGAAAACGACCGATCGCTGAAATGCAAAACAAAAACTATAAACACAGAAGAGAGAGACAGTGTCTCGCAAAGAAGAGTAGTCAAAGCGCCTTCCCAACCGTCGCTTCTTCACATGGTGGAGAGCGCATGCAACGGAAGTGTCCGTGGCGTCGATGGTAAGTCGAAAGGTAGTGTCGTCTACCGGCGGCCGTCAGCGGTTGCTCGTCCAAGCAGCAGCAGAGAGTGCAAGAGTCGGGCGTTCATGCATAGTAGGGCTGGCGAGTAGGGATCCTTACAGAGTCTGCGTAAGAGTGTGGTGGTAGGATGTCGTTCCCGCAAATAGCCGCGTAGCCCACGCCAAAGGGACTCGTATCTTCGTCGGCGTAGTACTCGTTCTTCATGCTCGGCACAAGGCTTGGTAGGCCAGTCGAGTACGAGGACGAGTGAGGCGGTGGCAGGTAAGTGTAGCTCGGCATCTCCGGTGTGAGGGTGGTTGGTATTGTGTGGTAGGGCGAGGTGGAGTACGGCATTGAGTATGCAACTGCATCTGGTGCTGGGTATGCCGACGAATACGACGCTACGGAGAAGGGAGGTGGTGGGCTGGTGGAAAGCTGGCGTGTGTACTGATGCGAGAACATGCGATCCTCGGCAGGTGGGGTGGTGTACGAGGATTCCGAAGATGACGGAGAAGGAAACTCCTGGCGCGGGGATCGCTGTGGTGGCTGCAGCTCAGCAGGCTTCTGCTCAGGTGAAGCTGAGCTCGAGGCAGCACGACGCTCCTGCAACCCGATTAGTATGCTGTTCCGAGCGGTACGAGGCGTGGTAGCACAAGAACTCACCAAGTCTTCGAGCCTCTTCTTGAGCTTCTTGCGGTAGTTGCGTTGGGCAATGCGGTTCTGTATCCGCCTGCGCTCAGCAAGATCTGAAATCTTGGTCCAGTCTTCGTTGGGGTTTGCTGAAGCAGAGAAGGCTGAGGAGGTGCCCGAGTATCTTGTGGTGGTGGGAGCCGGGTTGGCATATGGGTAGGCAGCGTGTCTGTGCATGGTGATGGTAGATGTAGGAGACATTTACACAGGAAGGGATGAGGAATGGAAGAAGGATGACTGTGGAGCGGGATGTCTGGTTATCAGTGGGATGATGAGAGGCTCTAGCACTCGGGGAGGACTGTATATTTATCTCGCCGTCTTGTCTACGTCCGCAGTCGTTCTTGTGGAGCACAGACTGGCTAGTGTTGGTCCCCAGCTTCAGGCCTCGCATGCACCCTGGGCTACGCGATGCGGGCTCGAGCATTTCTCAATTTGGTACGATTTGGAGCAACCCTAGCCGGTGTACTTTCACCGACTGCGGTCTTGTAAATTTAGTATGGGCGCTAGCGCAGACTGGCAGCGGGCCAGTGAGGGACGGGCAGGCTGGCAGCTGAGGGCACGGAAGCGTCGGGCTGGCAGTGTATCGAAACGAAAACACTCTACTGGGGAGCGGTGTCTTGATCCCATGTCCTCTTTACAGTTCCCTGTCGCGTCCCCACCAACCCTGCTACCCTGGCTGCTGGCGCATTGCACATCACAGACAGCCCTATGACCCCGGGGCCTGTCGGTGCCCCGTCACTGAACCTCACGCGGCGCCGGGTCTGTCATTATCTCCGTCCCTGCGTGCGGCGTGCGTATGCTCTCCCGCATGCGTCGACGTCTTGCGAGGAGTCGCTATCATCACGCGTCGGCTCTCGTCCGAAGGCCCTCGCGAGCACAAGCTTGGTCCGTTGAGAGTCGCGCCCATGCCAGGCCGTCCCCTCCACTGCGCCGCATGCCCGCCCGCACATAGCATGGGGGCCAAAACCGAGAGCGAGCAGACAAGTGCGAAACCCTCTGCAAACAAATGCAAACGTCGCGCTGTCGTGGGTAAATTGCGCCTTGACCGGCTCACACCAGATCATCACACCCGTTCAGCGCCTGCCGCCATTGGCTGCTCCCCGCTGCGCCGTTGTGCATGCGCAACCTCTCGACGGCCTGGCACACCGCGACTCGTCGCTGTTCCCTAGCATTCCGACAGCTCCGACAGCTGCTGCTGCTTGACACCGACTCTCCGCAGTCCCTCGTAGGAATCAGGAAGCCTGCTGTATCAGGACCATATCCTGCATCCAGCTAGCACAAGGGCAGCAACCCAGCCGTTCCATCCTCTTAGTCTGCTTTGTAACGCGGTACCTAAGTAAAGTACCCTGCTGCGAGAGCGCCACCACTCGTTGAGCCCCAGACGTCTACTTGGAAACAGCATAGTATCCCACCAGCCCTACGCACTGTCCCATATTCTTCCGCAGCCGCATCAGCACCTTACTGCGGTGTCGGTGAGTTCTGGGCCCAAGTGCGCAAAGTGGCAGTCAGCCCAAAGCTTAGCTATGCGTGGTTTCCACCAACGACGTAAGGAAAAGCCAATCACCATTGGAATTCCATCATCTACAGACACTGCCAGACACACCTTGAACCCGTCTGTTGCTGGTAAAATGCGCTGTTAGCGTCTTGTTGCCGTTATTTCCAACGGTACGCCCTACGCCCGGCGGTCGAGGCTTGAAGGCTTCGCGCCTTCCGCAGCTGCGCCTTCACTGAGCCGCCAGTGCAAGACATCCAAGAATATCTTCATACAACTGAGGTGCCGTTTCAAGACTGCTTCTCCTAGTGAATTTGCTATACTGGTCGTCGAGGAGTCTTGGATGATTGCCTGGTACTACATAGCGCTATCATGCGGTATACTCTGTTATTCTATCGTCTATGTATGTATCACAGGAGCCTGCTGCAGGCGCCGTGTTTTCGATTGATATGGCGACTGTAAGGATATCACTAGCCATTTCAAATCGTGGTGCCTCATTCTCCGCTCAGAGGTAAAGGTACATCGTCCCGTTGATCCTTGGTATGTGATGGGCAAACATCAACTATCTTCAGCCCTCACTAGGGGCAGTCCGCGCGCGCGCTATACGGCTTGGTGCTGTCGGTAGCCCTACCGCTGCACAGAGCATGGAGATTGCGGGGGCCGATTTACAACCATAGGAGGGAGCATCGAATTGACTCAAATTCGGAGAACACGACTGAGACACCCGCGTTGGCTCAACGTAGATCACGGTGGCTCGCTTGCGCTATCCATCAAAAGGGGGAAAAGGGCATATCAACATACTACACGTGTTGCGACCTCGACCTCAGCTATGGACCATCGCGACTCAGCTGCTCTCGTAGGACTCCTCGGTTCGATGTTAGTTCCGCTATGTGTGGGGCTTTGAGCTTGTCTAGAGCGACTCGCCTCAAACATTGGAGCCCATATCCCCGCGCTTGAGAGACACTCCCCACTTCGCTATCAGACCTTCAGCTGTAAAAGCCGTCTAGCAGCGTTCAGATATTGACAGGGAACGTGTTTGGAGACAGTGCTGCAACTGTTGTCACTCTACGACTTGGCCCAGGAGGCACTGGCATTGCTCATTCGACTCTCTCATTGGGAATGTCTCAACGAACCTACAAGGGGACTGTTTCGGCTTTTCAGGGCAAATGTGTCGGATATATGCAGAATGTACCTTTTACCCCGACGCCGCGTCAGCAACTCGAACCCAGAAGACAGGCTAACGGTATCGTGGGCCGCTGGAGTCGTCCGTCTGCTCTGATAGCCAGACTAGACAAGCTTTCCTGACATTGTATACTCCCAAGGTCGTGGCACCGGGAGACTCTTCCTTCCCGCATGCGCTTGCCAATGTCGATCAGCATCCCAATAGATCGTGTTCACTCACTCGTCGCTTCAAGTAAGATAGAGTGACAGCCAAGGAACAGTCTCGAAGCAATTGAATCATTATGTCGCTGTAGTAGGCACAGTCACACGCCTACTTCGAAATATTCTCTCGTCTAGCATGGCTGAGTTACGCCCCGATGGCGGAGTTGATCAAACGCGAATCGGTGCTCTGCGCACCAGCAGGCGTCAGGAACCCCAGCTTGGCAGGCATTACGTAGGTGTCTTCTTTTGACCCTATGCACCGAGTTGGCTTGTCGTGATAGCGCACAAACTGAAATGTTCCACACCGTTTGGGACACTACCATGCTACGGTGACAGATGGCACACCGTAGGGATGTCCGACAGCACCTAAACCGCGCAGTGCATAGCCAAGTCCATGATCGGTCCGCGATAGCTGAAACGTATATTCCCTACACGAATGTTCAAGTCGTGTGGAAGCGACACAGAAATCGAAGTCGTTCCGACGGTGAGTCTGTAAGGCGGATAGACCCACGTGTGCCCCCAGACGGCTAGCGGCGTTCGGGACCCCTGCTACCGGTTCTTATCTCGAGCTGTGAGTGGTCAAACAACTACTAGCACAAATCAACTTCCCCTTTGGGGCATTACGCGACCGTTCTATCGGGCGTTCCGTGCAAATCTCACCGCTGTGCGCAATAACTGCCTGAGAGATGTGGATGCCGCGAAAGGTCATGTGATTTCATCTGGAGCCGCAGTGTCGGGTTAACTATCAGCATACCTTGGTACATTGCTGTCCTTGGCCGGGTGTATATCCAGGAGAGGTATAGGATGAGTTAATCACACAGCGAGTACAGCATCGCATACATGAGCGTATTCCTCGATACCAAAACACACTAACCGGTCAACCGCCAGACACACTCTCAATGCTATTTCGCTACCTTGGTGTCGCTAGATGACGATTCTCAAAGGATAGCCACTGTGCTAATGTTGTTCCTTCCATATTTATCGCGAAAAGCAAGATGCATTTGTGCAGCACGCAAGCGACAAGCGCGCTAATTCGTCACAGGAGAAAACGGCCTATATTTAGCGGCCGCCGTGCCAAGTCGAGCCACTTTCCGATCACAGTAACTCATTCACCCTCTATCGCAGCCCTACAGCCCTACGACGCACACAATCAAGCATCTGAAACACCGTCATTGGTCCAGCAACCATGCAACGCATGAACCCCTCTCTGTGTACCCACCGCGACTCTTTTGGCCGTGCGATGCGGTAGCACAAGAGCAAAAGACAGTGATAACTGCCGTTCATCTAGCACACCGAAACTTGGTGAGGGGCACTCTGTATACGTCCGTGTATGCGGCCATCTCGCACAGTATCAAGCTCACCGGCAACAGGGCGTAACCGGTAGTAAGGAACGACCAGCGTGGTGGGAAAGCCTACTGCTACTCTTGCCATTTCTCGCTGAATCTACCGAACATCATTTCCATATCCCAACGTGGACAACAAAACCAATGCCGCATTTGTCGCGCGTTGCGCACAATCGAGCATGCTCGCTTAGAGAGTTCCTGTATACCCAAGCGCCCGTTATTATCCAGTACCTTGTTCACCGATAATCATTGGTCGCCTTGCACACGGACGGTGTCGCCAGCGCAGTGCTTCCGCACACGGAGGTCAGACCTCGTGGCAGAATGGCAATAGAAGGTCTCGGCCTTTGAGATTTCCTAAAGCAACGTGTGCAGTTATGACACGCGCTCGCTTCCGTCATCATGCAGCTCAAGGCAGACACCCACACTCAGAAAGTGGAGGGTTACAACCAGCCGCAGGATGTCGTCTCAGGTCCTTGGTCGAACACAAGCAATCAGGAGCTAACATCACCTCGACACGCTACGACTCAGTTTTACAGCATTAGCGCATCCGAGACCAGAAAGCTGCGAAGCGACGGTTCTAGCCCTATCGTCGTCAAGGCTTGAAGGCGCTTCCGTGCCAAGAAGGAGACTTGCCTTTCCTGACCGTTCAGCCGTTCTCGCGGGAACGGTAAGATCCCTGAATGAATCCTTCAAGGCCCCCGTTCACGCCCGTATTGCGAGCCGATCTTCGAAGCGCTCGGGCGTAAAGGTATGCCGCAGACCAAGGAAACCTGAGTCGAACAGAACTACAAGAGCGGCATCGGTGCAATGTGCACGATTTGGTATGTCTTCGGCCTAAAGAAGTCCGCCCAACATGCAGTCTTGTGGAAGCAAACAATTTAAGTTGTGCGTCTTTCCTCGAGAAATGAAAAATCGGCCATGCCGACGTATGGCATCAATCGATGCCGAGTGGCTTGCTTCAATAGTGGAAGCATCTCCCTTTTGAGTGGGTATGCCGTGATGCCGTAAACATACACAGAAATCATACCATGATCGTCATACGGAGATCCGCTTCCCGACCGCCACGCAGGGACTTTACCGTTGGACTTTGGCATGGCGCTGACCCTGGCGTATTGCAAACGCAGAACTTGGGGAAATTTGCTCTCCACTACACAGGTCCAGAATGCTGATTCATCTACGGTACGGACAGAGAGCACGAGGATCTTCCAGTATGACTCCTCTTTCGAAAGTATCGACGTAGGCAGCATCATTTATCAGCATGTCAGGAGTCGGACTTAAAGTCGCAAAGCCGACCCGAGGGTGCAGCTCGACACACTGCATACACAAAGGGCGCAACCTTCTGGCTTCCCGACAAGGGCTTACCGCATCACAGCCTATCACTAGACGCAACTTTCAAACGAATATGTAACGAAACTATCTCGTAAGTACCTGAGTGAATTACTCAGCTCAAGCTGCATCAAAGGTGCTTGCTGCTTGCTTCTGCAGTATTTCTAGAATGCGTATGCAGTGGGGGCAATGATAGGGCTGAACGGAACAGCTGACCAAACGAGGCTGCAATCGATGCATTGCTTCAGTCTTGACGAAGCAGTATGGATTTTTAGTTGTTATTTAAAAGGCTACTCAGCATTGCTATGGCATACATGAAATCTCCACGGAATTCACCATGTCTCTCTTTTCTAGAAGATCGCTTTCCGTGTTCTGTTGATCTTTCAACGCTTTGCACTACAGGAGAAAACATGTCGATTGATCGTGCAATGAGTCTCTCTCCCAAATGAAAGTAGTATCAGAGCTTCTTATTGCATTGTCGCTGCGAACGGATAGATTATCATTTCCGATTCGAGGGCGCCTACTCGTACCACCCTATGCGCTGTTGATCTTCTGCACACTTGCTTGTTGTCCCCGCCATGCAGGGTGACTGCACAGAACGCGGGTACTCGAAAAGAGCAAATACTCACAGGGATACTACTCAAATTGTTTGCAAGCTGCGCATCTTGCGATAGTTGCATCAGTCACTGCATCTAGCAATCCAAGCAATACGCCGTCGGATACTAGAAAATGCCGATCTCTGAATAATCGTCATCCCACCTACCCCGCGGTCCCCCCAACGGCCCCGAGTCATCGGGTGATCCGATGGCTGCCACAAGCCTGATTCAAAGCCCAGGAACTCCGACTTGGTCTCGCCGACTAACATTTCCTCCTCCATTAACATTCGCGCAAACAAGCCTATCTCTCAGCTACCGGTCAGGCTTCCCACCGATGCAACCCTCCGCGTCTGCGGCGTAACGATGTGAATATGAGCCAGCCAAAATGAGTTTTGAACAGCAGCCAACCAAATCGCTTCTACACAGCGCGTTTATTTCACAAGCTTGTGAGGTGCAGCAGTGTCATAGGTATCGCAAATACACCTCGAGGAATCCTACGTGCGAGAGCAACTTGCCTTATCCGGGTTCATGTTGCGACGCCTGCGCCTCGTGGGATTCAGCCTCTAGCCGTGGGGCTGCGCGACTGTGCCTACGCAGTATGACGCATCCCAAGCCATGTATACATAATTCATATTTGAAATGATACAGGAAAGTATCCACACATGCTCTGATATTGTGCACTACAACTGCATGTCTAGCTCAAGAAGCATGCGGGTCAGTCGGTACGCAATCCGCGCCACGACGCCTCATCACGGCTACGCTGGAGTGCAATTCGCTCTTCGGCATACTGGAGGCAATCTAGCCACTCACGATACTGCGGGCACTCGGTGACCGGTTTTTCGTCACGTGCAGAGTGCGAAGGAGTCGCGGCACGGAGTTGGCTCCGACGCTACGCGGTGGAAAGCATTGTGAGAGGCTGGTGTGAAACGGACAGTGGCACAGGCATCCTTCACGGGTCCAACCGTATCTCGTCTCTTGCCCATTTCGCGATGCTATTCTGGGCCCATACCGCCAGCAGGCAGCCATCGAGCAAGGCCACCAGCAGCTCCGCCTTAGCTTTTTGCGTACGACAATCACAGAGCGCAGAATTGGATCGCCCCATGATAGTTCACGACACGTATTCTGTTCGCAAAACATACTTGGACCTGGTTGTTGAAACGCCCGCGCCACTTAGTCGCGTACAGTAGGGAGTCGTACCTCGTGCTTGGGTTGGTGCACCGCCCACGAGGGTCGTTACGAAAGGTATGCCTCCCTTGAGACTTTGTCAGCCAAAGCGCATGGCCCGCTTGATGTAACCAAACGCAAAAACTGTCTAGCACTAAAGCTTTGACAGGATAACTTAGCGCCGGTAACTATCGCAAGCCGCTAAGCACTTTGTCCATCCTTTTGGGCGGTCCCCAACGGTCGTTCTGTCGGTAATAACGCCCTTTGAGCTCCACCACCGGTGATCTTGGTTGATCTTGGAATTGTACGATTAAGTTTGTATTTCGAATTAAACGTTGTTAACGCTCCGTAGCGCACAAGACATGCCACGGTATCGTTGACAGCTACGGACCCTTCCAAGGTGACCCCACATCGCATCTGTCGACTCATTTCGATTCAGCCTTGCGTTCACACGCTAGTCGTACAATAGGATTTCACATGTAAACGATCCAACGAATAGTGTTCGTCTAGCGGTAGACAGGCGAGCTACGAAACCGTCTAAACGCTTTCAGGACAATGCAGAGAAGAAGGAACTGCCGCAACGCTTTCCTAAAGCGGCAAGGTTTCAGGATTCCCGTGCGAGCCCGAAGCACAGGTATTCGGCGATTTGTGCACAATCTCTCGCACTCTCGCAGACTCGTGTCCGGCTGGTGACGGTTCCTTGGAACCCGAGGGCGAAGTGGTCCTCCAACACGTGCCATTCGCAACAAAGACGTGCGAAAGACCACAAAGTTGGTCATTCTCCAAGAGACGTCATGTGTGAAGAGGATTTCCAATCAGTGCCATCACGTCATGCTGCTCACATAACCATCTTGTGCATGGCAGCCGTTTCGTACCCCGGATTTCCCACGTTCTTAAGGTCAGCACTCAAACCTCCTAGGGGGTAACTCCACCGGCGGTTGCTCGCGCAAGGGCTTACTGATCTGACAACCGTTCGCGTGTGTTGTAGGGCTGAAGGAGAATTTACCTCCCACGCGGGGGGTGTAAGAAGTCGTGTCTGACATGTATTCCTCACTGTGGCGTATTCGGTCTCGCAATACTGCAACAGACATCTTGAAGCAACACGACGTGGAAATCGCAATTGTGACTCACTTTCCACACACTCCCGGCAGCGGAAGCTTCGGACGCCCGCGCGTCGCGTCCATCACAGTATCCTTGTCGAGACCCTCAGATGGAAAACACGCGCACGCCGAAAGACTCCCCTTGCCCCCAGTTCTCGTGAAACCCCTATACCGCAAGAAACCTGTGATGAAGCTGTATTTCTCATCGGCCAAATCCAAGGGTCCGAAACCCGACTTTGTACAAAATGGTACAGTATTGCGAACAACCACGGTTCCCGGTATGCCCGAGTAAATTAAGCTATAGTGAATCCGCAACGATCCGCTCATTGAGCCCATCTGCCGCCCTGCTACCGGCATGTCCCATCCAGATAAATACTTGCTCATCATCAGTCGGCAGTCACGTTCAGTAGGTTTAGTCAGGACCTGAGAGCCAGAACGTGATCAACACCAGGCCATAAGCAGCCTAGACCCGATCAGCAATAGGAACCCCATGCTCCCAAATTCGCCCCGAATGCTTCTCGCACCGATTAAATCACCAGCAAACGTCCTGCGCACACCGTTTAGACCGCAGGACCAAAACCTTGGTAGTTGGTCCCTTTCCTTTTTCCTCCACCGGCCGCGTAACGTATCTAATACCAAGCTTCATGGGCGGCTAGATAGATAAAATACCGCTCGTGCTGTCTTGCTTATCTAAGAGGGGAAATAGATTGTTGGGCTGAATTATGATTCATGGGCTCTGAAATGACAGCGGGCAGTAAGTAGGGCTGAAGAGATCAACATTTGCATGGGCCGCTTGACATTGCCCTTGATGTGGGGGCTGGTGGAAAAGGAGACAGGGAACCGACCAACTGGAGAGATTCTGGGGAGATTTGTGATGATTTTGGCTGGATCCGGAGACTTTCTCATGGTAAATTGAGGAGCATGTGGCGGTTGGAAGACATGACTAAGTGTCGCGCTACTTTGTAGAGCGGACATCTGATTGTCGGATTAACTATTGGCATGCTATTAAGGTTTTGTTGGAGGTGATTTGGAGTAAGTTGCAAATCGCACCGCATCGTGTTTCCAATCGAGCTGGCAGCTTGAGCGAGCTTGGGTCAACAACGTTCTCGCTTGTCGGCCCGCCTTTGGTCATCCCTTTCGCTTACCCTGGGTTCTCCTGCTGTCACGGACTATTCGGACATGTCGCTGATTGCCTCTCTATGTCCTTACCAATGTCCGCTGTTGCATCGCATCATGTACACGTTCTGGGCTGTTCATGATAAGCCGAACGGTATTTGCGATAGGTATGAAGCGCAGCTCGCATAATGCGAGGCGAGAGCATTACCAACGCACGAACCCACACACACTCTCTCGCACACACGGCAAGGCAACAGACTACTCAAGTACTATGGCTTCCAGGCTAGACTCGCGCTGCTGTGAGTGTACCTGTAATTAGTTCCTATCTAGTCTAAGCTCTGGGATTCCTCGCGTAGACCAACCATCTACTCGGCTATCATGTTCAACAGCGGTACGCTACTTGGAGACACTGCTGTATATCAGCGCCTCTTAAGGGCCCTAAGAAGGGTGGCATATGTAGGTCTCAAAGACACGTATCTAGATATTAGTGCGCAATGAGTACCAAAGCCATCTACCTATCACGACACAAGCCTGCTCACTCTCTTTGTCTTAGCCATAGCGCAACACAACAACCCCTCTTTCAAGTATCGCAGGGACCCAGATCTCCCTCCCACGACACATTACATTCCAAATAGAAAAATAAACCACCCGCAAAGGCCTCCCTGCCTGCTACCGCCTTACGAGTGCTTGCGCCTCCACGGAGCATGCAGTGTTGAGTCTGCACACGGGCATCGAGGCAATTACATGTCCGCTAATTAGCTCCCTAAACCACGCCCATTACCCAACAATACCTATTCCCACTGTTTCACTCTAGAACGCGAAACGTAGCGAACCACCGTGTCAAATCAGGCAAATAAAGCGACGCCCCGTGGGCTGGCTACGCCCCAGCGTTTATGCAGCTGTGATGAGCTAATTACGCCATTTACGCCCTGAGTAGCGCGTGGGAGGCGATTCGTTTCGAAACGGGCTATAATGGGAGACGATACACTGCTTGGTAATGGGTTATACTGTAGGATACCGCCTTGTAGGGCGAAAGTGTTTGTATGCTCGATATGGATCGGACGAAAAGTGAGTTGGTGGTCGTTCACTGTAACCGTAGAGGCCGTGCTTTCAAGGGCGAATCTTGCTGGACGCCTGAGTAGTAGACCTTGCATTGTTCATGGGACTGCGCCTGTTCGACGTATGATTCGGACCAGAGCCGGAGTTATGAAGGAGAAGTCGGGGTGAAGTTCATCCTTCTCGCATTGCATGTAAGAGTGGCAAGTGCCATCATGAGCTACTAGAACGGGCTCTCCAGGCCTAGAGGACGTCAGTATCATACGAGATGTGGCCTAGTGTTGGGTGACGATAGTGTCAGGTAAGACGAAGCGAATGAAAGACGGTGGGAACTTTGAGACCTCGAACAAAGTAAGCAGACGTCCGGAAAGAGAAGTGGAGATAGATCTATTAGTCTTACGCTAATGCTAATGTTAATGCAAATGCAAACTCCTATCAAATTGCGTACGAAACGGGGTATAACTTCTAGAGGCAAACAAAACATAAACTCCGTACCAAAATGCCCTCGAACTAGCCGTCAATCCGCATCCTCTCTCTCTCTCTCTCTCTGGTTCCGTAGCTACCATTTCCCGTGCATACCATACTATGCTGCTCCACCAACAGCCAACTTCTTCTTCTGTACTCTCATCTCCCTAATCGTGCCGTCCTTTCCTAAGCCCCTCCCCACCTCAACAACTATCATCCGAACGAAATCTTTGTTGATCCAATAACTACTATGTGCACCTAGCATGGTCAAGTACTGAATCTCCAATGGTCCACCACCATACTTCATGTAAAAGTCAATCTGGCCGTTATCATTGAGCAGATAGGCTCTCTTCTCGGCAATTTCCTCGCGTGTGAAGTTATGGGTCTCGAGCTCGACATTGCTGGGCAGACGAATGGGCGTTGGCTTGTTGTTTGAAGAGTTGTTGTAGTTGGAAGTGGAAGAGCGGAAAGGGTTGAGAGAGGCGAAGTAGGATGTCGATGCTGACGGGATGGTTGTTTGTTTCAGCATAGAGGCGTATACGACATCGACGGTTGGATTTATGCGACAGGCGACAGGATCGTAGGGGTTGATGATGTTGTAGATGTTGTCGACAGCGAGACATCCATAGGTGCCTTGCTCGCCGGCCACACCGGGAGCAGCATACGAATCTGCACCTGGCTTCTCTTTGTCGCGACGCGGAAGCAGGTTGGCGTTCTTCATGAGGAGGAAGAGGCCAACAGGGCTACCACAGACAAAGAGGTCGGTAGTATTGAAGATGAACTGATCTTGTGGTAGGTCGGCTTCAGGGAACGAAGGGTCAGTAAATTGAGGATCAACATAGGTTGGCTGTTGGCTCAGGATATCGATGGCCATTACCGAACCGAGCGAATGAGCGATCAAGTGCACTCGCCCATACTCTGCGAATCCTGGGTTGTTATGGCACCACAGGCGATAGATGCGATTCGCCTCTTGTATACAAGCTGATATCATCTTGGGGTTGTGCATGGGCGACAGGTAGTATGGAATATCGAGCATGACGTCGCTGACTATGCCACGGACCGAGGGTAGCGTATCTGGGGTGATGTCCTTGAGCGTGTATTTGTTCGCGGAGGGATCTTCGAGCTCGGGGTTTTCAGTGTTGTCGACATCGAGGGACACGCGATGCCGCCAGTTGACCTGTTCTGTGTTAGTATCCTGGACTGAGAATCGTTGTCATGATGGCTTACTGGCAAACACATGACGCCTCCCATGTCCTTCCTCAAGTGTCGCTTCACATCCGGGGTTCCAAGCTCGACGTTCATCTCTCGTCGAAAGGCGTTCATCGCATGCGTGAAGTGAAATGTCTCCATTCTCTCCGACAACTTCTGCCCAA